ACATCTTAAAAGCCAGGGAGTTATGTTATAAACGATGTAACGTGATTTTAAGTCGTTTATGTGCAAGGATGCAAGTCAAACATACATTTGCATTGTAAATTGGTGCTTTTCTCCAAAGCAGACATGCTTCAAACAGAGGCATGTGACCCTACAGTTCCGTGTTGAATTTGAAGAATGGTAACATACTGCTAAATGGAATTTCTTAATAACTTTACAGCAAGAGGAAAAAGCCAAACAAATGGTCTACAGATAGCATTGGAATTCAGAGCTCAAAGCTAAGTTCACAATCTAGCCTTTACATCGCTGTATTGTTGTTGCTGCCTTTGTTCCCATTTGTTCTTGCAACTGCTCACTGTGTATGTCTGTCTGACAGTGTGTTTGTCTTCACACAGCATTTCCTGAGGGTACAAGCGGGTGTTTGAAGAGTACACGCAGGCCTTGTACCAGCGGTACCCAGACATCCGCATTGAAGGGGAGAACTATCTTCCTATGCCCCTCTATCGGTAAGAGAGAGAGAGAGAGAGAGAGAGAGAGAGAGACAGACATTGTCTGCCTTGTTACAAGTGGATTATATCCAGCTTTATTAAAGCAGGCTGAAAGCCGCCTGGGATTAGCTGTGACTGAGGAAATGGAATTCTCATGCAGCCAGGCTTATCCGGCCGTTAATTTGTCTTTCGTGGTTTTATAGACGTAGAGAAAATTATATCAAATTGACAAAGTTTGGGTCAAAGGTGCACTGTGCCATGTAGTTGGGTAATTATTGATTGCATACTTTATTTGAGCTACCACCAGAAAGTTTTCAGATTTTGATTCTCAGTAAATTTACTACTTCACATGTGCTCAGCTGTCAATGTATTATGTACATTAAAACTAATACAGTCTAGTACAACAGCATTTAAATTTACTCACTTAGCAGACACTTTTATCCAAAGCAACTTACAAGTGAGGGACATTACTAAACAACCCTGCCATAAATTTTATCTTCAGGCAAAAATGCTCCCAACAATGGAACTTTCGGGAATGTAGGATGTATTGCAGCACTTTTGTATCAGACTGTGGTAGTTGTAGGTAGGATTTAGTGTAATTTCTAATGTGTGGAGTTCTAAGAACCGGTCTCACCATCATCACAAAGAGGGGTTGTGTTGTGTCTAATTAAGATTTTCCACTATGTCTTTTAACCTGAATATCTTTTGGTTTTGGACTGTTAGTCGAACAAAACAAGCTAACTGTAGATATCACCTTGGGCTGTGGGAAATTTCACAACTGTCTGACAATTCATATGATTAATCAAGAAATCCAGAAAGATGAACTGATATGGAAATTCAGAATGAGCACTAATAGTCCTATTGAATATTTTTCTTCAGTGCATTCCTCACCATATTTTAGAATTGTTTTGAAATTTGAATTTCTGTTTTGTGCACTTTTACAGATGCAGACTACAATTTCTGATTCTGATGAAGTTTTATTCTTGTAGTCCTAATGTAATGAAGTCAGGGGTTTGTAAAAGTCAATGTGGCTGGCAAATAGGCTATATTTGTATCACTGGCTCAGTAATGATGTGAGACTGGTTTGTGCAGAAGTCCCAGGTGTTGTAGTTAAAGGTATGGTGCCACTGAGATCCTCATCACTTGAACTCTTAATAAACACACCAAAGATTAGCTCCATCACAGAAAGGAGATAGTATCACACTCTGGGCGTCTAATTGTCCAGCCGTTGTTTTTCTTGAATTTTTGCTGTGTCTATCCCCCATCTCAGTCTTTGGAAGAATGAACCAGTGTTCCCTGACGGGTTGTAGTTCAACAACTTACACATGTTAAAGTTTAATGGTTGTAAAACTGGAGTGAACAGAATGCAGGCTCAATCTAGCAGGTTGATAAACATGATTGCATTAAAGTTTATTCTAGATTATCAAATTAAGATATGCAGAATTAATCACTGTGAAAATATATAATAATTTTTTGAATGGGAAGGTGTTTGAATGGCAAGCTGACTCTTTGTGTTTATTCTAAATTGTATAAATCAAAACCACGCCCTTCTGTCTTGACACTGTGTTCAACTAATGTAGTTACAATTGTCTCTAGTGAAGTCATAACTTTAATATCTTGAAGGATTGAACTCTATAGATCTTAGATCTTGTCTGCTTTATGTTGCCATGCCTAGAAATTGTATTAAAAGCCATTTTCTTGTTTTATTTCCTCAGACACATTGCTTCCTTCCTGTCTATGTTCAAACTGCTGGTGATTGGGCTGATTATTATCGGCAGAGACCCATTCGCCCTTTTTGGTATGCAAGCCCCGGGCATCTGGGAGTGGGGCCAGGGAAATAAGGTAAGGTTTCCTGCAACTATAGGAGTTATTAAAGCATACTCTAATTTTCATGTGTAACAGTGTGGCAGAGGGTGAAGTCAGTATGATGCAGCTGAGCATTTGTTTTTCAGGTAATCACCACAGATATCGTACAGGAAAGTGACTTGAATGTAGAAATAAAGGAAAGTGGGCTTTAGGTTGGCTGTGTTTCTCATACACTTGTGTAAACACATGCTGTCGAGTACAGCTCAACCCATGGGATTTCATTAGCTGTTCATTCAGGGTCTTCAGGTTGTGTTGTTAAGTATTGTTTGGCTTGGATCTGTTCTCCCCAGGGTAGCAGACATCCCACAGGCTCAGAGGGAGAATGGCCAATGACTGTGAAAATCAGATATTTGCTAATAAAACAATCTTAAACTCATTTCTTGTGTTTTAACAGAAAACTGGGGCTGATATAATCTAGTGGTTTTGGTTGTTAGACAGATAAACTAACAGAAAATCTTGTAATTGCATACAGAGTATTGAGATTTAGTAAGCATTTGGCTTGGATTTGTTTTGCCAATAAACTTGCTTTCTTTTTTTAATCTAAGCCACAACTGGACTGATAAGAATTATTCGGAGGGTCTCTGGTTTTATGTGTGCATTCAAAACTGCTGTAGATTTGTTTTCAGAATGATTTTTTGATATTATTTGTTTAATAATTTCTTTATATCCTGACAGCTATCAGTAAATCAAATCAAAAGACTTGAGAAAAAAAATCAAGTTTCATTAACTGTTCCAGGCTCTGTAATCTTGGTGCGCTCTAATCTCGTCAACCAATAAAGAGAGCTCTTTGCGAGACTGTGTGCTCATGTCACACATACACAACTCTATCCATTTCTGACTATCCTGCTAACTGCACAGAGAAAACAAGAAACGAGAGACAAGGCAGCAAGAATCAAATGTGATACTGGTACCAGAAAAGTTTTGATGGGGATACATACATAACAAGTAGAGCTCAAACTATATGAGGTTTTTTAGGTAGATATCTGTATATGAGATGGAAAAAAAGAAGGTGGTAACAGTATATAAACAAACCATTTTCCTCATCATCTATCCTTGGGCTCCATTAACCACTAACAAACCTGATATGATACTTGAAGTTTGCCCAGTGCTACCATATTCCAAGGTGTTTGTTGTTGAGTGACTGTTGAATTTAACTACCAGATATGTGTTTTACGTAAAAAGCATGGAGTTTCCCAAAGCAGCTTCATGTTGACCAGTCAATACAGCACCATGTTCATCCTGTGTTCATCTTTGTCCTCATTTTTTCAGTGCTCTAACTTTATCAGTTCAGTGCACTGCTCTTGTGCTCTATTGAGTGAACACGATTCCATAAAAACAGGAAACTAAACTGCGAGTAAAAAAACACGGGAAACAATTTTTTCAAATTTCTCTTGTACTTCTTTCAGATATATGCCTGCATGATGGTGTTCTTCTTCAGCAATATGATTGAAAACCAGTTAATGTCTACAGGAGCGTTTGAAATCACATTGAATGGTGAGTGAGTCCCAGCATGGGCTTATTGACTGAGCTCAATGCTTCTGGTATTAGATTGATATCAGTTGGCTGACACTTCACAAACACTGGTAATGAGGTAAATGTAGTGGCCAACTGTGATTTTCTTTTCTGCTGTTATTACACATTGAACAATGTGTAGCTTAAAGAAAAAAATCTTTGTGATATACTATTCATGAAGTTGTGTGGCGATGGAACAAAAAAGACAGTGAAGCAAATTTTGTCTTTCCATAGATGTGCCAGTGTGGTCAAAACTGGAGTCAGGTCACCTGCCCTCCATGCAGCAGCTTGTGCAAATCCTGGACAACGAGATGAAGATGAACGTTCACATGAACACAAGACCACACCACCACTCCTAACCCTACTCTACAATTCCTGGCTGGAGCTAAAAGCCCCTCCATGTAAGTGCAGCATAGTTCAAAGCACTGTTTTCTTTTATAGTAATCTTTTAAAAAAAAAAAAAAAAAAATTGTCCCTTATTCTGTGAAATATACTGGTCAGTGATCTTGTATTTGCCCTTTTCTCTCTGCATTTCTAGGTTTGAGGTAGGTTTCTCACTGGGCTGTGAAGTGATGTTTATGAAGGTCTGCGCTGAAGGCAGGAAGACTGCTAGCACAGACTGGATGCCCCCATCACTCCTCACTATGCCCCTTCGAGACATCCCGCCCCTGACGCCAGAGTGGGACCCATGGCAACAGTGCCGGCCATTCTGTCATTTTCTTGTACTATTCATACGACTGCAGATTTGATCCAGGTGATATCAGTTGTCCCATAAGGAGAGATTTAACATTGACTCTTATAGTCTTTAACTTGTTGCATATAAATTATCTATGTGAATAAAAAAAAAAAAATGTGTCATTTGTACCACTGAGCCATATGTAGAATTTTAAGTTTATTGTTCTAAAAGTAGCTTAGCTGTGTAGAAAATGCAACACTTAAAATCTGTCATCACTATTGTGAAAATAACATCGGGGAATTGTGTATTGGTATGATTTCTGAATAATTTTTATATTTACATAACTTGGAGGAAGCTAAGAAGATTAATAAAACATATTGTAACTATTTAACTGAAGTTGTGGTGTGGTGTTTGGGTTTACTGATTGATGTGCTTGAGTACGGTGCTGTAAATGATACTCTGTAAGTTAAGAGAAAATCGTTTAACTCAGAAGAGGCAAAGCACTGAGGTGAATTATATGACGGCTCTAATCCAGTCTCTTCCAGGTTTAAGTCACAAGGAAACCTGAGAAGAATAGAAAATCTGTTAAATGGCTTGCAGATAAACCCAAACAACCTGCTTGTCAGGTCATAGCCGTCTGTTCAACCTAATGTTATTAGGAAGACCTCAGGCTCTACACTGATTTGATTACATGAGACAAAACAGACCCGACGTAAGTACAATATAAGACCAAAGTGAGGTTATACAGTTCTACAGTATTGTTCAACGTGTTGAGTTTGGGATATTTCTGACACTGAAGAAGGTCCTTTTGTGAGCTCTAATTGTCACTAAATGAAATTTGGCAGATGCAGTGACTTTCTATATTTGTTATTATGCACCAAAGAAAAAAAATAGAACCTTCAAGAGCATTCCCTTTCGGTTCACAGGAAATGTACATCACTTCTTCATCACAGGTGTGTGCAGACAGAGCAAACAGTGACCCAAGCTCTATGGAGAGATTAGATGGGAACATTTTAACCTTGTACCTTTTGTATTTTCACATGTACATATGAACAGGTGAGGTTTTATATCTTATTTGAACCCCTGGACATAACATCCTCTTATGTGAAATCTACTCTACATTACCTTATGAAATACCATTGAGAGCTATTAAGTTCTACAGATTGCCCCACGACCATGTGTAACATGTTAACACAAGTACTAGTATATTCATATCAGTTTGATCAGATCTAGAAAACAGGAGAATGTATTAAAGTTTTTTTCTGGGGTATGACTTTACTTAAATGTCATCATTCCTCTCGGACTGTGTCTTGTCATTGTCAGGGTGTACTCAAGTCCTGAAGACACTTCTGGATAAAGGCTCTTTCTCTGTCATTCATCGTCACATGAGCACTGACTTCCAGAAGCTTTTGGGCAACAACATGGAGGTGAGGGGCTTGTGTGGTCTTGGGCAGCTGGGGATGGGAGGGTGTCATCAGGTACTGGTGAAGATGCTGAATGACCAGGTGGATCCTAGTCCTGGCCGCCAACACAAACAGTTCCTCCTTCATTACTGATGGTCCTGGAGCAGCCCCATCTGTTTTAGATTCACCCTAAAGGAAAAAGTTCATTTTCAGGTGGCATTGTTTAAAAATTACCAAATGAATCAATGTACATGTCATAATATCAAAAGACATATTTGATGTTACGTGAATATAAGCAATTCTATGCTTATAAAATTCTATGAAGCATTTGAACAAATGATGTCTAATCGGCATTTAAATACTGTAAAGCTTAAGCTTCTTGAGAAGATGTCAAGGAAACATAAGTCTGTATTGTACATTAAACCTACAAACATAAGTGCAGAAGTATGATTGAAAAAGAGAAAAAAGGATTTTTGTACAACTTGTATTGCAGAACAGGAGGTTCTGGGAACTGCAAGATAAATGTGTGGTCAGAAAAAAAAGAACCACAAGTGTTTGTGGCGGTGCACACTACCAAAATAGGAAAACAATGCTTCACTTTTACCTGAGCACAGCAGGTACCCACACTGAACTTTGCTTGCTGGCCTTGTGCGAGGAACGACACAAACACTTGTTCCTTTCCAAGGACTCTGACCCCGACAGTTTTGTTGAGGGACAGGAAGACAGGATGCAGGGGGGTGGGAGTGAGGCTCACACTGCTCCAGCTCCACCGACGAACTCTGGCACCTGCTTCATCCAAACACTGACCACCTGATCTGTTTAAGGACAGCCTGCAACATGAACGCAGACACACACATGCATATACTCACTGTTAGTGTCATCAGCACATGACTATGGATAAAACAAATTATATTATACCTCAATCATTTTTTTTCCTAAAATCACCCATTAAACAGGATATTAATTAGCCTAATTTATATTTACGTAAATATAAAATTAGGAAATTTGCAATAGTATATTTATTACCAATACAATTTGAAATAATGAAATGATGCATGATGATGATGAACATAAATGTTTTGCTTTGTACCATATGTTTCCATTGCTGTGATAACATGCCGCCCTGCCGTCGGACTGGAACACAGCTCTAATCGGTTGATTGGGGGTATCGCTGTCATCATACACAATGCAGACCCTTCCATTTTCTTTAGTGACCACGACAACCAGAGCCAAGATGCCTGAGGGGTAACTGTTACCATGACGATAAGGATGGGAACACCCTCTGTTGAGTGCATGTTGCATATACAATCTAACAAACATTATTTGCTTTTCAACTTAAATTTCAATGTTGGTCTTTTTATTCATTTTGTACGTAAGCAGCTGAAAATCTCATTACATGGTAAAAATGTCCAAACATTAGATCTGGGTGGATACAAGACCTGAGCTGAGCCATCATGAAATGAGGTAAGAAATTTCATTCCATTGGAATAATATTTGTGAAGAAATTCTGCCCCATCCTGTAAAAATAAAGGGTAAGATAAAATCTTAAAACATTCAATTTAGATGTGTTCACATATCTCCTGTTTTTAAAGGGGCACTCCACCAAGGTCAGCTTTATAACAGTACGCCTTTATTACAAAGGCAGGCATTTATCAGGCACAAAAGGTCCCACAATAGATGCATTATGGGAAATGTAGGAGATAGTATTTTTGCAGCCTGGGCCATACTAGCAGCTAAAAGTCAGAATACCTTTGTCTTTGCTGCTTTGATTTTGACCATTCTTATTTTAAATTGTGTCTTGCAAGTCCTCCCTACTTTGGTGGAGTAACCCTATAATAGTCATACAGGTACAATATAAAATCATGAACTCATGCAAATTACTATACAGTATTATACAGACTTCTATCCCCTATTCAAAGAAAGTATGATTATTTGTATGGTCTCATGTGTTGATAAGAACATTTAACAACATCCTCCATATTGATTAAAATAAACAAACAATGGGTCATAAAGAAAACAGGACAGTAGTTTGTGGGTACCTGATGACGACATATGCCAAACTGAAGTGGCTTGTGGTCACAAAATCGGACCAATGCTTGAGCCTCTTCCCCTTCGTTTTCAAAGCAATTCTCAGTTGTCCTATTAGGATACATTGTCAGGGACCCCTTTCCTGGAGCACAAGAGAGCCGAAAGCTGAGGACCTTTGATGTTGGGGCAACTAAACAATAGCACAGAACAAACTGTATTGGTCTCACAAAGCTATTTCAAGTCACAATTGTTTACTTTCTTACCAATACATTTTTTAAATTTTAAAATGCTGAAAAGCTCACTGCGTACAAGCTCATGTTTGTATATAATGATTGGATGAACAGATTTAAAGCTGCCAGTGTGCATGTTGCTCAATGAGCAGTTACTCACAGGTTTCTGCCACAGGTAGATGGACTGAGTAATCCTCATGGATTCTCAGTTCTGATTGTGTTCTATGAAAAGGTCCAAATACATTGCTGTTAATGCTAAGCACTTATATTTGTGATCTCTACTGATTATATTTGTGGGTCTGTCTGACATTTAAAAAAAATCTAAATTCATACCCTAGTCCACCAGGTAAATCCATCATAAACTTGTTGTGCTTCTGCATCTCCCTGCCTTTGAAGAGCAGCTCCTCCAGCCCTGAGGATGGCTTGTCTTCCAGTGATGTTGGAGTACCAGTTTTCAGGTCACATCTCCCCTCAAACAAACATCTCTGTCTCACCAGCATCACACACAGCTGCTGCCATTGGGCACAACAGAAGAGTGGAGTTGTCTAGGATGGACACAAAAGAGGATGCAAGGGGATCAACAGTGCATCAGGTAAATTTTGGGAATTTGGTTTTGTACATTTACTGTATGCCTCACCTCAGGCTCCTGCAGCCATGTCAGACCGAGTGAAGGTCTGGCCTTTTCCCCACAGTACTCACATTTCACTGCACATTCTGCCAAAGCTGGAGGCTAGAAAAAACAGTTTTGAATTTGGCTACAAGGTAAAAGCCATGTTGCTCTAGATAGGAATTTACAACAGTAGGTAGAAATTTGATCCGAGTACCGCTGGAAGAACGGTTGTGAAGTTTATCCTCTGGTTGTCGGACTCCCGGTTGTACCTCAGAACTCCTGCAGCTCTGATACAATAGGTGGGTTGATCACTAACAGGCTGTGAACAGCCCTCTTGTTTCCTCTTATCAAACCCAGAGAAAAATAAAAATCAAATAAACTAAACAATATGTTGGATGGTTCTTGATTAAAGCATGGGTGAAAAGGAAAACAGACTGCGATTTGTCTTACATGGTCATTCAGGACACACAGCGGCTCATGCTCTAATGTAGCAGCAGTGGCATCTGTGGCAAAACAAAAGTCACTGTAGCCTCATTGAATTAAGTCCAGGAGAAGTAAACATTTACCTGAATACCACAGCTACTTTATGATTCTCCTTTGCAGTGTATGATTTGATGATCCTATTTTACTTTGATAATAATTTTAATTATGCTAGGAGCAAACTCACAGGAAAAGCTGGACGTCATCTTTGTCTCTGTCCTTCTGACTGTAGTGAAGTTACTGATTTCAGTGCCTTTGTCCCAGGATGAAATAACAGCATTCAGTGCTTGTGTTTGTCTCCTGTTGAAGCAATAGACACAGTAGATAGAATAGAAGGCAATCAGATGAAATTATGTAAAATTAATTATCATATAGACAAGGAGACAGAAAGACAAATATGAGGTTAGGCAGAACTATTAAATATAGTTTAACTTGAGCAGGATACATCATTAAAATAGCACACCTGCAAAAGAGCAATGCATAAAGTACACTCACCTCAGCGGTAGTCAAATATTCATCAATGCTTCACACTCCTTGGTGTTGTCAGTAACCTTGGAGATGAAATAACAGCCTACTGCAATGTGTAAACATAGCAGCCGCCTGACTGGTTTTAATACAAAGAGATACTTTGAAAGACAGTTATAATAAAGTGTATAATACTGTCAGAGTGTTAACTCGGTCTGCAGAAAAGAAGCAAAGAAGATCCTGAAATCTAATGTTAATCGTACGACCGTGGAAAATAAAAATAAAAAAAGAAATGTCAGAGCCTGTTGGATTGTTCTTTGTTATCTCCAAGCCAGAGAGGTTTTGTAGACATAAAATACAAAATAATCTCACTTCAAGGTGCCCAAGTTTTGTAGCTTTTCTGGAGTTTCATCAGCAGATGGAGTTTGTCCAGTTGTCATGGAGCTGTAAATGTTCAAATGTGTTATTTTTCCACTTATATCACAGTCTAACCTCAAGGTCCATTTAGCTGTCTTTGAGCTTTCTTTCCCTTCACAATAACTTCATCACAGGTTAAGAATTAACTTTGAAGCTCCACCAACGAATTATTATGTAAAACTACTTTTCAAGCCCCACTTTTAAACACTTTTTTTTCATCCACTTTGTCCATCCAATGAACATGTTTTAACAGCATTTCTCCAACAGATGGCAGAGTGGTTGTGCTTCCTAATTGGTTGTGACCGGGTTAGAAGGAAACATCACAGATGTAAGGTGCAGTGGACATAATACCAAAATCCTTACTTATGGTAACAATATTTACACGAAGAGATAATATAAATGTGATCGATATTCGAATAGCTAGGGACACCTACAATGACAATCATATCTAATAATAAGAGATAAAATAAGGTATGATACTTAAAGGCTTTATTTATAGGCTTTCTAAATCCAATACAAAAGTCCATACAAGCTCACTCTTCCTCCCCCGTTGCCTCTTCACCCTCTCATTGACACCTTACCCAGGTGTAATCAACCCCAGATAATTGGAGACCAGGTGATTAGGCTAACTTCTGCAGCTTCTGATTGGCTGTGGCAGAATCTGCAGTACCTGCCGCAGGGAGACGTCACAACACAAATAGCCGCGGCAAAGCCAACTATCTCCCAACTGTCAACATTTTCAGGAGTCAGCACGCGGCATAATGATCCGTAAAGGAAAAAGAAAAAGCGCCACAGCTTGCTTGGCTATTGGTTTTATTCTGGCATGTTATTTGGCGAGAACGACAGACTGTTATCGACTGAAGAAAACAGAAAGACGAGAAGGGCGAAAGGAAGCCGACGCAGCCAAAACGATAGGTTTCCAAGAAGGGACAATTGTGTTCGGGAGAGTTTTTGAGAAGGGCCTTGAGTCACAAGTCGTAGATGGGACTAGGGAAGTCTCTTCAAATGCTTCTGCGAAGGATGAAGCGGCCTATCAAGCGGATTTTACAGGTAAGCTATAAGGTCTTTGATTTTAAACATGTTGCTCTGTTAGGTCGCTCACAACCCTCCAAAAATAGTCTCAAAGGGGCTGTGATAAGCACACTCATTTGAATGTTTCTTGTCAGGCTGGTCAAAAGGACAAGCACATGATACCAGCTTCCAAGAAGCATCGTGGAAGCGCATGGCGCCTTCCCTGCAGTGTGGTGCGGACCAGCTGAAGTTCAGAGCAGTGGGACCTGGAGCTTCACAGTTTGCAGTGGAACAAGGTAAAGTGACAAGGTTCATTAGCTGTAGTTACCATTCATGTGTAACCTCTACATTGTAGGTATTTGCACCAGTGCTTGCCTAGTCACATGGAGTTCTTTTTTTTTTTTTTTTTTTTTTTTTTTTCTTTTAAACCCCCCCAGGAAATGCACCTCCAATGCCTCTGTCCCAGGTCCCTTCCACCTGTGGCTACAGCATGCAGAGGAACTCTCTTGCACTTGTGATGTTGGTTCCATTTGATGGTTGCAATATGGTTCAAGAGGTAATTGTATTTCCTGAAATAAGTAAAGTGAGATTTGACACTTGGTGGCTAATCCTGATTTTATAAAAATTCTTGCAGCATAAATGAGTTAAAATGATTTGTGAAACTTGGAAACCATCTTGATCAATTTCAATCATTGAGTAATTTTGGCAAAAATTCCAGGCATTGGATGTGTCTAGCTTCTCAAAATTAGCAGTTTTAAAACTGCATAACTTGGGTTTTCAATTAAAGATAAGTTTGGGTGGAATTTTGATAGGCATTTAGTCTAATAGACTAAATGATGCTGTGGATTAATCGATAAACAAATTGTTAGTTGATGCTTCAGTGTAATGTTAACTGGGTTGTTTAACACTGAGTTCTTCTTCACAAGGGTGGAAGTTACATGCTGCCGATGCGTTGGCAGGGAATCCCAGTCTCACTCTTGTGCCCCAAACCTGTAACTCCTGCTGAGCCACATCACCCTGTACCTGAGCCACCCAGGTACCCTCCATCATACCCTAAGGTGCCCCAGATGCCTTTGATGCCCCAAATCCAGCACCCAGAGATGAATCCCAAATTTCCCCCTTATTTCTTTCCACCTTACTCACCTTATCCTCAGTACCCTCCAGCAACAACCACGACAACCACAAAGAAACCAGAACAGAAACCACAAATGCCTAAAATTCCACAATACCCCTCTTTCTTCCCCCATTTTTATCCCTACTTTCCTCCGCCGGTCACAACAGCAGCACCAACCACAACGGCTGCAACAACCACTAGCACTGCAAAGCCAGCAGCCACAGCTCCTCCCCCAGCATTTCCTTTTCCTTTCTACCCACCTTTCTATCCTCCCTTTCCTTGGCCCCTCCCTGGGCCTATGCCAACAACTCCAGCAGCGACAACTACTCCTCCAACAACAACAAAAAAACCTGCTACTAAACCCCAAATGCCACAGTTTCCACCCTTCTTTCCTGTCTATCCTCCATTTCCTCTCTATCCTCCCTATCCTTTCCCGCCCAATCCTTATTATCCAACCTCTAAGCCACAGACGACAGCAACGACGACGGTGCCAACTACAACCACTGCAACCACCACAACAGTGAAAGCGGACCCCATACTGACTCAAGTGCCACCACCTCATCACCCACATTTTCATCCACATGTCCACCTTCCACCGTTTCCATTTTTACCATATCCCCCTAATTATCCTTCTCTTTCAGGCTAGCCTGCTGAAATGTATAATAAATGGCTTGAATAACATCAAGTGGCTGTCAGTCTTTGAAATTCTCTGGGGCAGTTGATGGGTTAATGTGGAAAGGTTGCTGGTCTTGCTTTCAGGGTTACTGAAAATTTGTGGGTATGTGGGGAAGCAGAGGTGAATCAGAGTCCATATTGGAAAAGGGCTTTAATGTTGACAAAACCAGGAGGCTTTTCATATGTAACAGAAAATGGCTCTTAATATCAAAAGGCCAGTACTTTGTACTTCACTTTTTGGTGGAGGTCGGCATGACCAAACTCCACTTATCCTCCTGCCATAATATAGTTCCAAGTGTTTGATTTTTAAATTAAGTGGTCTTCTTCTGAGTAAGAGTTGGTACTGTTGACTGACATCCTAAACTCTTAAAAGATAAATTGACAACATGTAATTTCCTAAAGGGAAGTTGAGGCTGGACATCATGAAACGGTTTGAGAAGTGACTTGGCAAACTTAGCAAATTTCTCAGGCATGTCAAAGAGCCATGAATTCTCCGGTCACCTGTTTACTGTATATCACATTGATTTAAGTTTGACTAATCTACAACTGTTATAATAGTAAGCCATTTGCCGTGAGGGGAAATTACGCTCATCAATCCTCCATTAATTTGTTGTAGCCAGATCAGAGAATGTGTTCAAATGAAACTAATTTCCAGAGGGTAAAGTGTCTATATTGCTGATTTTATTAAAAAAAAAAAAAAAATCCTAACTCCCTCAACTTTTATTACTTTGAGATTTGATTGGGCTTTTTTGACACAAACTGGAAACATCTTATGTCCCACAGCAGCTCCATAGTGTGACGTCTGTGGCCTTAAATGGGATGTACATACAGTACAATCTGATATCATGTACATTTCTTCATTTAGATTTTTGCCTCATTTGTTCTTTTATCCCTCTCATTGCTATCCTGCCATCTTGCCTATACTCCAAGTTGTTTTTGCACTGAAATGTCTGCCTGCTAGGCAGCTCTTAATGGACACAGGCTATGTCTGATTTTCTAAATTGTGAGAATATAGGTACATTCTCAGGGCAAAGAAATCAATTTATAACAGTGAAATCGTTTAATGGCAATCTATTTAGCATTGGTTGGTTTGTACATATTTACCATTAACAGTTATTTCAGCTATTCCCAGACAAAGCGGTCTCATGTTTGTCTGTATTATAACTGTCTGAATATTCACTACTTTGGGTAGCTATGAAATTGCATCAATAATATCAGTAAGTCATCAATAGCAAGCACTGAAGCAACAATATTACACTGCACACATTCCTGCATGTAATATTTACATAAAATAGAACTGATATACGAATAAAGTCATTACAGTTCCTTAAACATTAAAAAAAAACAACTACATATTTCAAGCTTCACAAAGATAAAATACACTACATATCTTCACATAAATAAGCTATAATATAAATGGCATGTCTACTAACATCAAAGACTCTAAACAATCCCACCTGTTGTGACCTTAATTAACACAGGTGCAAGCGGTAGCTGAAGTCAAGTCTGATTGGTTGATTGACTGGTGCTAAGGTGTACTCAGTATAAAAAGCTGTCATTCGGTTATTCTGTTTCATGAGAAAGTGCTTTCCATCTGCTTCAGCCATGCTGCTCCAGGTGTGCAGCTCCAGTATGGCAGGTGAAAATGGACGGAGATGCAGATCATGTCAAACTGCAGCAGTCATACTGCTCCTGTGCTCTTTGGTCCCGAGTTTAACTTGTTTTAGCTTACGAGGGCTCAGCAAAAAAGTTCCACAGGACAAGGTAGTTAATGAGGCTGCAGTGATGGAAATAAGGACAGGAAGTGTTCTTTTCAATGGGAAAGAGCTGAACTCTGAGTCAGGATCAGCCTCTGCTGCTGCCCCAGGTAATGATGGATTGCCGCATGTTGATTCGGATTACTCGGATAGCACAGGTAAGATTTTACTGCTCAAATATCTGCTAACTTGATGTACTACATGTGAAAATCCATGGAAAAAATGCAAGATACTCAAAAACCAAAGGATATGGCCAGTATTAACTTTGTATTTGATCTTCTACAGAGATGTCTGAGCAGACGTCACAGCTGAAGGACGCCATGGCCAATGAAGCAGCATGGAGGCGCTTGAACTCTACTCTGCATTGTGGTCCGACCAAGATGAAGTTGAAAGCCATGGGACCTGGAGCTGCTCATTTACAGCTAGACATGGGTATTGTAACAAACCAAGCTTATCTGAAGGTGTAAGTTTATATTGAAGCTGTAGTCACTTAACATGTAAATGTAGAAAAAATGGGTCTCTTCTCCCTCTTAGGCAACGCACGTCCCCTTCCTCTGATTGAGGTGCCTGAACCCTGTGGCTACTCTGTGCAGCAGAATGCACTGGGTCTTGTTTTGGTTGTCCCCTACAACGGCTGCAATGTGATACAAGAGGTAAACCCTTATCCCCAATGAACTAACTAGCTAAAGATTTATATGGTGGAAAAAGGGCAAACAAATGCTAAAGGTATTTAAGTAAATGCTTAATGTCATTCAGCAAATGTTATGTATGCAGCTTCAGTTTACTTCTAAATGCTACTTGTATGAGATTATTTAATGGTCTGTAAAATGAAGTTGAAACTACCTTTTTTACAAACTACAGATTAAATGTATTAACAGCCAAGTTGCTTGTATATTCCTGTTTCAGAATGGAAACTATGTGGTGCCAATGAGTTGGCTGGAGACTCCAGTGAAATTAACCTGCCCCATGTCACCAAGTCCTGATGCAACACCTGCTTCAACTCCCCCCAAGCCTGCTCAGCATCCCTGGAAACTTCCTTTCCCACAGAGGCCCTGGAGCCTGCATCGCCATAAACGACAGGCGAATCTGCCCACTTCCATCTATGATCCTAGAAGTCCATATTATCCCTATTTGTATTACTATTTAATGTATATGAGACAAACCCCTACCACTGCTCCTCCTACAACTACTGCTAAGCCTGATGTGACTACCAAGCAACCTCAAATTAAGCCTCCTACATATCCTTACAATCCATACTACCTGTATTACCCTTATTACATTAACTACCCCTATTACCCTCTTCCAAATCTCCCAGTGAGGACTACTGTGCCGCCAACCACTACCACTGGATCTGGCACTATGATGACCACAGCCTCAACTACCAAGACTCCTCAAACACCTTCAGTCCCCTATTACCCTCCATATTTTTACTATCCCTACTACCCTCCAATGGGGCAACAGTTCCCAGGAAACAGCTCTGAAATTTACTACTACCCAATCATCCAGCATTTCTACGGAAAGCCTCCATACCCATCAAATCCAATGCAAACAACTACTCTGCCTCCAACCCCAACAACTAAGCCTGGTGACTCCAGCTCTACGAAAGAGCCCACAACTGCCTCCGCTCCCACAACTGCCTCCGCTCCCACAACTGCTTCTGCTCCCACTACACAAACAACTAAACCATGTGCCCATAAAACGCCGACAACCAGCAGTAGCAACTATCCAGGCCCAATGAGTCCATATGTTCCTTACAACCAGCTCGCCTTCATTCCGTATGTTGAATACAAATACAATAAGGCTGGCAAACTCCCAGAGTACCAAAAATACATGCCTCAAGCTGGTTACAAATCTGGACCACAGGCTCGAGCATATCCAGGCTTTGACCACTGGCAACCTGTGCCATGGTTTTCCCACAAAGGACAAGACTTCCCTCTATTTGAAAATCAACAACCTAAAGAAGTCTGAAATGGTAAGCATAACTTGTGTATATTTGTATTATGAATTTTTTAAGTCAACTTTCTCAACCATAACTAACTGTCTTTCAGGGGCTGGTGTCCTATAATGCAGAGCATTCAATAAAACATGTTTTACTTAGAACCTGGTCTCATTTATGTGTCATCTGTAATGCAAGTCATGGTGCTAAACTTCTTTGCACATCTCAGGGGCCCACAACACACAGTGGTAGGACAAGTAACTCCACTTAAATAATCAGCACTATTCTAGTTGAGATGAACTCTTGAAATGTCTAGTGACTTCTGAAATTTGGTTTCCAAGCAACACTGGCTGGGTGACTTCACTGATGTCCTTCATAAACTGCAGTTGCAGTCCTCTGCAGAGGTTGCTAAACACAATGAGCCTCAAATTTGAGATTTTATGCAAAGGCTGCCTTAAACTGAATATCCTAATCTAGCCCTGAGAGAGAAACCTGGGACCCTGAATATTGGGTTGCAGTGTGTGTGTGTGTGTGTGTGTGTGTGTGCACAATACTCTACAATGAAATGCCATACTGCACAATGTGTTTGCAGTAGTTAACTCTTAAACGTGTTACTACTTCAGTAGTTTCCATGATCAGAAAATGATAAACTTGATCATAAATTTAAGTTATGCAGTAGCATCTGAAGTAGAAAAATTGGAAATTGGTGAAATACTTGTGTGGCAACGCTGGCTGCCTCATTCTGCTTTGTCCTGGATTTTAACATTAAAATGTTTTCTCACCTATGTACTATACACAAGACTCCATCTGTTGCACCAGTGAAGCTGCCAAAGCAAGACTGTTGTACCAAACAACTTGGAGATCGGGAGCAACTTTATGAATGTGAGTGTTGCAGAAAACATCTGTTAAGCTTTCTTTTTGTACAAATAATTTTAAATTTTTTTTGGGTCATGATTCTTTTTTTTCAAATTTTTTTCTGCCTCTAAATAATTTTGCTTCTGATTTTGTGTGAAACCCACTGCTCCTGTGCACTCATGCAGTGCACACACACCCAATTCTGTCTGTTCCTATATATTTCCACATGGCGGTATCTCCTCTGGTCATCTCGTGACAACACACACATACACACAGATCTACACACATCACTGAAACTAAACCACACGAGACAACAGGGAGACGTGCAGTGTTGGTCTCTTTGGAAGAAGCATGGATGCTCGTCTGTATTTTTTCCTTTTCATTTACTAGAGCTCTTCGGTGTTAGTTGGCTAGAATTAAAGAGCACTGAGCTCAGGAACATGAACTATTCTGCAGAGGAGCAAGAAATCCTAAAATTCATCCTTGAGCAGTCATCATACAGTCTCTGTCCAGCATGGGAGAAGCAGTCATCCTTTTATGCACCACTGTGCTTATCTCTGTTTTGCTATAACTGCTGCTTTTGCACTTTTACTTCAAACATCTTAAGGAGTGGTTGCATTTCTACAACGTAGGTGAGTGCAATGGACTGCATGTGATATATATGATTAGAATTTTTCATTTTAAAGGTGAAAGGAAATTTAGATGGTAGAGTGTACCAGTTATGCATTTGTGTTTCAGAAAATTTGGAGGACTTTATGTTGTTTCATGACTTCTATTTACATAGAAAAATTCAAAATGAGAGAGTACAGACAGAGATAAAGCACATAGTGTCTGCATAAGAAATGTTTAAACAGTTTGATGTTTAAGCCCATGTGACAGCTCTATTGATCAGTTAATTTTATCTGTAATATCACAGAAAAATTAAAGACACCATGGAAATTAAAGAGATTGATAAATGCCTTCATCCAGGAGGTTGATTTCAGTCCTGTTTCAGTCCTCACCTCCGAATATCCTCGGTCTATCTTTAGCCATATTCCCAGCCCCTCCCCCAAACATGACATTTGTCTCACCCAATCAACACAGTTTGTCTTCATGGAGGACTTTGATGTGGACATGGACGAGGAAGAGGAGGGAGAAGTACTCATGAGAAAGGCCAAAGCAGGTCACTGGTGGGAGGACTGTGGAGATGGCAACTGTGACATACAGCTCCAGACAGGAGGAAGAGGCTGCATGGTCAACAGCCGCAGCTGGGCTGAGGAGCTCAAGGATATCTTTGCACCACAGGCTGAAGACTGTTACAGTGGAGGGCGAAGCAGACTCTCCAGCATCTCTGTGAGTGATTGACTTAACTCTTTTCCGGTCTGAGCCACACAAGCACTGAATTCCTCCCTCTTGAGTCCACTTGTTTTGACAAATTCTCTTAACCAGAGGAGATAAGATAAAGATAATAATTTAGCACAAGTCCAGGTTTCTCCAAATAACAGACATCTCAAAGTATTAGAAAAACAAAAATTAAAAAACACTATCTCAAGTCACGGCTCAAGATTAAAAGGAAATGAAATTAGCAAAAACCGATCATATACAATATAGAACAATGTGTACCCAATTGCATTGGCATTCCCAGACTATGCTATATTTGGTTTCTGTATATATGTAGATATAATATATGAACATGATGGCCTGAGAGAAATGCGTGGCCTGAGGATATTTGGCCCCTGATGCTGATGAAGGATGAAAGATGATTCAGAATGTTGTGTGGTCTCATCATCCCACTGCTGCATTGTGACACAGCAATGTGGGAACTAACTGTGAGTATGAGTGCGTGTATTTGTACGCGTGTGTATTTGTGTTTCTGTACGCACGTGTGGGCATGTGCATCCTGTTTCTCCTTGTTTCTCTTACGGCTCATCACACTGAATCCGTGATGTGGAATGGGGCTGGAGGAGATTCCTTTAGGAGACAAAACAAACAGATATAATGTATAATTTAAAAAAAAATTCACCGCTCTGCTTCAGGCCAGGTCGCAGACGCCATGGTCAGTGTTTCTACAAAAGCACTGACATTTATTAGAGGAGCTCTCATTGATCAGCTGCTGCCTAGTTAATGGTCTTGTTTTCCAGTGTTGCAGTCTCATTTATCAGACTATGTTTAGCCTGGCCTTTTAGCCCACCACATCACCCTGCCCTTATTTCTGTAAATCTATAGCATCTGTCTCCTCCTATCTGGACACAGATTTCTAGCAGCTGCTATTTGTTCCTTTCTCTCCAATAAAGAGAAGATATAGAGGAGAAACCGAGAGAGAGAAAGTATGTGAGGAAGATGGAGGAACAGATAACAGATCAGGAGAGCTGTGGCAGCACTGAGCAGCCTCTCCCCTCCCTACTCCATTTCTCTCTCCTCCTCCGCTTCCGTCTCTTCCCACTCTTTCCTCTCCTGCTTGCACATTACTCCCCCCCCCACCGCCTCTTTCCTCCCTCCCTCACTCCCTCCCTCCCTCCCTCGCTCTCCTGCACGGAGCTGCAGTATATGAGAGGGTCTCCTGGGTCTAGCTTCACTGCAGTGTAGAGAAGGGCACGGCAGCTGGTTTAATACAATGCGATGAAGGATGGTGCACCAGGAGAAACGCGTTTACCAGGTGTGTGGATTTGTGTTTGTGTGCGGTGGTGTGTAATTCGGAGGGTGTAGCATACGTAACATAATATTTACAGGTATACATGATAGGTATCCATCATGGGCGTGCTGCTGTAGATGAATCAGCCATACTGGATGAGTGGATGTGTGATTGTAAAGGGAGTGGGTGTGTTCATATGTGATATTCACCTGCTTCCTTTTTTTTTACATCTCTTCTGTGATATTAGAAATAATTCCATCTCAATGTGTGTGATGTCTATAAATCATAACATGCTTTTTTCCGTTTTTTATTAATGAAATCATTCTGTACCATTTACAGTGACCATAAGGCTCTTTTACCGTACAACATACTTTCTTCTGGAAGGATGAAATAGGTTCTGTGTGAATCTGTGTGTATGTGTGTGTATCTGTGTGTAGACGGTATGCAGGTAAGGAGGTCATACAGTAGTCTGAAGCGGATGAGCAGGAGGCAGAGCGTTGGCTGGGAGAGTGAAGGCGATCAACTGTGATTTATGCTCTTACATCACAGCCTCATCTAATGATGCGTCACTGAAAACGTGTGTGTGTGTGTGTGTGTGTGTGTGGGGCCTGTTTTTCGGCAGGTTATTTAGAGAGAAAACCCTGACACACAAGAGACACATCTCTAATTTTAGCAGTGTTATTCAATGGCTGTTGGTGATAGGTGTGTGTGTGTGTGTGCGTCACAGGCACACACACAAGTAGGCAGCCTTAGGACATGTGGGAATTTGGCATACAGTCCCATAATATAAAAATACTTTCCCCATGGTGCCAGAATAGAAAACCATGCTGTGCTGAGGCATTTTGTTCGGCATTTCTCTGCATCAAGACAAAAACTGTGAGACTTTGAATCCTACGCAGCTCAAACGACCTAAAAATGTTTGTAGTTGACAAAAAGAAATGAGGCCAGCTACAAAGTGGAAGCTGAGATGACGTGAAAATGATAAATGATACAGGGAAGGATGTAAAATGAAGAAGTAAGAGAAGAGAATGACGAGGAAGAAGAAGAGGAGGAGAAACTACATGAGACACCATGCCTGGAGATGAATATGAGGAGAGGAGAGAAGATGTCAGTCAAAAGAGACGAGTCACATAGGGGAAGTTGTGAAACACCAGCGCAGAATGACGCGGTTACATTTTTAACCACTTTACTGTCAAGTTAGCCAAGTCAGAGGATAATTGATGACTTACTGATCTTATACTCTCCTGGTTGCAAGTGATTAGTAAAACCCTTAAAGAGTTGTTCATTTCTATAATTGGCTAAAAAAGGAGAAGTGTGGTTTACATCACAATCACTGTAGGCTGAAAAAGATGCATTAGGGATGCTGTGTGGGCCTGTAAAGAGAAAGGAAATACTGTATTGTACACTTTCCCTCCATGTTGAAACAAGATGTCATCAAGGCACTGTTAAAGGTCCTATTTATAGGTTTTGCTATTACTTCATAGCCGACATTAGTATTAATAGCTGAAGAAATGTTGCGAGTTGAGCATATAACTTAATTCCTTTACTCGCTGTCTCCAGCGGTGGAAAGCATCCCTCTTGTTTTGCTTCTATTTCTCTCACTTCTCTCCTTGTACTGAATTAAGCGTAACCAGCTAGCCCTGGTCCAGTCAGACTGTCTTGTCACTTTCCGATACCGAGTCACTAACAGGAGGGTATTTGTGCCACACTTATAAAACCGACCTGCGCTGAAATCTCAGCTCAGCACGAACCCCACCCCTTTGCACATTTTTGGATTATCCAGGAGTTAGGTGGAGACAGTTACTGCCAAGATGGCAGATGGCGATGATGGAACACCCAATCTTAGCTTTAAAACCGCTCTTCAGAAACCTATGGCTGATGTCAAAGAGGCTACGTCTACCTCTATACACAGTCTATAGGTACAGCCAGGCTATCGGCAGGTCGTCACTCTACACACATAGACAAAATAAAGGCATTAACACTCACATTCATACCTGCGAGCAAATGTCCACTTGACCTGACCTGCATGTCTCTGAACTGTGGGAGGAAATCAGCGCACAATGATGTGAAAGAAGTGCCTTTTTAATCAGCATAAAATGCAGTCCCGTATTTTTTGTAGTGCCTGTATGACAAGCATAGCCAGGCTTTGGAATTTTACACGAACTATTTAAATGTGATATTTTTGGTTAAGCGACTATTTACAGACAGAATAGGAGTAAGTAGTGCAAGTGGTGATGTCTGCACCTATTATTTGAGCTCATGGAGGAGTAGAAGAGAAGGCACAGAACCAATCTTTATAAATATGTTAGCTATGCTCTGATAGAGTAGTTAACATATTTATAGAATTATAATGGCAGTGTCATATGTGATCTCACAGAAGGTTTATCTTAATATGTGAATGGCAGGAAATTGGATTGCATGACTTTGCTCCATTCTTTTCAGCTACACCTTCCTCTACATTATCCACCAACCCCCCCCCCCCCCCATTTCTTTTCCTCATTTTTCCTTTTATCCTCCTTCCAACCAGAAAATGCTTTGGTACCATACAAGTATTTATAGCTCAAATTTAAATGGCATTTTACACACTCAGCTTAATAATTCTTCCCACAAGTATGTCCTACTTGATCAATGAAGCAGAAATAGCAGCACAGCCACAGAACTTTTATTAATATCTTTATATTCATGTATTTTTCTGGGTTTCTGGCAGGCCCAGAGGAATGAGAGAGAGTCCATCAGGCAGAAACTTGCCCTTGGCAGTTTCTATGACGACGAGCCAGTCATCTACACCAGCTGCAGCAAGAATGGCCCATCCTCCCGGTGGGTTTGGATTGAGTGTGTGTGTGTACAAGTGTGTTACGGTTTGATCAATGTAGCTTTTTGAAGGTTGGCACCGATATTTTTGTGCTTTAGCTGCTGACAGCTGAAACTTTAACTCTATAGATCTTTTCCATATTTTAATCTGGGAGTAATGTCACAAAAACAGTTATACACTGATTCCATTAATTATTGATTAACAGAAAACATTACTAATCTATTTTAAAGCCTGAATATAAAACTTAATTGTAGGTTTTGTAGCCTGTACATGTGTGCTATAGGAGGGACCTCCATATTTAGACCAGGCCTGTGTAAGGCACTTAATCAAACACTTGCTCATCATAGTGACTAATAAACTAATATGTCAATATCAGCCTACCTTTGTAACAACTTTGACCATGTATCTCCAAATTTTGTGATTTGTGAATTTTTCAGATAAAGTCAAAGGTAATTTATGGATAGAGGAAAAGTTTTTTCTTAGCTCTTAAAAGTTGGCTTTTTTGGAAATACATGGTTTTCAAAGGACTAGGATGTAGCATTCTCCATTTACCTCAGTGGCCTGTTTTGTAAGATTTGCAGTAGCTTGAGCTCTGTCTACATGTCAAATACAGTTGCAGCAACAGTTATTTAACAACCAGCAGAGGGAGCTGTTCAGTAGCTCAGCTAAGTAAAAACTACACTACACACACATATATATTCATATACACACATATTATAAAACTGACTGGAATACTGAAGGCATTAAGGGTAAATGACAGTAAATGATAGACTCCCCTTTGAGGAAACCATGAATCATGTAGTGGAGAGTGCAGTGCAGTGCAATAGGAGAGGTTACGTAAATGAGTTGAATTACCTTGTGCTTGTGTCTGTGTCAGACTTGAAAAAAAAGAATGAAGGAGTCATTTAAAAGATAATGCAAAAGGAAAGTGAAAGGTTTCCCGGTAAGCCACGGTATTGTTTACAGTCAGTCCGTCATTGGACTGAATAATAACTAATTTTCCATCAGCACCAGAACAAAGAAGTACCAATATGGAAAGAGCATGCACAGATGAGGTGGCACAGTGGTTAACCTCTATTACGTGACCAGCTGCTGAGACAGAAACCTAGCGATGCCCCAGCTTCATGAGTCAGACAAATATTAAAGAAATTCTCATGGTGGGCTATGGATTAGATATTTAGTGCAAAAATGAGATATCTCGCACTGAAATATATGTCACCAACTGCTACAAAAAGCATCAAATGTAAACAGATTATAACATTTTTCATCTCCAAATAATTTTATTCCTTTTTTTTTCACCTGTAAGGTATAGTGACATGAAAATTATAATAAAATATTTTAATACATTTTTTTTACAAATACAAATAATGTTTGACAAATAGATTTTTAAAATAATATTTTGTTTTCATTCCAAAAATGAATATAAATATAAATGGATTGTGTTATAGAGTAGAAACCAAGCTAAAAGAAATCATTTTCTAATGAAATTGACTGATTTCATGTATGTAAATGAGGTTTTGGGTATTCACAAACACATGCATGCAGACACAGTGGAGTTGCATTACATCACACACAAGTTGGTTAACCAAAGCCACTACACCTACAACACCATGCTGCTTTCTTTTCATGACAACTTTGACCTCTAGTAACTTTCTGCCACTTTGAGTCTTTCATTGGAGGGGGCGTATATGTTAAACAATGGTCCGCTCCTCCCTTGGTAGTGGCTACTGTTTGAGGAAGTGCAGTTCTGTCTTCGGTCCAAATGCCTTTGAAAGAAGAAGTGATGCCTTATATAAACCCAGGACTGTGATTGGTGTTTAAGGAGTCATGTGACCTCCACTGGAAGTTAAAAAAAAAAGTGCACACCCTGGGATTTAGTTTGGGGTGGAAATTCCAACACCACCCTGTCCAGGTTGTGAGATTTTGTATATGTTATTGTTCTCATCCTGGTGTAGAGGGGGGATACTTTGGGTTGTTAGGTTATTTCAGTCAGACTATCATGATCTGGAAATGGATGAATTGTGTTTTGAGCTCTTGGAAAGGTTGAGGTTTCAATGGATTCTGTGTAACTGCTGGTCACACACTGCTTCTCTGTGACCAAGGACCATGTTATGTTTGTGACTTTCATTTTGTTTCAAAGATTTCATTTGCTTTTGTTCCTACTTGATTATGTCATACTTTGTGACACTACTGACATCAGTGCACTTACTGGCCACACAGAAGATTTTGGAACCCGGCTGCAGGGATTTGCTGCGTGAGGTCAGGCTGGGCACTTACGTTAGGCGATGAGGTCCAGGGTTACAGTTGATGTTGATGTTGACAGTTGATGTTCCTGCTGGACTGCTGGATGGGGTTGAAGTCAGAACTCTGCGCAAGGCAGTCAAGTTCTTCCACACCAACTCTGAAACTGAATAGAAGAGAAGAGAGACCATTTCTTTATGGACTTCACTTTGAAATGCTGCAGCATTAAGATTTCTCTTTTACCTAACCCAAACCATGAAAAGCAGCCTGAGACCTTGTGTTTTACCAAAAAGCGATAAAAAGTTTGCCAGTGGTCAGTCATCTCCACCATTAATCCCATGAGCATCTTAAAAAAAGAGGTCATTAGTTTAAGGAGTATTTAGAGCATGTGTCACAACTTGTCATTGCCGAAAAGAAAAAGAAATACTTGAGCTTCTTTTAGAAAGACAAAACAACAGTGCTCTTCCTCTTACACTGTACAAAAAAAAATCCAGCTGATTCCCCATTGAATCTGGCATATTATATACACTGTAGAACAGAGAGCTACAAAACATTTCGATAAAAGATGTGCCATTTTGTGGGAATTACAGTAATTACCTGAATTAAATGTGTTTTTTATTATTCATGTTAGAATTCTACAAGCGTTTGAACTTTTTTTCTCAAACATTTCCTGGCCTTTCCGGTTTTCACTCCTTTCTTCATTATTGAATATGCACAATTTCACCTTATGTACAAATACCTTTAAGGATCGTCCTGTTGAGGATATATTTTAAAGATCTAAATTCATACCAGGTCCTACATGCTGTCGATGTTTTATTTAATGTGGTTTGTTTTTTTGTGTGTAAACAAACTCAGTAGCTACAATCAATCCGTAGTTTCCTTCTTCTCCCTATAGGTTTCATGATGACTAGAAGATATTTTGAGGGTCTGACTGAACATCCACATTTCCTCTCTCATGTTCTTCACCCTTTGTGTTTTTCTTCTCAGGCTGCAGGGTGGTGTGAACCTGCAGGTGTGTTTCGTTAATGACAGCAGCAGTGACAAAGACAGCGATGCTGAGGACAGCAGGACAGAGACCAGTCTCGACACGCCGCTGTCACCTGTGGTATGCACGGCTTAAATGTCATCTCGGTGTTTGTATGTGTGTTTCTGTCTCGTCCCACTACTCTCATTGCTCTTTGTCATGACTGAGAACCACATAAGCAGTTATGTCATGATTTCACATACACTACTTCCTCTCCAGAGCAAGCAGAGCTCTTCGTTATCAGACCGGGACACGGCGGAAGAGGACTCAGACCCGTTAGATGACTGCAGCGGGTTCTGGCGGGTGCAGCGGAGACTGCAGGAGGAGGCCCGGGTGGCACTAGCTCTAGCTCGACCCATGGCTCGCATGCAGGTGGAGGTGGAGAGGCAGATCCAACTGCACAGACGTTCACCTGTGGCTGACTTGGTTAGTCAGTGAGAGATAGAAACACAGATCAGGGATTTGTGTCTGTGTTTGTGTTGCTCTTTACAACTTCAATAAAAAAATGTGTTTTAGGAAATGATTCAGGGCAAAAAAATATCCAAAAGTAAGAGCAGAATGACTGACTGTAAGTTGCTGTTACAGTAAACACAACACAATAAATATTACATAAGGGACTTGCATGGTCTGACCAGAAGGTCAGTCAGTGTTTAAAAGTGGACACATGTGTGTGTGACCAAGAGGAAACCCCGGATACTGATGAACAAAAGAAAGTTTGTCCTACTGTTGATGGATGAAGCACATTTGCAAACCCAGATAGACACATACATGTAGATACAGTTGATCAATATAAATGAACAGTTTGCCTTTATTGATTTTGCACATTTTGATAAGCATTTTTTCCCTGTCTGTGTGTGTTTTCGTACGCAGCTTCCCCATTTGCCTCACATCAGCGAGGGTTTGATGAAGAGGAATTTGAGGCGAGGGGACATGAGGGACATGAGTCTTGGACAGCTGCAAGTCATCACAAATGACTTACACTCACAGATTCAGAGTGAGTAGAACAGACACACACAGAGCAAACACAGAGATACACACAGATATGACACAAATCTCATCTGGAAGTATTTGATAAACTCAACAAATCCCCCGTTCTTACATTTTGACGGAATATCATCATTGGCAGCTGAAAACTATAACTACTGACTAGTTTTGAGGTGTTGCTGATAAAAAGTCATTCTTTGATGTGCCCTGGTGGATTCGTGGTCAAAGAATTACAGCATTGAGAAATTATCTTGATTTGAATCCACGTACCCTTTTAAAGTAACTCTCTACTGAGCTTTTTGGTCTTTGAGTGTTCTGAAATATCAGACTGAAGTCACAAGACTCAATCAATGAGAGTTAAAATGAACTGACAAAGAGAAATGTTAAAGTTATGGTTCAAAATATGGGCGTTTTCTAACATTTCCTCCTACAGCTCCTAAATTCCTTAATTCCTTTTCCTCCTAATTTTATAGTGAGACCCTCAACAATGCATTGGTCTCTAGTGAACTGCATCTATATTATCTGACACAGGTTTAAATGAGGAGCTGGTGCAGTTGCTGCTGATGAGGGATGAGCTTCATGTGGAGCAGGACGCTATGTTGGTGGACATAGAGGACCTCACCAGGTGAAGCTCTCACTTCACTGTCTGTTCTTTGTCTTTTTAATATCTGTCAAATTCTCCCTCTCTACTTCAAATACTGTCAGAGATGAGCGGTCCGTAGAAGCTGTATTCGGACGTTTCGCTGGGTGTCCTGTGCTCATTCTAATGTACTTCTTGTCTTTATCGCGACAGGCACGCCCACAGCCATCAGCGGCACCAGGCAGACAAAGCTATGTCTAAATAAAACACCCTGTCTTCACGTGTGTCTGTCTGCACGCCACCCAACCCACCGCTTCATGGACTGTCACCACTGTTACCAACGAAACTCCATATCTGTGCTGACTGTTTTCTGGAGAGATGAATGCAGGATATAGTATAACACACACATAATGTGTCGCACCACAACACAGGATGTTGTCAAAGGACAGACGTGATTGCTGTTTTCAGTATGTGTGGGCTTTTCACTTCCACTCGGCATGATTAATCATAGTATATTTCACAGAATTAGGGGAATCCTCTTGACACTGATTTACCTCTTCATTATTTTGCACAGTACACTCATGTATGTTAAAGCTGGGTCAGAGGGAGCCCCTAGGCATCTTTTTTCTCACTTATCTCAAAGAGGATGATGATTTTCAGGGGCCACACCTAACTGAAATGAAGATCAATTAACATCGTCTTTTGTTTGTCTCTATAATGATCAAGAAGATTTATCTGTTCTTCTGTAGATATGCAGTATTTACCAATTTCATTACTTTCTTTTCACTTAGAGCACTGTGTCAACACTGTTTAACACCGAATTTCACTATAATAACGTCTACTGTCTGAGCAACAGAAAATAACAAACACTCTGCATCTGTGCTCATGTAAAGCTTAGCTTCACAGAGGTCTTGATCACTTAGGCACAAAATTTGATGTAACAGTTTCCACCTGCTTTAAATATGTATTAAGAGCTAATTTGGACCACATTTTGAACTATTTAGACAAATTTATATTCATCAAATGTGGTGATACTTGAAACATTAGACAAAATGACAAGATGTGAGTTCAAAAATTATTTTGGGTTAATATATATAGATAGAGGAGGCAACAGGGGAGGCATGTTGACATGAACAGCCTCTTAATAAAAATATGCAATGTGATTTTTGTCATGCTCAATTTACCAATGCTGAAAGTTTAACATTAAAAAACAAATATATTAATAAATCACAGTCTAAGCATATATCTATTTTATCTGTTGAAAAGGTTTATGGACATATTGTATGTAAATGTTACAAGATACTTTATTATAAGGATGAGGATCATGCCTTGTTATCTGGCTGTGTTTAGGTGTTTTCACTCTCAGCTTTTTAAGAATGTCAATTAACACAAAGTTAAACTTTCTTTTTCTATTGTTTGCTCTATTGATTAATGTACTGTATAATGATTGTAAAAAAAAAAAAAAAAAGGCCAATAATAAATGTTTCAATGGTGTGAACTTTGTCTCTATTTGGCCGGTTTTCATGAGATTTCATTTGCATTTCATGTTCCAACTAAATCTGTATGTATCAATATTAACTGTAAAACCAAATGAAGGTGATGCATGATGAAAAAACACAGACACATGAAGATTGTTTCATCAAGTGTAATGCGGGAAAGTGAGTATGCTCTCATTCACAGTTTTAGAGCTGCACAAATGAGTGCTGAGTTTCTCTGGTCAGTCACACATTCACACTTCTGTTAACACTTAAGTAAGTTTTCTGACGGATTACCACAGGGGGAACAGCGCTGACTGTAGGGACAAAAATTAAAGATACACTCATAAGATGATCTAAATAAACTGCCGTTAACTTTTTAAAATATCATTAAATGAGCAAATGAGCCAAAGAAAAAAAAAGTTGCTTATTTTAATCAAAACATAAGTTTTTACCTTCAACACTTGTGAACATATACAAGTTAATAAATAATCTCCGCCTCCTATGGCTGCGCAATTTTAAAAATATTTAAATGATTTGGCTCTGAAAAGTATAGTCAACATTTATAATAGTTATGTCAAAAAATACACCTACTTATATCTTAAGAAATAAATCTTTAAATAATTTTTTCCTGTGTCACCTATAAGGATAAGCAGTATGACCAATGAATGAATGAATTTATTTTTTCTTTAGAAGCCAAAATCTCATACGTATATTGACAGTATTATATTTTAGTTTTTATATTTTTTGAGTTATTACACAAATAAAATTTAATTATTTTTCCTAAATATGTCATAAATTTATGATAACAATACTCTATAGGCCTATAATAAAATGTCAATTTCTAAGATTTACCAGAAGCTTTATTCTACTGTAAATAAAGTTAAAGTCTCTGTTTGTGATTACAGATACATTGGACAATACAGTACAAATGTTAAACATGACTGTTCAGCATTACAGTTTAAAATAAAATATACTTTCACTCTGCTCTCCCCTTTGGAAATGTCAACAATGAACAGTCAGTGTCATCAGTGTGACGCTCCATGGTAACCTTAAGATTGATGTATAGAGCTTTTACTCAGTGCCTGTGTTAATTCCAGTTTCACCAAAGCATTCAGTGATATTGCAAGGGGGAGAAATGAAGTTACACAACCTTTCAATTTACAGTTAGGCGTCAAAACACTGCTGTTACGTGAGGGAAATCCCTGCGTCACTCTGGGTATAAAACACTCAAGAATGTCTGAGTTCATCCACAATCACCAAGAATCAACAGTCTTGTCCAAGATGCCACTCATCAAGCTCTGTGAGTATAAGACACTGAAATATATCTTCTACCTGCAAGAAAATTGAAATTCAAGATTTACTAATGGAATGTTATTTTTCTCTTTTTGACAGACTTCACTCCTGCACTCCTGCTGCTGATGCTCAGCTGTCCTCTGTGGCAGCTCAGCCAGTCTCTGCCGATGATGAGAAATGGACCAGTGACCGACTCCTGTGTCTTATACGGACGAACACTTCTACAGAACATCACTGTGGCTCTCTCAGAGGTAAGCCAACAAAACTGATGGTGATGAGTTTCTATCATCTTTATCTTCTTTATCTTTAATCTGTCTTGAATTTGCTGTTTTAAAGAGAAAAAAAAAATCTCTTTCCTTGTCACAGAAGGAAATGTTCCATGCAATCAACTGCACCGAGCAGAGTGTGGAGCTGAACATGGAGACTAACACACCATCTGTGTGTGCACCAAAGGTACATCATGAAAGCTCACATTTTTTCATATACTGGTATTTCAAGTTCCAGACATAGCAGAATATTCTGAAATAAAAACCATAATATCAAAATAAATACCAATACTTTATTCTTATCTCTATTTTATCTAGACTGAACAATTGTAACTGTAACTCTGTGATATAACTGAGCCACTGTATTATAATACAATAATAAAAGTTTAACTGTGTTTGTCCCATAGGAATCAACATGCTCTGGAATCGCTAAATCAGAATTTGATCAGGTGGGTCGTTCTGTCTCTGTCAAAAGTGATACTTAAAGAATACCTTTTTTTCTATTGTTGTATGTTATTTTATACACTTAAAATATATCTTTGACAGAAATGTCAAGTAAAATAATTCATGCCAATTGTACACATTGAATTTAACTAACTTTGCTGTTTTCCAATCAAGGAGTCATGTCTGACAGAGATTGAGAAGGACCTGCGTCACTACTATAAATTTCTCACAGCCCAGCCGGACCCTTCTAAGTTACTTGACAAAATTGTTCTGTCCAGCCTCAGAGAATTCATGGAGGTAACTTAATTTACACAATACACAGTATTTCAGCAGAGTTTGAACTAATGCTAGAAAAAATTTACAGTGGCTGTCCATGGAGTGGCTTGTTAGTAACAATTCAAGTCCCCATCTGCTTTATCTCTTTTAGATATAAATATATTTGAATAACAACAGTTAAATTCATGTGAAAGGCTAAAAGGGGAGAATTTTCTAAGAGACGCTACAACAGAAAGGTCTCAAGTAAAATCCCAAAACTGCCAATGTTTACATTAGTAGCTCTTGTACTATTGAATTGTTCATTATACACACAGTTAAATGTTAAACATCAATCCTTTCCTCAACAGAACTGCTTCACATGGTCTCTGTCCGCAGACTTGACCTCAAAGCAGGTAAGTGCATGTCACAATGACAAGTTAGAAATACATTGTGATTTTTTATTTTTAACTTACTGAACTCTCTATGGATTAAAACCTGTAGAAAGAACTAAAAGAACATGTTACCTCCTTTTTCAAGAAATACACTAAAAATAGAAAACTGAACAGCCTTTTCTTCTTTTGGAAAACTAGTCATTGTGTGACTAATAAATCTTTTCTAATGACTGTTTCTTATCTTAAAGGCTGCTGTAGAGCGTGATAGCACCTTTGAGGAAAGACTGAACCTCTGCAAAGTGCTGAAGGGATTCCACATCCGCACCATCACAATCAACAGAGTCATTGGATACATGAACTCTGGTGAACACGCTAAATAAATTCTCTCTTGTGCTCTGACACAAAAATATTTTCAGAAAGCAAATAGAACCATTTTACATACAAATTACATCAACTACAGCAACAGTTTGTGTTACAATCAAATAATCTAGATGTGACAGAAAACACTTCAGTCTACTTTTATAACTTTTTAATGTTAAGCTATATATTTATTATTTTTATGTCATCATATAATTTATATTTAACATCAAAATGATGTGTTAAAGTACTTATTTATGAAGTGTATTTACACACTAAATGCTATTTATTTATTAACCTTTTTATTTAAATCTGGACTATTTATTTTCAACTATTTATTGTTGTTATTTACTTCTTCTGAGACTTATCAAATAAATATTTTTCCTGCATAAATCTGGCTGATGAATCATTTATTTGTTCACTATTGTTTACTCTTTTCACTTCAATTCCAGAAAATGTATTACTGTGAGAGGATGCAAGTATTATTGTCCTTGATTAAATGAATATACAGTGACACTTGGTCACAACAAGTACATATGGATCAAATTTAGTCATTGGATTTTCCTTCTTTCAAATAAGAGCCCAGACGGCAGTGGTTAATCTATTGTAGCTACTAAACGACAATGTATGTGATTTCCGGGAAAAACTGAATTTGCTGTAGAGGTCCTGAATTCCTAACTACATGATTTTCTTATTCTGCCACAGGACTATTTCTACACACCTGACTGTATTTTCCTGTAACCAACTCAGCCTAACCAGCTAAGACTTTTGAGAATCATTATTTACTAACAGAATGCACGAGGGTGTTTGTTCTAACTTCAACTTTTGGAAAGTCCAGGGTTAATAATCAGCTTACTATCAGGTGACCATAATAAAGTCAGTAAAAAGTCTTTTGATATTCAGAAGGATGTGAAAGTCAGTCAAAGGATATTTACTGTCTGGTGTAGTATTTTGATTAAACTAATATTTAGAGTTAGGGTTTGGGCTACACAAGGTCAGATTTAGGGTTAGAGACAATAGAAATACAGCAGATAGTCAAGTGTCACTGTATTCAGCACATACTGCATGATACGTTTACAAATAGCAAAGAAATAATATGAATGTTCAGATAAAGTTGTAAAGACTTAGTAATCTTTGCAGTGTTAACTTGTTCAGCTCAGTGCCCAACAGTGCCATCTGAAACTACACATTTTTATTGTGGGAATAATGTTTTGAAAGTGCAGGTAAGCTGTGTTGGTTATTCATAAAACCTTACTGAAAGTGAAATAAAGCTTTCAGTTTTATTTTCCGTCCATAGTGTGTTCAGTGGAACTGGCACAACTGAGATTTGTGGCTGCTGGGGTTGAGAGAGACCTATGACAGTCTTGCCACAGAAAAGGTGTGAGACAGTTAACAGAAGAGGTGGAACAGACTCAGAGACACGGGAGAGAAATAATGAGTACGATGTACAAATATATATGATAATGCATTTGACAAATATGCATTTGTATATTTTCTAAGCTCTGTAATTATTGCCCTATTGCTGTCTTTTTTTTCCTTCAAAAAAAAAAAGAAAAGAAAAGAAAAAAAGAAAAAACATGCACAGGAAGAGGAAATACTGTAGTCTTCCCCTCAGACTGCATAGGGCTCCAACAACTTCCAAATACATTCAGTTGCCAGTTTATTAGGTACACCTAGCTAACCTGAATTGTATTGCATGATACTGACAGGTGTATCTATGTTCTGTCAACTCTATTTATATCAGTGAGGGTAGGACGAACGCAATACAATTTACCAGCACCACAGAATGATCATACATGAAAACCTTTCTAAAACACAAAAAAAAGGACATTATAAACTTCATGAAGTTAGGATTTATAGCAAGGTTGTTGAACTAAACTGCATTAGTTTTAACCAGGCATCCTATATAGGTTTACTGGTATAAACTAGCAACTGAGTGTGAGTAGGGAAGTCTATATCCTGACAGGTAAAATCCGGGGCAAATAAAGTTTTCAGGCTTGTAAGGCATGCTCAGCTGCTCCTGTTATCATGTTATTATTTCAGATTATTAAATTAGTAAGATGGTAAGACGGTGACGCTGCCTAGGTCAGGACAAAACCTCGAAGCACCAACAGACATTAGCTCAGTTACATTAAAATGCCGTGTCTATCGTAATCATTTTGCAGCTGACAGACTGAACTTATATGCGGTTGTAGTGCCACCTAGTGGAAAAGTTAGCTCGTGGCACATATGTAGCTTAGCCTAAGAACCACACTAATGTACACATTTATAAAGTTATGTATATTATAAATTGGAGGCTATTGGTGAACTATTAATTAATTACGTAGACTAAAAACTGCTGATTAAGCTAATACCTTTACGTTGATACACTTGATAGTGAAATAGAGCTATAATCAGTCGAACCAGGTGCGTTTGAGTAGCCCAGTTCAAGTCAAATCAACGAAAATGACTTACACCTGTGGTGATATTTTCAGCGGTTGCAGCACCCCGTCACTCCTTCCAAACCCGGATGTTCGAGCCCAACGATGGACCGAAACCTGCAAAGACCCTCTTCTTGGTGGATTATCGTCCTTATCTCAGTTTCTACACTCGCAGAAAGCCGGTTAGTGTACAGCCGAGGCTCCAGCGCAGCAAACTCACGCACCCAGACCAGGACTCACGATAACATACATCCCAGAGAGCCAGCGGTAAAACAGCAGCAAAGCGCAGAGTACAGTGTGCGACCTCGGCCTGTCGTGGTCAAGTGCCACCCGGACTCGATGGAGGTCGTGGTGCAGGCCGACATGTTTGATACAGGCCTTCAGGTGGACGGTACACATCTGCGCCTGGGCTCAGATTCACTAGCTGAGGAGAGTGCATGCAGAGCATTCCCGTCAGGAGTCGCTGAATTCACCATCCGGACCAACCTGATTGATTGTGACACCAAACTCTCAGTAAGCATTGTTTTGTTTGTATATGCAGCTCTAGTGTTGTTGTGGAAAGTCGTCACTAAAATGTTTCACCTGTTTGTTTGGGTATTGTTAGAAACTTGGTTCAGCAAGTGTTATTGATTTTATTATGTAGAATATATTGAAAACTTACAATATTCTTTTCCAGTCGACAAAAGAGAAGATTGTTTATTCTAATGTTCTGGTCTACTCACCGGAAGCTTCATCTGATGGCTTGCTTAGACTGGATGGAGCAGCAATTCCAGTTGAATGCCATTATGAAAAGTAAGTCATGTTTTGACACAATAGGGAGTGTGTGTGTGTGTGTGTGTGTGTGTGTGTGTGTGTGTGTGTGTACTGTAGGATGCAGCTTCTTGGATTTTGATAGGATTATTTCTGCGTTCAGCCCTCATGGACAATTAAACAGCACTAAGAATTAATCTTGAAATATTGATGTGGCTGTGTATTTTCAGGAAATATGCTGTGGATATCGTTTCTCTGCATCCAACCTGGGTTCCTTTTGTCTCCAGGACCTCAGCTGAGGACCAAATAGATTTCAATCTGCGACTCATGACTGGTATTGAAAGGATGGCAGTGATAAAGCATCTTTTTTTTTCTAGTCTGAGGAGTCTTATGTAACATATGAGTAATGCTTCACTTTGAAGCTGTCTGTTGTTTTCCATCTTGACAGGTGTGTTTATTTTTATCATTTTTGTAGATGACTGGCAGTTTGACAGGGGGTCTTATTCATACTTCTTGGGTGACCCCATTCATTTTGAAGTCTCTGCCGTCATTGGTAACCACATGCCCCTGCGAGTCTATGTTGACTACTGTGTTGCCACAGCAACTCCTGATGCGGAGACAACCTTAAGATATGACTTTATTGAACATTATGGGTAAGCACCACAAGCATATAAAACCATTTCCTCCTGCAACCATAAAAAACGAAAGTGCATCATTCTGGTTTTTGACATTTGAATGAACTGCATTCCTAACATTTTGTCCTCCTTTGCTGCTATAACAGATGTCTTACTGATGCTTACCTGACAAACTCCATGTCCCGCTTCTTACCAAGAGTTGCGGAGCACAAGCTGAGATTTAAGCTAGATGCCTTCAGGTTTCACCAGGAGCCCAGGAACCAGGTCAGTTGCCTCTCCTGTATGTTTTTTTTTTTTTGCTGTCACATCTTCACCTTTGTGCATGCTGCTGTAAGATGCATTTGTTACATTGTTTTGTTCAGTATACATGAGACCTGAAGGAGGAGTTTGGTTGTATTTCACACTAATATCTCTCCTGTAGGTCTACATAACCTGCTACATGAAGGCTGTTCCGGTCACATTAACTGTCAGCTCACAAAACAGGGCCTGCTCTTTAATTGAGAACAGGTATTATATATTATTACTAATGATATAGCAGTTTTATAGTCAGCAGGGTTGGTATAGTGTCACAGTATTATCAAAAATTAAGGAGTAAAGTTTTCCCTCCCTTCCCTTGCATTTTTTGCTGGTCTCACAAATTTGAGAAGTGAGTTCCATTTATTGAAAAAAAAAATCCCTCCTTGTCCAGATGGCGGTCAGTTGATGGGAATGACCAGGCATGTAGAAGCTGCAATATATCCCATCAGGTTGAGGAGCCTCCCTCAACACAACCCCCTACAACTACCATCAGCACCAAAGCCTGGTCCACCATGATTTCACAGGAAAGTTTAGTCCAGAGCGGAGATGAGCAACATCCAGCCAGATATATCCGTTTCCGTCCAGGAATGCAGCAGAGCCAACAAAACAAACCTTATCAATCTTCTGATAGATTAATGAAGAGGGGAACAGACAATAAAGCAGGTGAGTACAACAGATATTATATATTCTGAATTATTTCCTTTTTTTTTTTTTTTTCTTTTTACATCAATCTACTGTATGTACAGTTGAGTAACTGCAATACATTTTTTTTGCATGTCATTCAGCCATAATAAACACAATAGATCTTTTAATTTGAAGGTTAATCTCGTCATTCGACTGTCTTTTCCTTAATTATATTTAAATATACTAGTTCAATGCAGCTGAAAGAAACCCTTTCCCATTTTTAATGAGACCCCATGTGATTTGTTTTTTTCAGAGAAAACTATGCAGCTGGGACCTCTTATTGTCCTCCCATCCAGCAAATTTGTAACAACACCAACAGATGCCAAAGTGGTGCTTTCACCAAAGAGCAACACCACCTGAGACTTGGGATAGCACACTGAGGGCTGTTGATTAAGAAAAAAAACAATGATTTCACTGCTGCCATGAACAGGACAAACATTTTTGGCACATGACAAACCCTGCAAATGCAGAGATTAATCTCGTCATTCTAGTCTCTTCTCATTTGAGTTTTTCCTGTCAACCATTTTCACAGGAACAGTATTTACCATTCTCCATGTACTTTAAGGGGTATTTTTTGTTACAGTTCTTGTCTTTTCCATACAAAAGTCAACTGCTTTTTTTTTTTTTTTTTTTTTTTTTTTTTTCAATAAATATTTTACCACATTAACTTGGGGCTTTTTGTCGCATCTACCTTATGCAAGAACAGATGAACATCACAATTTACCCCATTACTTGATATCTGATCTTTACAAAATCCAACATCCTGTAGTTGTTGGCCAAGAATTCAATATGGCTTAAAGCAAATAATTTAATTAGTATTGGGTTTTAAGCACTCAGACTCATTAGGCCCATGCAACAGAAGTGGATGTCAAAAGGATGTGTTGTGTGTTTGTGTATTTTTACACATACGCACAAGACATAACACAGAGTGTATGCTTTTGACATCCACTGTAAAGATTCATCAAACATAATACTGGCTATTTTGAACCAAGGAGAAAGGCAGACATGCTATTAGGGAGCATTTCCCTCCATTATTACCCACAACCTACTCATCATGTAGTCACATAATTGATCAATCATTGTGAGGGTATATAATGGAACATAAAATGTTTGCTTTGCTGCAGCATCCAGTAAAATGATTAGTCACTGTTCTCTGTAGTATGGACCTACTTTTGAAATTGAATCAAAATTAGATCCTTTTTGAACATTTTTGCTGACTTAACTGTTGCAGTCTACCCAATGAGAGTTTTAGCAAAAGTCCTTGTTGACTGCACTTTCTACTTGCAGCATCACATATACGAATCAGCACGAGTGGATGTAGACCAAACCATTGCAGCCTTTTAAGAGATGACCTGACTTGACCCCTGAATGTACACAAAGCCGTATTAATATTGCAAATGGAAATAGACCCTCTGTGCTCTTCCCTGCTGGAACATTTAAGTTATTTGACTTTCGTTGTGTCAGCACCTCGGACAGCACCCTTCATTGTTTTCCCTAGAGGGTGGGCTGAGCGCTCTCCATGGTCCTGAAACAACAACCCTGGCTTCTCCCGGCCGCTTGTTTTAATGTCCCTTCCCCCTCGCCTTCATAATTAATCAGAGGTCATTTTTCAGTGCTTTCTACACGACTGGTCGATTTCCTGGGCGCCTGTTTACTTTCATATCAATGATCAGCAGAGAAGTGAATACTACAAATGAATGTGTACTATTTTCTTGACGGCATCAATATATTCGCTAAGTGCATAATAAATCCTAGGCATTCTGAAATACACTTAGGATTTAATGTTAAGCTTATTAGCATATTCATATGTTGCAGAGACAATTCGTGCAGATTCATCTGTCTGAGTAACCCTAATTATAGGCTACTTCAGTGAATACTGACTATATTCAATGTGCGAACATATCTATGTGATTGTTCGTTTCCCATCTTTTTTCCAATATTTTAATATGTCCTCTGTTCTTGCGGTGCGCTGATGATGGATCTGCGTCAGCATTACAACCAACGCATCTTTCATTGTATTATCCACAAGTGAATCGTCTCGCACGCATCCTGTTTCCCAAGCGTTTTTATCCAGTATCAGTGGATCGTTTCTCCCATTTGAACAGAAAAGCGATGTTTTTCCACAGATGCCAAATGCTGGTGGTGTTTATCGTCTGCTTTCTTGTTCGCACAGTTGTTTATTCCATTCGAAAATGTGGACAGGTCCTTTGCCGGGATGACCAGGTCTGCTGCGTGCAGGGAAATGACACCACTACCAGCTGTTGCAAGCAATTCGTGGACAAGACTTACTACAACATCGCCATGGTCACCCGGAAACTTTCTGGGATTCTTATTTTGTTGCTTCTCTTCGCTGTGGGATACTTTGTCCAGAGAGTGTTGTGTTCTAGGTCCAGGCAGCTCACCCCGCCACACAACGGACACCCAACTGTTACCACATCACAAGAACCGCTTGTGGAGAGCTGCACACCGGACAGCTTGATGGATCCAGCCCTAGCTGCCCAGCTGCCCACATACGATGAATGCAAACGCTTGCCGACATATGAAGAGACGGTGCGGGATGGGAGCAGGGGACGGCTGGAGTCTTCTATGGGACAAGCTACATGACGGGGATGAAGTGGACCTTTACTATTCAGCAGTGTAGATCGACATTTGAGATTGCAATTTATATGATCAAAGTTGATATTTAAGAAACACCAAAAACAAACTGCCCAGGACGTTGTCTGGTAGCCTGTTTTCCCTGCAGCCTGATGTATTCTTCTGTGAATACTTTCGACCTAATATTTTATCTTACGTTGCACTATTTCTTTCCAGAAATGTGTGGGCCAACGAGAGTCCAAGTTTTCTGTCATGTTCTTAAAAGGCACCCTTTATTAATGGCTTTGTTGTTGTTGATCACCCAATGTTTCACAGGTCAGTAACAAACCACTAATGAGACTACGTTTGGGGTTGCCAAGTCTCTTTGGCTGGAGTAGTATATGATGCTGCATCATGATACTTGCTCTGTCTTTTTGGCTCTTGATTTCATCAGGAATTATCTTGAAATAAAAACCATTTACAAACAACTTCTTATCATTTAGCACAACAGACTGGATGGATTATTGTAAAAAGCCCAATGATTTACACACAACCAAGAATCACTGCAGCTGTGCCTGTATGACCAAAACATGCCTAAAAACGTATGGTTGTTTATTATAGCTCGCTGATACTGATGCTGTATCAGTGAGATGCCTATGTTTAATGTACTTGCCCATGACTGTGTGAGATAATCGAATTCTGTTTAATAATTGAAAGAAGATATGCATACACCAATGAAAACATCTTTACAGTTACTTATTGTGTGTGTCGGGTACTCAGCAGTGGTTTTAATGCACCGTAATACACTTAATGGTATCTTGTGTTTCCTGTGGTGCCCATTAGAGTATGATCATATTTTTACGCATTACCCACATAACTGAGTGACTGTAGCCTATGCGCATAAGAATCACTGCATAATGATCCAAAAGGCTGGGTCTCTTTAAATATGATTTATTGTTGGTATGGTTGTTAAGGGAGTTAAGATGTAGAACAACTTATTTCAATGTCAATGGTCTGGAAATAACACATTGCATCTAAATAAAACTTAATGTCTACTACTCGCTTTTAGGTAGTGCACTGTTTCCTTGATGTTGTCTTTCATCGCCCCAGTGTGTGATGAGAGTTTGACCATTTGGACCACTTGTCTGAAGGCCTCTTCAATTCCAAATCCCGTCGATGCGGAACAAGGTTGAACGAACCAGTCCCGACCAGAGCAGATCTTCCCCAGGTGAAACCTGTCTTTGATTTCCGTGGCAGTCAGAGCACCGTTCACGTCCTGTTTGTTGGCGAGAATGATAAGCGGACGGCCCGGCAGCTGGTCACTCCTCAGCGTCTTCTCCAGCTCCCTTCGCGCTTCCCCGAGACGCTCTCTGTCAGAGCTGTCCACCACAAACACGACGGCTGCTGCGTCCTGGTGGAAACTCTTCCAATGCTCCCGCATCTTCCCCTGGCCACCCACATCCCACACGGTTAAGGCAATGTTCTTCCTGTTCTTTCTCGCGTCGAGCATTTCCACGTTGAAGCCGATGGTAGGAACGGTGCTCACGCAAGCGTTGTGTTTCAGTTTGTAGAGAAGAGTCGATTTTCCAGCGTTGTCCAGGCCTAGGAGGAGAACTTGGGCTTCAGGTTGCTTAGATCCTCGAAGGCCCATGGCGACGTGGAAAGATAAAGACGATCAGCTGAAGTGGTCACGTTATCCAGTACAGTTCTCTTTTGACGCAATGTTTGCTTAGTGCGTTGCCCAGAGTTTAATGGATAAGCCATTTGCTCTGTGCTGACTATAACTCAGGGCTCACCTATACGGTGCCACATCAGGGGGCAAAGTTTGTACCTGAGGACATCAGTCGTTATGTGCTTGCCACTGTAAAAACCAATAGACCTGTTGTTCATCCATTTTTTAATGCAATGTGCTCAACATAAATTATAAAATGTTATCCGACATTTTACTGAAACAGCTTATATTCTGCTACTTAAGTTATGGCTCTAATAATACTATTAATAATAATAACTTTATTTATATAGCACCTTTAAAAACAGTTTACAAAGTGCTTTGACAACAAAGTAAAAACATTAACAGGCAGGAGGCAATCTAACAACAGAAAGCCGGTCAGTGAGGCCAAACAAAAGCAGGACAGAAATGAGGTTAAGTTAAAAAAAAAAAAAAAAGAGAAGACATAGGCCTACAATACAGCCTACTTCAATATAAATAAAAACAATTGGAGAGAGTAGATGCAGTAAAAAAAAAAAGCAATTAAAGAAATAAGAGGATGATAAAAAAAAAGTTTTTATTGAGTTAGTCTGTATTAACTGAAGTTTTTATTGAGTTAGTCTGTATTAACTGAAGTTTGTTTTAAGAAGTGATTTAAAAGAAGTTACTGACTGCTACTGTATAAAAGGCTCTGTCCTCCTGTGTGTGTATCATTTGTTATTTACCTGCAGGAAATGACGTGTGCACCCTGCAATCAGTTTGCGGAAGTGTAAAAAAAGTGGAGAGATTTTGAGTTAGTATGCCTGCATTAGCCAACAGTTAAGTCTAGCGTTTACCCGTGACAACTGATGATCTTCTTCTCCTGTGTGCTCCAGTTGTGATACTCTGAGTACTGAGTTAATGACGTGAAGTAAGTGTCTGTCGCTCTCTGTTACGTCACGTAATATATTGTTAAGTTTCACCTGGTTAAGTTTCCCCACGTGGGTGTGCGTGTGCACAGCGTGATGGGGGGTATTTCCGTCATTATCACAATCCTGTAAGTGACTGGAGAAAGTGTAAGTTAGCTGTTGTCATTTTTTACACCATTAAGGTGAATTAGGAGCGTCAATTGTTGCTAGGACGGGTTGGTAATGTCTCTGCGTTGTGTGTACGCCATTGTGTAATGCCCTGTTTGACCAGCTGGTGTCGCCATTGGACTATGCAACCTGGTTCATTATGAAATGTTTGTTTATTTCTCTGAATACGATCATATTCTCATTTGTATATTGTAACTCTGGGTCACTATTTATGTTATATTCTTACTCTGTGTAACCCTAAGGGGCTGCTATGTTAAAGGAAGGCCTTACCCTGCATATTCATATAGTTTGTATCAGAATGAGTATTAGTAGTGTATTTGGTACACATATATAAATATGGAGATTTCTTTAATAATGTTTTACAGTAGTTGCTCTATGATCTGTTGCTGTTAAGATAGCGGTTTTATCCCCAAATGCATCAGTACCTACTGTTTGTAAAATAAGAAACCAGTCTTTTCTACATGTTAGCTAATCCAGTTCCATATGGCTTATTTTCAGACTAAGTATAACCTGCTATACTTAGTGCTGGCTGGTTTCTCTGTGTTTGTTACAGTCAGGCTCACATGTGAAGAGGTATCTGATCTTGGTGAAGCACCCCATACAAATGAAATAATTATATAATTATTAAAACGGAATATCCTCTACAGAGTCCATCAGCAGACTTCAGAGGTTCACAGTTTTCTGTCTGTCCAGCAGCATCAAAACAAAGTTGTGTAAATGTACAAACACAGCCACAACAGCTAACTACAACAGCCACAAATTAAATACTGAACTACCATTCTGATCAAGTCTCCATGCTGCAGTCTGCAGACCAGCATGCTTTCAGTCTGTCATAGATGATCTGATGTTGGGGTTTGATTCATTTAAAATGTATTCTGTTCCAACTGCTTGAGGACAACACCGTCAGCTCTGTGAAGAACTAGCTGAAGAAGATCCAGAGTTCTGAATAAAGATTATCCACAATGCTTAGAGAGTCAGAGGGAGGATGAGGAGGTTTTGGATACGGAGTGACTATGATTCTCACACATTTGTATCAGATCTATGAATTCTTCCTGGCTGAAAACAGTCAGAAACTGTTCACAACTGATGTATAGAAGAGATTTCATAGAGAGGGGGAAAATAAGTACCATCTTGATGAAATCTGAAAGTTTACATTTATGAGGTTTATTGTCATTTCTCCTCACTGAGTACATTTCATGTTTGTTCATTCAGGAACTATAGAGCTGCAGTGTGCTGACGTAAACTCAAATCTAAGCTGAAGGAGAAGTTCCAAAAGCGGGACACCCAACCCATCTGAATCAGATCGACACAGAGCTCTACATCCCAGAGGAAGGAACTGGAGAGGTCAGTGGTGAACATGAGGTCAGACAGATTAAAACAGCATCCAGGAAACCAGACAACCAATCGGACAAGACGACATCACAATAAATGATTTCTACAGTGAAATGTTGTAGTGGTATGAACCACCACTCTCACTACTGCTTGGAAATCCCATAACTACATACAATGCACAATTTAATGTTATTTTGTCTTGGTAGGTGGTGAACAGTGGCTTTTTAACTTTAGTCTCTAGTTTATGGATGTTTATATGTATTTAAGACAGTTGCACATGCTGCCCACTGCACATTCCAGAACATTTATTGCTGCAGCTTTTGCAGATGTGCATGTACATGTATGACCATGGTGCACTGTGCCTTGTTTACATACAGTGACATGCAGTGATTATTTACCTCAAATCCATTCTGACTCAGTTCCATCATTTTAATATTCACTTCAGTTTTTCCACAACACATTTGTCTCCTCAGTGTAAGTGACAATCAATAGGCCAACATGATGCAGCATAACAACAATAATAATAATAATGAAGAACAATATCGAGACGTCACCAACCAAAAAAAGAAATGTAGTTTCTCAGTGAACTAGCGCTGGCCTGCTCAGTATAAAGAAAATAAAGTGAGGTTTAAAGTTCTTTAATGTTCATTTCAACATACAAACAGTCCTCATACTATCGCCGTGACATCCTCTCAAGATAAATAGTAAATGTCAGTTGGATGTTGTAATCCTCAGACGCAACATCACTTTCACCTAACCTTCTTAAAGTTTCTAGAGTTTATCAAAAACAAAAGCAACCATTAAAAATTCAGACATTAAGCTGCTGCGACACTTCAGTTATTCAAAGTAAGTCTGGGCAGACATAAAGTCTTCACTCTCAAGGTGACCTCCAGCCTATCACATTCAGACTACCGTCATTGTTTAAAAAACTGTTTGATTTAAAAACATTTCTTTGTGCAAAGCATATTACACACATTAACAAAATGAATCCTAAAAAGGAAGACAAAGTCAAATAAAAAGGAAGGAAAAATAAATTAAGGTTGGTCAGCCATTGGAAGAGTGCAGGTTTCACTCTGTTTACAAACCACAATTCAGTGGTTTATGTTAACCCAGTACTGACCTATCCCAAGCTCCTGTCTTTCATTTGTTCTGGTCCACATTATTCTGCAAATACAAATAAAATTAGGTGTTTTCATTCTTATTAACACTTAGTGATTATCTCACAATCATGTTGAAAACAAGGCATGCGCATGACGCATGGTAGCCTACTCTTAACTTCCTCTCACCGTCTTCCACTGCGACAGTGTCTCATACAGACTAACTCAATAAATATCAGTGATCAGTCCGTCCAACTCTTCCGTGTCGCGGAGACGATCCAAATCCACCTTGACGCGTGGAGGCGCAGCTCAGCGCAGGAACCCAAAAATCACCGGTTTCCTGCTGCTCGAGAGAAGCACGCACAAAGTGCATCCAATCACCGGGTGCTTGACTCAGTTCCATCGATGAATTCGGTAGCATTTCATTTCAGTCATTTATTTTTCTATCTAGATCTGGTCCACTTCTCTCCCGGCTTCACCCACACGCCGCCGGTTGGGTTATCCATCACGTACTCCAGCCCCCCGGTGTCGCAGCGGCTTTGGGGCCAGGAATGGTGTGTTGACTTCTCCAGTGCCCGGCACGAGTGAAGATAGGCGGACTGACTGGTCACCTTCCTCTGTATGTGAACAACGGAGGCTGGAGTAGAACATGAGTCCATTCTCTGATACATGTCCACTGCGCCAAAGCGGTGGAAAACCACCCTGGCTTCTATGGAGGATTTGGAGCCGTGCTGTCCCATATTGTTACTTAAATTGAAAACAATCCAAGAAAATAAAAAAAAAAACAAAGCAGAATTGTTTTATTCTTGCTGAGTTGGCTGAATGAAAACTTTCTTCCACTGCAGCCTGCGCTCACTTGCCTCACTTATAAAGTGCCAAATCCATATAAAATAGGATCAAGACTTCCCGTAAAGCTGTGGTGTGACGCACTTGACTTTATGGTCATTAGACACCTATTGCAATGCGGGTCTTGAGCATTTGGATCACTTCATGTCCGAGCTATTCTGAGTATCTCCACCTGGCACAGACTGTCACTAAACTCGGCGTCACCGAGCGCCTCCGAGCTGTCTCCGCCCCTCCTGAAGACTGCAGCTGGGGGCCAGTTGCTTTGCAGTGGCAGTGCAGAGCTATACGCCAAAGAGTGCTATTTTTGTTCCAGCAGAGGCATTTCAGAAACACGCAGAAGATGTCACGTGTTTTTCCATAACCTCACTCTGACCTCACCACCTCATTTGTTTGAGCAAACAAGGGTGTTGAGACCGGTGGTTGGTAGCCAGGACACAGCCGAATTAAGTCCCTGGAAAGGCCATAAAAAAAGCAGAAGAAGAAAAAGAATCATTCCTCCGCATTTAGCTTATTCTTGTTGTGCCCTTGAGAAAAGCGCTTCAGACCTAACCACTCCAGGAGAGCTTTCCAATATGGCCAGCATCAGGTGTGAGTGTGCACTGCACCAAAACCTGTTGTGTGCAAAAAAAAAAAGAAAAAAAGTAGGAGGCTATAGTGTCATTCAAATGAAGAAGCAGTGGTCATAAATTGAATCAGATTAAATGATGAATAAATGATTGAATTTATGTCGTGAACATGCTGCACAGTCATAGGCCACTAGAGGCCAGAGTGGAACACAAGGCCTTTGTAGTAATAATAAAGACTAAAGGGGAAATATATTTCAGATGAAAGAGCTTGTTTAATACAGATAATTTACATACAGAGTCTTTACACTTTTTTTTTCTTTTTACACCGAGCATCAGCTCAACATGTGTGAATCATGAACTGCCTCTCAAATTAAAGTGATGGGTATCTTGTTTTAGTGTAAACTTCTGCTCATGTACAGAAGGACAGAAAACTAAATATACAGAATACTGATTTGGCAATCTGCCAGACACAAACAAAAAATAATAAATAAGGCATTAGGTAAACTGTTAAATAAAAAAAGGCTTCTTTCGACTGATGTAAAGGTCATGGTACACAGTGGTATAAAGTAGCTGAACTTAAAAACAGTAGTAAATCAAGTAGCTATGGTTTACTGTAACTTTCCTTGACAGGTTGTAGCTGTCGGTGACACCGGTCGTATTGCTTCAGGAGCATATCATATTTCTAGCTACTAGTATTCTGGCTGCGGCTGTACAGTTTGTGATGTGTCATCTCTGAGTCAGGTTCTCATGGCAGCAGAGGCGTGGAAGTCTGTTGTACCTCCTGTTTTATGTGCTTGCGGGTCAAAGGCAGCCACCAGTGTCCATGGATGCGAACGAACTTTGTTCATGAACATGGATAAGCCAAAGCACATGCCCTGATACAGATGGTGTAAAATCATTTTTGATGCAACAGTTAACATCAGCTCCATAAAATTGCGTTACCAAGAGGTGAAGGTCAGGAACTACATCAGGTTCTACATACATTAAAACCCTCTTGTATTACTGAGGATATACAGTGTTTACATTGGCTGATATGTAATAAGAATTTGCCATTCCAAAAAATACAGTTCTGAAAAGTGCTTTTTTTTTTTTTTTTTTTTTTCAGAATTCTGTGTGTGTTTGTGTGCATATGTGTGTGTTGAATGTTGAAGTGATGAAGTGGTGGTCCACCCAAAATTTTGCTTTTGAGTACCACTCATGAAAGGTGGCTGTAAATGGCAGTTTCAGCCTTCAAAGACGAGAGTGGCTGTGCCAGTTTGGATGACGATGACAAAGCATTTCAAAAGTGATCATTCTCCAGAGCGGGAAAAACAAGAAAAGTTGATAATTAATTGGAAACTGTCGTAGCTCATTACACTTTGAGAAGTTTGCAGAATCATGTTGAGCATGTGAAGGGGCCGTTACATTTTCCAGTTACAAATACTCTTTACTTATTCCATCTTTAAACAATGAATTATTAATTATATTTTAAAATGGAACAGCAAAATTACTTTGAGAGGTTGTTTAAGGTATCCTCTTGTTCATTATCGCCTTAACTTAAAAGGTATCTTTAATTTAAAGACTTGTAAGCAGTGTGGCACCTCAAAATTAAAACAAAATCCAACCCACAGAGCAGTAGAGGGAGCTGTGATTTGTCAGACTCCTGCCAATCTTTTTCCACTCTATTGAATGCAGCTAGATGATGAAACTACAAATGATTAACAGCCACCTCTCAGTTCCACAGGGAATGAGTATTTGATACTTAAAAGTTAAATTTTGGGTGTAGCATCACTTCAAGTTAGATAAAGGTATGGATCCACTGGAGTCTCTTTTTTTTTTTTTTTTTTTTTCTCAGGTCAACAATGTGATACATTACATACATTATGTAAGAGCATCATCAAAATGCAGCAAGCAACAATGGTCTTTGTAAATACATTTTTAGTAGCTTCCTGTAGTTGCACAGTAAGTTCTTGAGTAGGCACTAGTTTAAGCCTCCTCTGAAGAAGCCTCCAGTGGAGCTGTACCATTCATGTGCATGTACAGTAAACAGTAGTAAATCAATCACAGTCTAAAGAGTGCTGGTTAAGAGAAAACCCCTGTTTGGTGTCTGCTTGTCCTGCATTTATGCATCTCCACTGTTGGAGAACATCTGTATTTTAATGTATTCATCATTAAGTTGGCAAATGGTTATTGGGTTTATATTGTGTTTACATGCCCTTATCTCAAGTCAGAAACCTACAAACAAAAGAAAACTTCATTGTTACATGTGTTTGTATGTATGTGTTTGTATGTGTGTGTGTGTGTTTGTATGCTTCTCAGAAGTACAGGCCTCAGTGTCTATATTTCATATTCTCTCAGTCCTCCATTGATAACATACTTGTTGCTCCATCCAGAGGATGGGGAAAATCATAGAAAACATTGATCACAATGTGAGCTCTAAACTTGACCTACTCCCCTGACTTGCTGCTCCCCCCAGCTCCACTTTTGAACTTCACCACCATTACGGTGATGTTGTCGGGACAGCCGCGGTAGAAGGACTGGAGGACGATGCTCTTGGCCCCGAAGTGAGGCTCATCCAGGCGCTCGCGGACGAACCGAACGGCCTCCTCGTTGCTGAAGGCGTCCCACAGTCCATCAGAAGCCAGGATCATGAACTCTGGCTGCAGTTTGTCCAGGTCAAAGGTCATGATATCAGGGTCGGGGATGACTACGTTGAGGTTTTTCAGTGGGTAGTCCCCTAGAGAGCGGGACATCGCCAGGATTCCCTGCACTCTCCAGGAGCCATTAAAACTGATGAAACCCCCTGGAAGTGAAGGTAAAAATGGAAAAGTTATTAATTAATTAGAGCTTAAGTGTCGGATGATGTGATAATGAGAAAAATGTGCTTGACGACTAATGGTGGGTTACTTTGAGTCTATGTTAATTGATCCACAAATGTACTCATGTTTGTCTGCTGTGTGAGTGTGACAAAGCACAAGCTGCGCCCGAGGGAGAAAACTACTCTTAATAGATCTGAGATAATGTGATAAATGCTAACTTGAGAAAATCCTTTAATCACACATCTTAGGTCTCTCTTCATGACATTGTTAGCATGTTTAACACACTGCTGTTCCTAAACAGACCATCAGATGGCAACCAAGGACCCCAAATTCAACGGCAGGGAAGCGTCAGGTCGTGCATGTACATGCTGTGTATGCCTTATATTCTCGTGCTGTTGCTCTCTTATGTACCTGCCCTCTTGATCCTCTTGCGTTCTTTGAGCTGATATGGTTTGTGATCATGTGACAGTGCGACAGCGTTCCCATCTTTGTCACACAACACACCGCGAGAGTCTCCGACGTTGGCCACTGTGAGTTCTCTGTCTGACAGCAGCGCCACTAGACATGTCGTTCCTGCACAGGAGATAGAAATGGAAAGACAAAAAAAAAAAAAAAAAAAGGAAATGGGGGATAGATTTGAAAATTTTAGTAAATGTCCCACAAATGTGTTTACAATCCTGAATCAAATCTGGGTATAATATAGTTTAATATAAACAGCTGGGGGTAATGGAAGCTTGGGTTTTACCACATTTTTTTTTTTGCTACCGCTTTGTCACACTAATTACATTACACTATTATATTTTTATTGATGTTTCACACTATAATAAACGCAGTTTACAGTCTTTAACTAAATTCTCAGGGCTCAAAGTATCACTACAGTCTTCTATGATGGCATATAGGAATACCTCACCTTTATAATTCAATTTACAGATTTTTGGAGGAAAAAGCATTAAAGTGGTGCAACCTTCAAATGATAAAAGAGTGGGACCACAGGTAAAGTGGTCAGTTGTACTGTAGGTCCAGCACAATGATTATAAAACGATGAAGTCACTCCCATAGAGAGCGAGAGAGAGTCATACAGTTTGTGTCTTGTTTCTTGAGGTAGATGTATCAAATTCCACCAACTGATCGGACTGGACTCAAACTCTGAAATTTACATCTGTGCAAAGAGTAACGTCTACACTATCAACGCGCGGCAGCATAATGTTACAACACTCACTCTATTCAGTCAGAATTACAAGTGAACTGCATAAAAGGAAACCTTCACAGAAATAAATGTCAGCCAGGAAGCATTGTACTGAGAGGATATTATACAGAAAACTGAGATTTTATTTGATAGCAAAGGTGCTGTGACGCACCATGTCCTTTAAAAGGCAGGCAGCGTGAATGCCGAACGAATGAGCACTTGAAGGCATCACTCTAACATCGATCCTTTTACCGAGGTTTAGGAGACGTGGCACAGAATGTTTCGTGCAATTGTTGGGTCTCAAAATGAAATAAATCACAATACATGTAAGTGCACTCAAAGGGACAAGTCATTTTCATTTCCCAAAAACAATTTTTCAAGTTTAAAGTAAAAAAGTTTTAAAGTAAAGATTTTCCAATTCTTCCTATTCTCCCTCTGTTGGCTCATAAACTGACCCCCTCCCACACACACACACACACACACACACACACACACACATTATATTCACTTCCCACCACTCTCCTCGCCCCTCCTGACCTGCTTCATCATGGTTGGCAGAGAGCTTGTCCAGCATCTCACGATCCACAGCCAGGATGCGCTGCTCGAGGATGCTGGTGTAAGAGAGGGCGCTGTCTCTCTTCTCTCTCTCAAAGGCCTGCAGCTGCTGCTTCAGGGACTCGGGCAGGTGGGCCTTCACATAGTCCGCTGCAGCCTGGGAGATGGAGGACAGAGAATCAAGCTCGACTCTGCTGATGGTCAGTAATGTATAGACAACTGCATGAGGGCTGACCGCTTGTATGTGGCCAGATTATTATGCCAAATTATAAGAGTTTAAAACTGTGCTGATCAATATTTTTCACGTATAATGTGAAATTTGTCACTCATAGTGATCAAGCCACAGAGACTTATCACTCAGCTCTGCAGTTCCCCTCAGCTCCAAGGAAACTTTAGCATCTTTCAGCTTTTTGTTTTGGTTTTTCAGCCACCAACAGCACTGTTTTCAGCCACAGCAGGCAGCTGTTTTCAGTGGGAAACGTTAGCGACTAGCTGGTGAACACAGTAAAACATTTAACTAAAAGGACGATGATTATTGGACTTATAAACATGCTATTCGTTATAGCAACTTTGTAAGGTGTTTATATGTATGTGTTTATATGTCTATGTCAAAATGTTGTGTTCACAGCTTGCTGCTGCCCCCAATAGCCCAAACAACTTGAGAATGTGCTGCTTTACAGAAACAAAGTCATTTTTGGTGCTTTAATTTTGTACTAAGTTGAGAAAACCTGTTCTTATTCATATACAGTAACTGGCTGCACTGTATTACACACATACATTTCATCACATTTATTAATTATACTCAGTCCGACAGGTCACCGTAATATTGTAAATTAGTTACTTATTAAATCTTTCCCCCCTGTGGCTGCCAAGTAATATGTTCCAATACTACTCCAATTTAGAGGAGTGCTTTTTTCATTACATAAAGCAGGTGCTCGGTGCTGAATTATTGAACAACCCCCTCCTCCTCCTGCCCTTACTTATCTGCTTCTTCTCTCATTTTTTCTGCCAACATTTCCATTATGCTAATGCTGTCGAGTGAAATGTAAAATGGGAAAATATTTTTTACCAGCTTAATGTCCTGGTAGATACAGACAACATATTTCATATTCACAGTTCCGATGGAAATTTGGACACTTGGGGCCGTTCAATCTGCATACTTCGCTGTAGTGGCGTGATTTAGCAGTTCTACAGCACAAGTATGTGTGTACACAAATTCAATTTTCAAGTTTTTAGTTTCTACTCTACTTTACTTTTCACAGATAACGTTGCATTTTAGTTTTAAATACCTGAGAAAAGATAAACGACCGATATCTCTGAACATGTGGCACAACATTTCATCTTTTAGCCTCTATGCTGCATTTTATTCATAGGCAACTAAAACTGCCTGTGTTTACATCAATGCAGAAATCACAGTTTACCACAAATGAGATTTGAATTGACAACCACTATAATTCTACTCAAAATGTTTATCATGAAGTACTTGGAATTGGAAGTAAAATACAACAAAGGAACCTGCACATGAAATATTATGAGAGATGGAGACATTCATAATGATCACTAGAATAAAGCCATCTCTTCCTGCTGACCCCCATCCCCCTCTCATTCCCTGCTGGACAAGTGTACTCATTCATTTAGTTAATTGGAGAGAGAGGCACACAGTGAGCCGTGATCAGGAAGAGAGCTTCAAGTATAAATTTCCATTTGCAGTAAACAGCTGAAAATGCCAGGGTCTGTGCAATAATCCTCACACAAGACTCAAATAATGTTCACTCTGAGGATTTAATGAGTGAATGTGAGGTTGATTAATTAGTATTTGGGATCTCTTATTGATTTTGCTGCTTTATTAAATCCTGTTTGCCCCTTGAGTCAGTGCGTAACTATAAAATTCAATTTTATACCGAAAAGCAGTGGAGTGTGACAGCCTGTTTAAGTTGTAAACTACTCACAGTTTCTGCTTCAACAGCAAATAGTGTCAGGGAATCAAGTTAAAAGAGGAGCAGCAGCTTGTGCTGACTTTTATGATTCTTGGGCATAACTCACTGCCTCGATAAAACTACAAAAAAAAAAAAAAAAAACAGAGACTTGTTTGAGAAATTTCCTGCATATTTTCAGTGCCAGAACAAACTGCACTGCCAGACACAGCCTGTTTTATCTGCCCATATTTGCTTTGGCAACATTGCTTCATTTAATATAGTCAGTGTGTGTGTGTGTGTGTGCGCGTGTGCGTGTGTGCGTGTGTGCTTATGGTTGTGCCAAACTGCATAAAAAAACACTGGCAAATAAACGTTCTAAGATATTTACACATGCAGTAGTTTTCCCCACGACAACATTAGCACTGAGATTCCCAGAAGAACATTGGACTCATCACCGATATACTGTTATAATGCATTTACTTGTAGTGCTTCATTTTCAGACTGCGAACTTTGTTTATAACTGAGTATGTTTCCATATATCAGGAAGTGTTCTATTTATTGACGTTAATTACTCCATAATGGCTGGGGTCCATGTCAAAGTGACCTCATTCTTTTTGACTCCAAAAATCCTACTGAAAGATAAAAGGATGATTATAAAGCATAAAAAAGATAAGGGAATAGGGCAAACAAAAAAAAACACATTTTAATCTAGAGACAAATTTGAAGACAGAAATGGAAGAACACAGGTGGCAGAAGAGAGAGAGTGGAAAAAAAGAAGTAAGAGCGGGAGAAGTTGCGACAGACAGGAAGGATAAATATTTGTATATGGGATAGGAAAAGAGAGTTCACTCTCTGTTTATCTGTTGTCTCCCTCTCTCTATCACTGAACACAACCCAACTGCAACTCTTGCACCTTTTTTTTTTTTTTTTAACTGACCAGGCAGCAGTTCCCAGAGTATTTTTCTGTGTAATAATATGGATATATATATGGATATGGATGCATATCATGTCTGATACAGGGTTGAATGATGTGGTGTGACTTGATATTAGATCAGCAGGACATCATCTGGTTCAGAGCTCCCAGCTGTGAGTCACGCCGATTTCATTTTCATTTATGGATGTTTATGGTTACAAACAGCTCACAGAAACATTACCCCTTAAACTACAGGCAAATCGGAGTTGTTGGATATTGGAAGTTTATAAATCTGCTTAATGTTTAAGTTACATATAACACTTTTTCAAAAAAGGTTCTTAGTTAGTTAAACTGCAGTGACAAATAAATCTCCTGGAGTCAATGAAACAATGGCTTTTATTTGACTCCTCTTGGGTTTGCATGTGATAAAATGTTTGTTAAATTAAATTAAAAAAAAGAAAAAAAGATGTCACACAGGAGGACCGGGTCTCTAATCATGAAACTTAGCCAGTATCATTCAGTGAAATGTGTCCTATACAGGAACCTGAGGGGGACAGCTGTGATGGTGTGACAGATGGCGTCCAAGACAACCATGAGAAACCACTGACCCCTTGACAACTGCAGTGAGATGAGGAGAGACAGACAAAACCTACACACATCACTAAGCCTGGTGAAAACACACACACACACACACAAGCTCTTTGTGATGAATCCTAAGTCAACTCCCTGACTGGCAGTGGGACGGAGGAGGTGTTTACACAAAGGAATACAGGGCAGGCGTGGGGAGGGGGACTGCTGTATTTGAAAATGGGGTGAGGATGTAACGAGTAAGACAAGTGCTGTATGCCTGTGCCCCAATTCAAATAATTGTGTTCCTATTGAAACCTGCTTTTCTGTGGTGCTCAACGGATAGTGTTATTTTTGTTGCCGCATTATAGCAATTAATGTTCCTATAGGATCTAATATTTTTTGAGCAATAATTTATACTTGTGTCATGACACAGCATATCCTTAAATTATATGCAAACATTAAAATAAGTCTTTTTGAATTGGGCTCTTGTGTAATAGCAGTAAGAGGAATGATCGTGTGCATCCTCCAGTAACCTCCCTGTCTGTCTGAATTAAAGTGATGCTGACAACTCGAGCAGCGGCAGGTATCCGAGTCGAAACAAAATGCAGTGTGATACAATACAGTATACAGGGCCCGCTCCCTCCCAGCTTACCTCTCCACCGTGACCGTCAAATATCCCGAAAATGGACGGATGAGTCTTGTTGGCGATGTCGGTGAGCACCTCGAAGCGGTCCTCCATGTGATCTCTCCTCCCCTGTATGGAGTACACGGCTACGTTGTTGTTCTTGAACTCCCAGGTTTTGGAGAACTCTGCGTCCAGGACACTGAGGCCTCCCAGTCGGTCATTCTGCATCATCTCCGCCACTTTCCCCTTCACCATCTTCACGGCGTCCCGACTGGACTTGACGATGGTTTTCACCTCGTCGGTGTGGAAGAAATAACTCCACAGCGCCAGACTGATGCACAACAGAAACAATGTCTCAGGCCTGAGGAGAAAATAGCGCATGATCCGACCCAGAAGAGACAAGAGCGTCATTGTGTCTCCTATCATCACACGCAACCAAGCTGTGGTCTGTCTCTCTCCCCTTTTGCACAATTCACTCCATCCGCTCAGCGGAACTATGAAGAAATCGATTCACTACCACGATGTCCGACCAGGACTGAATCTCAACATTTACAGTGCTCCTCGGGGGCCTGTCTTCTCTACTCCGAGCGCATTTACGCACTGTGCACAGACACCGCGGCCGAGAAGCGCAGGACAAAAGCGGACGAGAAACCCTCATTGACTCGGCCCGATGTCTTGGTCCTATCCTCGGCTCCCTGAACAGCTGCAAGAGGATTCTCCGAGTTGAGCCGATCTCCCACAGCCCATTGTAAGATGACGGATTTTTTGGGTTAAACCCACCCTGGAGAGAGACATGGGAGTCACCGGGGGGCGATAGTTGACTATGTGACTTGGAGGTGTCCTCCTTTTTCCGCCAATGACCCCGTTTCTTCTCTGGGATATGAGTCTGCTCAGTCTCCGCATCAACATAGCATTTTTTGCACACACACCTCCATTCTTTAGCTGTGTCAAACCACCAAGGACGAGTCAGAACAAAATGGGAAGTCAGCTGTGGTTGTCGCAATAAAGCAACACAAAGCAAGCGCTGTACATGGGTCCACGGTGAAGGGTATTGCATGTCAGGGCTTTATTTTGAAAGTCCTTAACGGAGGTGATTGATTTAATAGTGGCCAACTTGACGTTGCTCATTCTTTAAATGCGGTTCACGCTGACAAGAGTGCGCAGCTGCTAACTCATACGATGCACAAGCGAAACATTGGATCCAATGGCGGTGGCTGCGGAATCAAATGATGATGTCATCCAGTATAATGTTACATATCATGGTCGTATTAAAACCAGATGCATTTTTACTCCATAGGTCACCTCTGTGTAACAGGTGAACAAACTAGGCTACTGCATTACAGTATCTATCTATATCTATCTATCTGCTCACTTTTTATGAACAACTGAGTGTCAATGAATAGAATAGAATAGAATCTGTACTTGAAGATACACACACATAAGGTAACAACAATATATAAGCAACAAACTTTGAATAAAAAAAGTCACAATAATAACAAATAACTGATTATATTATAGGCTATTATTGCCCAATAATTCATGTAAGACTAGGCCTTTGTTTGGATGTTGAATAGAATAGTCACTGTACTGAACAAACACTGACCCCTGGTGGCTCTATGGAGTAATACACTTCTGGTAGTTCCATCAGTCACAGTCAGCTGACGTGTTTAGTTAAGCTTTATTCATTCATACACAAAGCAGTCAACACACACACACACACACACACACACACACACACACACACACACACACACACACACACACACAGTAGTTGAAACAGTCAACAAAAGGAGTGGGTGTCTCTAACCTAAGTTTTTCTACAGGTCATAGTAAGTGTATCCAGTGGTGTATGGATAGTGACAGCATGAGCATACAAATTAACTCCATAATCCAGTGTAGATAGTATAGTGGATAGTATGATTTTTTTATATATTTTGAAAGGTGGCCATTGTTAGAACCAATTTTAGATTTTTTTTACTTGTGTTCAACCTAAATTTTGTAGGACAAACAGTTATCTAACCAAATTCCCAGAGTACGTACTGTATCTATTAGATTTTCTTGAAGAGTACAGATAGGAATAGCAACACTAAAGCATCATAGCATATTTGTATATTGTGTGAACTGTTGGGTCTCTCTCTATAATATGGTAAGATGATATAAGATGAGATAATTTATGTTATGATTTTGTGCTTTACAAATAAAATTGAATGGAATTATGTCCTTGTTTACATGTTAATAGTTGTGAAATATTTTAACAACGGCTGTCCTGAATAGCATTCTCATGTGACTAAACCTTAATGATTTTAGTTTGTTCTTGTTTTTCAAATGTTCCCTTGTTTACAGCACAGGTTACAGATAACATGTTTTATAATAGAGCAGCGTATTTCCTCAGTTTGAGCGGACATATTCAGGATACATCTTCAGCTACACAATCGTAGATGTCCATAGTGACTTCACCTGCCTTTCTGCTGTGCCACTTTTTTGATGTTCATCTCTCCTCGTCATATTTTGTGTGGAATCTTGGTGCCCAAACATGAGTCATTCAGAGTTAATGTCAGAGGTTGAAACTGCACCCAACACACAAGTCTGAGACATGTGACGCTTGGTTCAGTAGGGCCAGTTTTCCACGAGGTTTACTGGGTTTACTGGGCTTTTTGGGTTTGTTAGATCAAGGCGGTCAATGGTTGGATCAATGTTGCCACGCCACCTGTTTTGGGACATTGATCCCTCTCCCACTGGGTCCATGGTGATCCATTTTCTGCTTTGAGGTTCTGCCAAAAGGTGTGATCACTACAAAGTGTTGTCCTCGGTAACTCTCATATGTGATGTTATCTATTACCGACGAGGTGTAAGTTTGTGCGTGTAAATGGTATGCGTATGTACACATGTTCTGTGAATGTGTGTCTGTGTTCGTAACTTTAGATTTTCTCGTGTTTGTGTACAAAGCAAGCGTGTGTGTGTGTGTGGACACCGCCATAGCAGTCTAGGCACTGCCGGACCCTGGAATCATATCCCATATCACAAAGAATAAAGTCTTGCCTTGTATAGAACCTGCTTTATTTCACATCCCTCAGGAGTCACGTAATCTGTTCTTTCCAGCCCACCTACCTCCTAATAACCCCTGCTGTTTCAGCCCCTTGTTCTCTCATTGGCTTGATGATGCGGTAGTTGGGGTACTGAGGACAATATAAGGATGAAGGTAAGCTGCATCAATCACTAGCTGGAGGGGATGGAGTGAAAAGTCAACACCATCAACATAAGCAGGTAAGACGCACTTGTTGCTTTATAACACATTGTAGACACACTATGTTGCAGTATTAGATCTTTTCCAAAGTGATGCACCTGTTTTGTCTGCCGCCTCCAAACCTCCACTCCCGTTTTGTTCACAGATCATTGTGCCAAGCCTTCAGCATGCCATCCCTTCGCCTTATCTTCCTCTCCGCCCTCCTTGTGGTCCTGATGGCCGTGCTGACCTCCAGTGCCAGAGCAACACGCTGGCCCAAACCTCAGAGCACCAAGAAGCCCCCCCGAGCTGGGAGCGGCGGCGGAGGTGGAGGATTTGTACGAACCACCACCACGACCGCGCACCCTCCCAGCAGCCTGCACACAGATGAGACGACTGAGGTTATGATGGACGCTTACTCCTCGTCCCCAACAGACAGCACCACCTACTCCAGCGACACTTACCCCACTGCGTTCCTCACGGATCCCATGGCGCCCCCTGGGAACACCCCTGGAAACTATACCCTCGACTACAATGAATGTTTCTTCAACTTCTGTGAGTGCTGTCCACCAGAGAGAGGCCCCGTAGGACCCAGGGGAGAGAGAGGGCCACCAGGACAGTCAGGAGAGAGGGGCCCTCCAGGTAAGAGGGATTACTATTTTCATGAAAATCACTTTTAAGTTATCAAAATCTGCCCTTCTTCCTAGTCTTCTCTGCTTTCCAGGGTTGCCAGGAGAAAAGGGAGAAACAGGTCCAAGAGGACTTCCAGGACCAGCTGGACTACCTGGAGCCAATGGGCTCAATGGCGACATAGGTACAAGGAGGCTTAGGAGCAAGAGAGTTATTGAATGTCTCTCTGTTTCCCTTTCTTTATTTCTTTCTCCTTTTTTGCAAAATGCTTTTTTGTACAAGTACTTTGTGGATGTCATTTTCTACGCTTTATTTATTAAAACTACCATAGGTGAAAAAGGTGATCAAGGATCTGTGGGTCTTCCTGGTATCCCCGGGGTCCCAGGAAAACCAGGAGAAAAAGGTAAGTAGCTTTCAATGAGAACATCAGAAGAAATTGTATAGGCCTACATTTGACCAAATCAGTTTCAATCACACTGAGTTAGATTCAAATAAATACATCCTTTGCAAATGACTTCTTATGTGAATATAACCGCTCCACATACTACAGGTGATCCAGGCCCCAGAGGAGAGAAGGGTGAACGTGGCTTCAGTGGTTTGAAAGGGGACCTGGGAGAGAGAGGCGAGCCTGGCCTGAATGGGACTAAGGGCAGCACTGGGCGAGATGGGCCTATGGGTCCCCCAGGGATAGTTGGGACAAAGGGTCAGAAAGGTGAACAAGGACTTCCAGGCGAGTGTTTACCGGGTGAGAAAGGAGAGAAAGGGGATGTGGGTGAAGGTGGGCCCCCTGGTCTGAGAGGCGAGATGGGCCCACCAGGAATGAATGGAACTGATGGTAGAAAGGGAGAGAGAGGAGAGCAAGGGCCTTCAGGAGGGAAGGGGGATACTGGGGTGAGAGGGCTGCCAGGATCTGCAGGTTTGAGGGGTATGGCAGGGCTGAGAGGGGAGAGGGGGCCTAAAGGTGGGCGTGGGCCTCGGGGGCCTAAAGGCTCGCCAGGTGAAAGTGTGGAGCAGGTTCGCTCTGCCTTCAGTGTGGGCTTGTTCCCCAGCAGGTCCTTCCCTCCACCCGGTGTACCTGTGAAGTTTGATAAGGTGTTTTACAATGGGGAGGGGCACTGGGACCCATCACTCAACAAGTTCAATGTCACCTACCCGGGGGTTTACTTATTCACTTACCACATCACTGTTCGCAACCGGCCTGTGCGTGCTGCCCTGGTGGTTAATGGGATGCGGAAGCTGCGAACTCGGGATTCTCTGTACGGCCAAGACATCGATCAGGCGTCCAACCTCGCGCTGCTGCAGCTGAATGACGGCGACCAGGTGTGGCTGGAGACGCTGAGAGACTGGAATGGAATTTACTCCAGCAGTGAGGATGACAGCACTTTTTCTGGCTTCTTGCTTTACCCAGGCTCAAACAACAAACCTACTGGTATAGAAAACCTTTGAACTGCAACCTTTGACCTTGAATGAGCTCTGATTTTAACTTCTTGCAGACTCTGCACAACCTTCCGCCTATTGCACTGCTCTGTCAAATTAACGTGAGTTAGCTGAAGCTGTTTCAGTATCTGCCTTCTGTTGCTAATCAAACCAAATGCTTTGCTTGCCTTGCTGTATTTGGAGATGGATGAGGCTTGATTATACTGCTGTATGCAACACTTCATTTCTTTTTAACAATGCATTAAAAATGACTCCGCTTGAAATGAATGACTGTTGAGTTTTATTTACTTAGAAACAGAAGTAGAAGCTAATTTATAAGCTATTAGTCACTACAGTGAGGGTAGATAAGCTCTGTATCAGTGAGGCCAATACAAATTTAGAAATAATTGAAGTTAATGATACATAATTGCACTTGTTTCCCACTAGAGGGTGTAAGGTGCCCAAGTTTTGTGAAGAAGCACCAAAGATACTGTTTTATGCAGGCACCAGACTGAGTATTGGTAATAAAAATGGATGCAAACAAAGAATAAGAAGCAGATGTTTCTGTCATCAAGATGTTGAATAAATGAGAGATTCTGAGAGACAACAATTGCATAAAAATCAAAAGCAGGACTTTCTTCTCTTGTACTGCTGATATCATTCACACAGCAGGATGGCAAAGATAAATCTCGTGGACTCTCATACATCACTTCTCACTCCTACGTCTCATTCACCACAGCTCTGTTTCTGTTGAAATTCCCAAATTTGCTTCAGTGACTGAATATGGTCAGTAAGGCAACACAGTACAGAAAGAGTGGCCAAGAACAAGGAGTGAAATCCTTGTTATGTTTCTTACTTCTCAGCAAAGATTGGAGGCTGTAGCGAAGGTGATTCAGACCCACAGGAACCACAGCAGACTGATGCAGGTTAGAAGAAGCTGATACAATAAAAAATAATGCCTTGTTGACATTACATACCCAGAATAACAGATTAGTGGCCTGAGCATCGAACAAGGAGGATAACCCTCTAAAGCTGAGAGAGATGAATGCACCATAAATTATGCTCTGGTGTACAATTGATTTCTATAAATGTTATATCTCATTAGACGCAAAAAAAGTCATGACCTCTGACCAGATTAAAAATAATAACTCCTTTTCCTGTACAGAACACAAATGCATCTAAAGGACAAACTGCTTTTGATACTTTATTCCACTGGTTATACTAAGATATTTTTATGTTGTGATATATTTCTTAAATATAAGGTCTATAAAGGGAGACTACATTACCTTGTTTTCGAAAGTTTATTAATTGCGCTCTGCTGTAATTATTACATTTGGGCTTCAGGAACAATTTGTCACAAAAAAACACAAAAGCATGTCTTTGTCTAACTTTGCCAGACATCTTCAGTAGTTGGAAAAGAAATATTTCATCAGTGAAAATCTGTATCTTACAAAGTCCTAATATGTTGTCGAGTTTTAAGCAAATTCCGTGACTGATGACTGAATCAGAAAGTCAGAGTGATTAAATCTTCATTGCTAACTGATCTTTAAATTCATGACCAGAATTTTTTTGGGGTGCTTGGTGTTGGTATGTCAATAAGTTAGGAGATTGCACAAGAAGGTAGTTGCACTTCACCAAGCATTTTGTTATGATGCCTGTGCACTTATGTATCTATCAATATATATATTCAGCGCTGTGGCAGGGCACGCCTTTTACATTTTCAATTTAATAATATCTGTCAAATTATTCTCCTGGCCTCTCACACATTGAATTAGTTTGATTTGAAATTACAATAAAGCAACAAATGACAATTTCATATTCATTTACAAATACACTATAGAGTTATTTCAATGAAAGACTTGCAGTTTTTCATTCAATCAACAGAAGATATATTTCCTCTGTTTTCCTGAAGGAGAGAAATTGTTTCGAGTGTACACTCAACCAAGATTGTAGCCGGTGGCACACGAGAAGCAACACAATTATTATAATGTGAAATACTGTGACATAATAAACATTAGAGAATTATAATTTTAACATCATTAAAGACACATATTTTTCTTCGTTCATGTCTTTTATGAAAGCATCATTAAAAAACAGGTGATACTTTTTTTTCTAAATCCAATATCTGGGATAAAGTCAAAATAAAATAAATTGACTATGATTGTAAATGTAATTAAATATAATATGTGAATTTTACAACAACAACAACAAAGAAATGTAAAGCACCATTTTGGAAAGAAATACATAGTGACTATAACAAGACTGGAAGGATTTTTTCAGCTGGGTAGTTTAAACTAAAGTTGTCCCTCAGTTGCAATTGTGGGTGAATTTAAAGTTAACTTTAATTAAGGGCATATGTAATATTTTATGAATAACATTGAAAGAGAACACTGACACCTGTAAAAGAGGAAAGCCCAGAATGACATCTCCATCTACTGGTGAACAACATAAATTTACCTCAGATTTCCACTTTATTTATGCTGCAGTTGGTGGTGATGGTGTGTGTGTGTGTGTGTGTGTGTGTGTGTGTGTGTGTGTGTGTGTGTGTGTGTGTGTGTGTGTGTGTGTGTGTGTGTGTGTGTGTATGTGTGTGTGTGTATGTTAAAATGTTGTTTTGCTTGTTTGTTTATAGGCCTATCTGTGGATATGTGTATATGCGTGTGTGTGTGTGTGTGTGTGTGTGTGTGTGTGTATGCATTTATGTGTTTTCTACTACTCTGTGTGAAAATATAAATAACTACCTTGGCGGTGTGTGCAGTGTAATCTGCTCCCAGCAGGCTGGATTCCCACTGTGAGAAAGACAGTATATTGTTCCTGCAGCACCACAGATAACAACTCATTAGCATACTGAATCATTTGGCTGCAAGAGCCACTCTGCCACCCATCTGCACTGAGCTGATAAACACACACACACACACACACACCAGCTCACACACACACACAAACACACACACACACACACACACACAAACAGATCTATGCAGAGCACATACACACACACACACACACACACACAAGCCTGCTCTCACACACACAGAAACATGTACACAAACACACACACACACACACACACACACACACACACACACACACAGACAGGCACAAGCCTCTTCTCATTCCCTCCCTTTCAATCCCTCCCTGTATCCCTCACTTTTTGTGAGTCTGTGTCTGTTTGAGAGTCAGGAACACTGGAGCAGGTAAATGTTTGGCAGGCATTAACCTAGAGAGGCCCTCAGAGGGGTCCCAGCGCAGCCAGAGCAGAGCACAGGAGAGGTCTCCAAACACCTGGATGTCTCTGATGCTTTCTGGAAGCAATTATACTTTTTAGAAACGTCCAAGAGCTGATGTTGTTGTAGTAGTGGTACTGGTGGCAAAGTCTGCATGTGTAAACTTATGGAGTATGGGGAAGCAGACTTCAGAGAAAGTAGCATTAATGTGGCACAAAAAAAAGTCATATTAATGATTACAGGATGGCGAGCATAACTTTTCGATTGCGTAAGTGAACAACCTACAGGGGCGGTGGGAGTCTCGATCAGTATGGTGGTTTCACAGTGTGTACAGACACAACATTCTGCAAACGAGTGCAGTGGAGGCTGTCAAAACCACTTTCACAATGGCAGGATATCCTGCAGGTCACAGAGCCACGTTAACCTCCAAGGGAAGTTGTCACTTGTTGGTAGGAAGTGAGGATTCCAGCGTCTACTGGGGGAGTTTCATGAGGAGGTTGTGGTTTTAACTATACACTCTGAACAGATAGGGTGGGAAACAGTTGCATGGTATGCCATTATCTGCCACTAGGGATTAGTCAATTAGATTTGAAATGTATGTGTGAAAGAGAGATTTTTTTTTAATGTATGATGTAATGTTGCACAGAAGTACATGTTCAGTTTCTCACACACACATTGAATTGAATTGAATTGAATTGAATTGAATTGTATTGAATTGACCCACACCACAATGATCTGAATTAAATTTAATGGAGCTAAACTCAAATGAATTGAACTGAATCAATAAGACCCACAACATGCTTGCGTGAGATCAAATACAAGGCATTTCCTCCGTGTGTTTTATTCAGGGGTTTTGTATAAAATTCATCGATTTAACATTGGATATATTTATAGATACAACTATCTTACAACAAATATGTCATTACCAAACGTACAATGTCCCTTTACTGCAATTCATAAAATACCATAGTTACCAAAGGTACCAATAGAAGCTACTAAGTCCTGCTGAAAAAGCAGGGTAACCAACAACAGTGAGCAATACTTTACTGTCTTTGTCAGAAAACTGCTGGTGTTGTTATGATATTAACACTGTGTGGTGTATGTGTGTTAGTGTTGGCATGTATGCCTCTATGTGGCTGTGTGCACATATGTGAAATGCGGCAATGAAGGGATTTATTTGTGTACCTTACTAAACTACAACTGCATTACAGTTTAAAAAAAAAAATACACTGAAAGAGACATTCATATCAAAAGGACTCCATGGGTCAGCCCATGATTTCATATGACCCATATTTTGTACACTTAAAGAAACACGCTGCATGTCTTGTACCTCCACAGCAATTTCAAATAGATATATTGATTCCAGGCAGTGAAATTGTCAAACTGTCTGGTGCCATATTTGGTGTCATTTTCTCATCACCAAAGTGTAAAAGAATTAAATGGTACCACATTTGATGTACTAGGTTCAGTTGCTTGCTTTACATTATGAGTTTATCTCATTTCCTCTCATTTATCCTCATTTCCTGTCTACTAAAAGACCATTTTGCTAGTAAACCCATCGACAAACACACTACGGTACATCTTAAATCACATGACTTGAACTCGAGTCACTGTTCATTACATTGTGCAGTGGAAATATAATGCTATTTACAATACATACGTAACTGCATGGGTACAATTAGAGTCCAGTCCATTCATTTACGGCCTCCAACTGAGGCATACTTATTTTTGTGTCATTATTCTAACACATTCAATTTGTTGGCCATAAATCTCCAGGTTTATTCAATGACACTTTAGAACCATTTACCTGCCGCACTCTGCAAGCATGTTAGATCTATTCTGCCTGCACCATAATGTAATCAATATTATCATTAGTGAATTTCAATATTACACATCAAAAGTCTCTGCTGAGTGTCTCGTTGATTCTTTTGTTTGGTTTTGTCTTGTTTTGTTATGTTTGCTTGTTCTTTTGTGTGTGTGTGTGTGTGTGGTTTTTTTTTTGTAGAATATCCAGTCTTTGGACTTTCAAAACACAGAAAGTTATAAGCCGCAGGTCAGTCAAAGACATGAGACATGCAGAATTTACAAGTCTTTTGTTGGATCTAATTCAATCAATCACCATTTGAACCAAGCTATTCATCAGGTGTAGTGTGGAGACAGGAATGTAAATCCTGATCCATTTTGGACACCACTATCTCACTACATGGCGCTTGATTCTCCTTCTTACACTGACAACTCAAAGCTAACAGGTCCTGAGCATATCCATCTCTTACTTAGTCTCTCTCATTGTTCTCTTTCAGTCTCAGGTGTTGTGTCCGTGGTCTGTTGGCATCAGCATCATCGGCGACTGGAGCCATCCAACGGGCGTCCATTGCGCCTCAGATCCCTAGCAGCTAGATGCAGTGCGGTCCCACGAGAAGCCGTTAGAGTCCTTGGAGCTGGAGGTGAGTCCTGGTCCTCCATAAAGCTCTCAGGACTGCCTTCAGCATCGCCATCAGGCAGGCTTCCACAGCTGGAGCCTGGTGACATTGTCTCCAGAAGGTCGTCCCTGGCTAGGCCCACCACTGTGTCCTGATGTGGTCCACCCTGAGGGCCCCCGTCATGGGCCCCAACCCCAACCAGCAGCCCTGTTTCCCCATCAGTTGTGCTGCCAACATTCCTCCCTCCGTCCTGGTCCTCCAGGAGGTTGGAGAGGAAGCTGATGTACTTCATAGCAAGCCGAAGGATCTCATTCTTGCTTAGCTTCTTGTCCGGAGGGTGAGTGGGGATGAGTTTGCGAAGCTCCGCAAATGCCCCGTTTACGTTCTGTTGCCGCCAACGTTCACGACTATTAGTGAAGATACGGCGAACAATCTTTGGCTGGCCAGCTAGCAGAGGAACCGGGAGGGAAAGAGACAGACATCGAGAGAGTAAGGACAGGAGGCATAGATAGAAGATATAACACAAACAACATGAAATGCTGAACTGAAACAGATAATGCAGTCGGTAAAAGGGTAAAGCAATTCAAGTGCAAAAATAAGAATGTAAGAAGTAGCAACGGAAGAACAGATGCACATAGGTTTTGAGAAGGAATTTGCGTGTAAGGAAAACAAAAAAAAAAGTTTAGTAATCCTAAAGAACTCAGCTACAAAATTGTCCTCCGTACAACCATGGATTTTTAGATGACGGCACAGAAGCTAGAGAGGCTTGCAAAAATAAATACAATATCATGTGCCAAGTGGGATGCAGATGCAATACACAAGAAATGGTTGGTTTAGCATGCCAAACACCAGGAAAAGGGTGTTGGGGAGACCGTTTGCCCTCTCTTTCATATTCCATTTACTTTTTATTTACTGAGGAATGATAAAAAAAATGCCCCACTGCAGGTAGTAACATCCTCCCACCCCCAACAATGGTGTCTTCCAGGCTATTGTCGCCCTTGGAACACACCCAGTCTATCTTAATCCTTCAGCCCACTCTGCAGTAAAACCTTGGCATGGAGGCAGCAGCACCCCCATCCTCCACCCCTGCATATGGCAGTGAGTGGGCAGCAGTGGAAAGGATGTTTCAAATGAAATAAACCCCCAATCTGCCTGAAAAGAGTTTACTTTGCATGCGGGTAGATGTATTTGACATTGAGATTATCAGCATTCATTTACTCCATGAGTTATGATGCATTTATTCCTCTTGGTTTTAAACACTTAGGGTAAGTGTTCTTTTTGCAAGGCATCTTCTGCAACACCCAGATTAGGTACAGTGTAGGTCCATGTCAGTGGATGAATGACAATGGAGATGAGGAGGGGACGTTTGGGGAACTATATTGGCAGAAGGAGGACACAGCAGAAGTGCGTCTTACCATACTTATAAAGATCTAAAATGCGCCTACCCTCGTCGAGTTCAACCTCATAAGGCGCCGGGCGGCGCTTTACCCTGTTGCTGGGGTACATGCTGTACTGCTCCGACTCCCCTCCGAGACTACACCAACAGAAAACACACAAAAGGTGCACAGGTGTATGAGAAAACATGAGATCCAGCATCATTTAATTTATTGCATATGCAGAACACCATCCACTCCTTGCACCAGGAGCACACACACACATACACACACACACACACACACACAAATATATATATATATATAGATATATAGATATATATATATATATATAGGCTAATTCTCTCTGTCACACATGCACATACATGCTTGTCAACTCAATGTCAACTCAGGTACATTACAAGCATCTCTTCACACTGCTGCAGTATATTCCTGCAGGGCCATAATAGGGCAACATCTAACAGCCATCAAACTTATAACTTTTAAGGTGAACACTCACAATGATCAAATGAAAAACGTGCATTCATGAAACTCTCTGTTTTTCTTTTTCTTTTTCTGTCTCCACCTGTACCTGTTGATGGCGGCGAGAGGCTGCGCCAGGTTGTAGAGCATCGCCCGGGCCGGGACAGGAAACGCGTTTGGGCTCAGTTGGACCATTCGAGCGTCGTCTCGGTGCGGCGGCGGCAGCGGCAGCGGTGGAGGTCTGCGAAGTTCCGTGATCGGCACCAAATGGCTTTCAGTCCTCTGCTCCACCGCTTTTATAGCGTCCCTCCTGGAGAGCTCGATCACCGGCACTTCCCTTTTCAGGTCAAGGGCGTTGTGAGAGGCAGTTTCCTTGGCAACGCCGTTGATGATGATGCTGATGCTGGTCCCGTTGCTCGAGTTCTGCAGAGGAACGTCATCCGTCTCTTCAACCCCCTTAAAGCTCCCTCCCCTCACCTCCGCCCCCTCCTCTCTCCTCGGCTCCTCGTCCTCCTTGCATCCGTTCTGTCTGGAGATGATGGAGGAGTCCTCCCGCTTTCCAGGACCGGACTCTGCATCGGGACTTCCAGGACACAACTCCGGCTGCCGTTTTTCCATCATTTTTATACCGTCACCACTCGCTCGAGTCCACTACTCCTGAATAAGATTTCCCTCGATTAATATACAGCTCCAAACATTATACAGTCTTAATATACGTTACCATGTAACCACGTAGGGAATTAACACTCCATTATTATTTCTCAAATTTAAGATGATTATTAGGATATTAGGCTATTATTACCTTTTGTAATTATCATCATCATCGTTTGAATTAATATTATCAATTGCAGACTTTACATTTACAAAACAGAGTGTAAAAAATACAATTGATAGGATTTTAATTGCTGGCTTGGTAAATTGTTTATTGCAAATTAATGCATTTTTTCAATAATAAAAAAAAAGATAAACAATATTCACTAGGCTACATATATTTTTCCACAAAAGATAACACTTATGATACATCACAACCCAATTTAAAAGGATATGAAAATTTAAATGAAATGTTTAATTATGGAGAATTCATCATTTTTGTAAGCTGCTGAAGGTTTGAGATCTTTTCTTGAAGTTAAACCAGCTAGGATATGACAGCTAATTGTATAATTATGAATTTGCCTCAGTTGAACATTTTTATGATAGATTTAGAGCTGGGGATATTTTTCAAACGTCAACTTGTCCTTTCCAAAGAGTTTTATCTTGTGGTTTCTGCATGCATGCATGTTTTTTTTCCAATGAATCTCTTATCTAGCTTACACTTGGCCTTCAGCACAGTTTATGCCGTTAAGCTAATATCTGAAGGTCTGTTAACCCACGTTCGGGCTTTGTATGAATTTACACTGAAAGATTTTAAAAGCTCATTTCGGCTGCGGGTTTATTTAAAGGTGGAATTGTAAGAGAGATTGTGCCAGGACCACGAAGGCAGCTTGGTAATATCCATTCTTCGTCGAAATAAAATCCCTCCTTTTTTTCCCTGCCTTCACCAAATCCACAAATAACCTCGTGAATCCTCAGAAACACTTGGACCTGGTCGTTTTCACAGATGTCTGAGTAGGTTGTGTTATTTTTTTGTTTTATCGTGGTGAAGGCCATAGTGCTGTTGTTGTTAAAGCCGAACATCAAAGGCTTGTCATAGGCTATTGAATACACTACATAGCAATGGTGAGTGTTTGAGTCGGTAAATAATTCGATAAAAAAAAAAATGATCAGAAAATTATAAAAAAAAACAACAACATACCGCGAATTTAAAAAGCGCACTTTTATTTCTGGGAATTCTCCAATAGGCCTCGCATCCGTTATTACATCCCGTACAGTCTCAACCACCCGATCGGACAATAGCAGAAAATATAGGCTAAATATTTCGCACATAACACCAATAAAATTTAGACGATAGCGATCCAATTACAGCCCTTTGGAACAACGGACGTGGCGCTTTAAATAAAGAGATGTATTTTTTGCACTTACCGCTCCAGCCGTGTTGTTGATGTTACTGTGTAAGTGGAGCCATTTTGTGAGTGGGTCATCCATGTCTGAGGTTTTTCTTTTTTTTTTTTTCCCCTGCCAGTTGTGTGTATGTGTGTGTGTGTGTGTGTGTGTGTGTGTGTGTGTGTGTGTGTGTGTGTGTGTGTGTGTGTGTGTGTAGCTGAGTTATTTCTCGCCGCATCCAGTGCGCTCCCTCAGTGTGGGGAGCGGAACACAGGCCGCAATGTGGCCGAGGGAGATAAGCGCACGGCAGCGGCCTCTTCATTCCCGATAAGCCCCTAAACCCATTATTTATGAAATGATTCATTATTATTTGGCTGTCGTGGGCTATACAGGCTTGTGGAGGGCAAAGCATTAAAAAAAAAGCAAACAGGCACAGCGCAACGGCCTGTAACAACGCGAGGTAGTATACTGTAGCCTGAGCTATAGTTGAGGTGTTTTAATTTTTTTTTTTTTTTTTTTTGATGAAAGAAACAAAAGCTCAAGTTAAGCTTTTGACCTATTTCTATTTCCAACAAAGGGGTTTTCGCTAAGCCCATTTAAAATAAGATAACTGATGATAGCAGAGGGTCGCCTACCTTTTTTTTAAATGATTTATTTATTCATTATTTTATCCTTAAAAAGCAGTATATCCATTAATCCATATCTATTTCTGCGCCTTGAGGCTAGATGTGCCACTGATACAATAGATTACTAAAAGGACGGGGTCTAATTATGAGAACGTTGCCTTAATTGGATGTGACACAATTCTTCTTAGATAGAGAAATAAATAAATAAATGAATAAATAAATGTTGCTTTTACTTGTCATTGTTTGTATCGGGGATGGCGCTTTGGTCGGCGGTTCCCCGGGGTCCATGGGGTGTCATGGCTGGAGGAGATAAAAGCGCATCGGCTTCTGGTCCATCAGATAAAACAGCAGAAACATCAACGGTGACGCGCTATCAGAGCACATCCAGGACAGCCTAAATGGTAGCAGGTACATCCTAACAACGGATTTCCCACATGCTTTTTTTCCCCTTGTAGTCAAACAAATTTATACATTTAAATAGACTAATCCAAAAAAAAGAAAAAAAGAAAGAAAAAGAAAAATTCAGGCATTTTAACAATCAAACTGCCCAAGTTCAGTCAAATAAACCCGTGACATGGCAAATAATAGAGCACATGCTGCGTTATAGATAGATAGATAGATAGATAGATAGATAGATAGATAGATAGATAGATAGATAGATAGATAGTGTGGGAAAAATCTGACACGTTACATGTTTTACACGTTTTCAAAGCTGTTTCAAAAAAACTACAATCAGTCACGACCTTTAAACAGCAGTCACGACCATCATCCTACATCCTGCGCTTTACTACAGCATCGCCTGACCTTCATACCTTTTTCTAAGCATCTTCCAATGACACCGCGATTGTTTGCCAGTGGGAAGCTCTTAAAATGTATGATTTAAAATTTGCACAAGCGAGGTTTCATTTTTGTGAGATGTACTGTCAAATCAAGGAACTGACTTTATAAATTCATATGACTGGAAATCATACTCCAAGTTTAAAACATTTCAAATATGTTATGTTTTGCATGCATCTAACGATTTTTGTAGTTGTGTGATTTTTGTGACAGACATAGTATGTGCATCATAAATGAATGCCTTCGAGAATAAAACGTTTGGCAAAATAAAACATTTTTATTTAGAAGCAAACCAGTATCAATGCCATGAAGCACTAGATGATACAGCACAAGTAAAATGAAGTGACCATGCAGTGCATCAGAGAAATATGATCTATGGGGGGAAAAAAAGAGATAATCCTTAGCTAGTTTGTTTAGACATAATTTTTTGAGGCAGTTTCATTACAGTGGAGGGCACCCATGTATACCAATGTATGAGATAGCCTCTTTAGTTTGAGGGCCTCATAGGCCAATATAACATCTGTGGCACATCCTTAAACATGTCAATCATATGAAATAATCAACAAGATTAATGGAAACAGAATTGTACAACATCTGGAACGTGACAAAATATCATTTCGCTCACTAAGCATTTGGAGTGTCATATTCTGTGTGCTGTAAAGAGCAAAATAAATCACCTGAAAATAAAAGTGGAAGTTTAGGTTTATCCCTATCTGACCATATAAACCAAACCTTGTACACAGAGAAAAGTTGTGCTGGGTTTGAATCAGTATTATTAGTTCACAATATATTCCCTGAAATCAGTTAATAACTAGCTTAGTCCTCTCTGCTACTGGCTTTGTTTGGTTTCAGATTTATTTGCTTATTTTATTGATTTGCCATGGTAGTCCAAATCCCTTGCAGCGTCATATTATTGTTGAACATGGGTTTGCACTAATAGAAAGTGAACCTCTAACCCTGTTATCCCATGTAGCCATTCTGCTATGTGAAACTGCACTGACTATCTTACATCTACCTATAGGTTACAGTCCATCAGCAGTGTTTGCAGTGTTGAATTATAAACCACGGCCCCAGGAGAAAAATGGCTCCGTGCCACGTCTGTCTTTCCAGTCAGCGCTGGTTCCGTCGCGCCGGCATGATCCGAAGAGAAGTGGTGCTTTCCCGGGTCATGAGCCGCGTCACCTGGTCCAGACTGAGTCCAGCCACTGGCTCTCCATTCACCTGCAGAATTTCATCGCCGATGCCCAGGAGACCAACAAAGGGCCCTTCACCACTACCATCACCCACTTTCTCCACGTATACACCTGGAAGCGGAAGACGATGCAAGGGGAAAAGAAAGAAGGGAGATGAATGAAAACAAGAAGTGTGAGTAGGTAGGAAAACAGGTGGAAGCAGAGAGGGGAGATAGTGGACGCCTTTGTGTTTAGTGAACCATATACAACCGATATACACGAAACTGCAATCAGTCCAATTAATAAAACAGCTCTACCAGGATGAGAAGCAAACATAAACTGTAAGTGAATTTTTGCTAAATTGACCCAGTGTTTTGGCTTGTTTGATGATGTATCTGATTATCTTTGATTACCAATTTGACCTATAGCTTACTTTTAACAGTGAAACCAAAGCACATTTATATCATAACAATGATAAATGTTATTATTATAGAATCAACATTTCTATTCTATTCTATTTTCAGTTTACATAACATGTTATTGGAGAATAGCATAACTGTGGCCTAAGACAATAAAGTTACCCCCAAATTTAACAAATAATTGCCAACCTAAACTTCAGATTGTAGGAAATATTGATTTCATTAAGTTACCTGTGTCTGGTCGACCTTTGCCTCTCGAAATGACAAAACCGAAAGGACCATTCGGGGGTCTGATGAGCTCCAGGAGGAGGGTCCCATCAGGGAAAGCCTGGGTGACCCGGCCCACTGGGCGCACTATTCTGGAGGCAAGAACGTCGTCATCACTCAGGGCCCTGTGGAGCTCAAGCTGAGGGCTGTCAGGGCTGTAGAAAACAGAAATTCAGCTCTTGTCATTTCTTAGGAACCAGAACAATGTAGAATGTTGTTTAATGCCACTTTCTTTTTTCTTCCTCTCTATCCATCTCTCTACTTTATTTTTCTTTGACACCTACCTGGGTGCCAGGCCGTATGGTATGTGGACCTCTCCCAGTATTGTTGAACGCTCTGTTCGTCTCTCTAAACTCTGCACTGAGGAGGCTTTGCGCAGTTGGGCCAGTGGCAGCACCTAGTGGCGAATAAAAGGAACTGTAACAAATTGTGTATTTCGTATTGGCAAAATGCACCAGATAAGCTTTTGGAACTTTTAACTTTTTGGCTTTAACATCCCTTTAAAACTAACAGGGACAGAGTTTGGCACCACAAACATACATTATGCTAATAGAGGCTGTGATTGGCTGGAGCAGAAAGTTGTTTACATTTGTTTAGTATTCTCTTGCCGCTGCCAAGAGGACAACAAGGATGACGACCACAGAAAGTGGAGGGAAGCCCGAATGCATTATTTGTGCTGCCAGTGTGAGGCAGGAATACTTCAAAGCCCTGGTTGGTCCACTGTGGCAAATGAGTAGTGAAAGGCACTTCAAAGCAGAACGGGAACTTTAAAGATATGTAAATAAGATGTGTTTTCCCTATGGCTTAAGTTCTTTAGGTAAAAAAATAAAATAAAAAATCACATCTATTTGATGTGGTGAAATAAAACAAAAATGAAGAGAATACAAAGACAATCACAGTGCAGCACAGCGGTCCAGAAGAAGAAATAACATGGCATGAAAAATGTACTCTTGCTCACTGTGTTCAGGGTCTGCAGTGAGGGTGTCCTCTGTATGCGGATGGTAGGCTGTGGCCTGCGTGTGGGACTTGGGGAAGCAGAGCTGGCCCGGGGGGGAGTGGGGATACTGAGCTGTTCCATGCTGCTGGAGCGGCCTCCTTTAACAAGTCTACCGACACTATTCAGACCTATGGAGGAAAAGAAGCGGCGCAGGAAGAGCTTTGGCCGTCCATCCAGCTTTCTGTAAAATAAAGGTTAAAAGTATTTTTTAGTTGACGGTAATGTAGACTCAGATATCAGTAGTAAAGACACAATTACATAACAAAGTAAACCAACACAGCACAGGATGTGTAGGATGGAGATTTTTAAACAACTGTTATAATGATAACTGTGCTAATGGTTTTGTCACACTGCTAATGCTTTTAATTTCCAGAAGAGGGCAGGATTGTCTTGATATTCACAGAATATTTGGAACTGTAATATCCTGGGGACTGTGGGTCAGGGTTTTAATCTCCTAACTGCTACCCCTGGCACGCTCAAGTCATTATGGGAACAGCATTGGTGGGGGCAAAGGGATTTATTGTCTAAGCTATGACAAGAGCGTTGTTATCTTGGCTTACCTGGACCCGTCAGAGTTTTCCTCCCATATGGCCTCAGCTTTCAGATGTTCTGCTCTCAGCAGCTCAGCTCTGAGGTCCTCGGCCCGAGACATAGCCAGGCCTCGCAGAGCTGGACGACACTCAGGACCAGAACCGGGGTCTGCACTTAATCCTGCTGGTAGAAAAGGATGGACTGAGTTGATGTCAAAGAATCATTCTGTTGTTTTCTGCAAGGTTTTAAATATGATGATGCAAATTCCACAGAACAGATCTAAGCTATGATGTTCTGGTTTTTGCATAAAGTTCTACCTCCACTGTTCCACAATGTAATCAACCCAAATATTATGTTGTATTTATGTACAATTTTGAGGTGCATGAAAAGTAACCTAAAATGGTACTTTATACTTGCACTTTGCTACGTTTCATAGGGAAATACAGTATTTTTTAATTCTACCATTTACTGCTACTACAGTACTTTTACTGTTGATACATTTTACTAATGATATTTCAGTACTTTTAATTATAGGTAAAAATCTAAATGCAGGACTTACTTGACCACGCGTTACATATCCTCATCTCTCTACACTCTGTGCCGCAGGAACTATAGTCTATTCATAGCATCCACAGTGACCACTCACCTGTTCCATCTGGTGTGGCATCCCAGAGCTCAGCAGCCGGCAGGTCTGGGGTGAGTCGGGCCGGGGAGTACCTCAAAGTGGAGGGCCTGATACAGGGCACCGGGCTGATTGTTGCGGGTGTCCCTTGGGTTAAAGACACTGGGGACTCCCTTCTTGCTTCTGGAGAGTCCAGGAGGGCTGAATGCTGAGACCCACCCTCTCCTCCCTGATTTGAGGTCATCTGAAACTGAACTGTGGACTGACCGGCAGCAGAGCGATTCCTTGAGCTTGACTTTAGGGCTGACTTTATTGGAAGCGATGGGGTTGGTGATTCCCTGAGTCCACCAGATGCCTCCAGCAAACATGGTTCTAGATCAATGGGGCTGCCGGGTGCAAATGAAACAGCTCTGCTCAAGTTGACCCTGTTCCTTGGATTTGAGTTACGCCGCTGAGCCCATGATGGACCATAAGGGCCATGACCAGACTCAAGCCGACTTTCTCCTTTCCTGCTCCTTCTCCTTAGTTTTCCAAACCCTGATGACTTCCAACCTGTGCTACTCTCTTTATTTTCCCCCAGCACATAAGCTCCAGCAAAGGTGACAGTTAGAGGAGCTTTAGGACGAGTACTCACCTCCGGTTTGTTTGGAGGCACCCAGCGGGGAACCAGCTTTCCCCGAGGGTCCTCTGGGTTGCCAGGCTGCTGTGGTTCAGTGTTCTGTGCATCTGATGGCAATAAGACCGGCTGAGGTTCCCTGACTACAGAGCCACATGCCTCACATTTCTTCACCAGCACTATTATCTCTTTAATCACTGTGGTGGTTTCACCACTGACAGCTTCTTGCTTCTGTGAGGGAGGCGTAGAGACACTTCTGTGGCTTCTGCTCCTCTCTGAACCACTGCTGCTAGAATCTGTATTACTGTCTTTACTTTTGGACTTAGGGACCCCGGGCCTGCCACGCTGCCTGACCCTATCCAAGTACCGAGACTCTGCTTCTTTCTCTGATTCGTCCTCAAAGCGCACCCGCGTGGGTGAACAACCGTACCGCCTCGATCGTCCTCCTTGGTCACAAGGGGAAGTGTCTCTTGGAGTTGGGACGAGGAGGGGACCACATACAGTGTGAGCTGTAAGATCTTCTTTGGTTTGAGTGGCTTTCTGCTCTGGCGTTGGTCTGGGAGATTCAATTTGCTGCTTCTTCCTGCAAGAAAATAACAGAGAGGTGTGCATTAAAAACATTTTAAAGCAACAAATGTTTTGTCTGTAAGAGAGTTTAACTCAACTCATAGACTAATAGCTTATGGAAATGGGGCAAAATAAAAGTAGTGAACATCAGATTAAAATTTAATATCAGTCCTCTCTCAGAAACAGATTGGGTTGATTGAAGACTCCCTTGAGTACCCATTTTCAAAATAATAGGTGATAAGATAAATATATGATACGGTAAATTGCAATAAGATAAACTGTACATAGTGGTGACATGTATGTCTCAGCCACCACAGACCACATTTGTTGTCTAGTCACAAATATAGGAGCCATTGCAAAGTAAATGATTCCTGCTGATAAAAGGGGATTTCAGGAACAAAACTGCATGACGTATACACTATTACACAAACAGAATGAAAGCTAACATCTTCACGACAATTACAAAGCACTGTCTGGTTCCAAAGCTTTAACCTATTTTCAGTTATGCAACCTTCGCTTTGCCAAAACAGGCCAAGTGCATGAGAAGGATGAACAAAGCGGTCTCGTCTAACTAGCAAAAATGCCAAAGGAGTCATCGCCCTCGCAGGCATTTGCAGCCAACTTACACAGTGGCTCTCTGATCAGAATGGGAGCGTCTGCAGGGGCGATCGCCTTTAATGTGACTGGAGCGAGCCTTGAGTCGTGCTCGCTCCAGGAGACGTTTGGCTTGCTCATGTCTTGGGCTCAGAGGAAGCTCATCACTGATTACAAGAAGTGACCTGATGATGAAGAGAAAGAGAGAGAGAGATGTTTCAGTAGAGAAATGAATCATTTAGGTGATGAAAGCAGCAGGGGAATAGATAGAGCTGAACGCATGAGAGACTAGGTTACATCGCCAGCTGTCTGAATGAAACTGAATATTTGAGGAAGTCTTCAAATGTGCAAAGCTTATTGTGTGTTGTAGTATATCCAGCAACATCATATTCCCCGGAGATTGATTTAACATAGAGTGAATCAAGCTGCATCTTCCTAAGCTGTCTTATGTAATATCAGATAGATAGACTGGGGCGTGGCACTGGCGGTGAGCAGCAGAGAGAAACGTCATCCATCCATCTATCCTTATGCCCAGCAGCTTAGCTGCTCTGCATTGTGCTTCATCGTCTGTACTTGTCTTTATCCCCTGGCCCAGTGATAAAGATAGCATGATACACCAGCCATGTGGATTATCCTTGTAATGGACTGAGTGTGATTCATTCTCTCCTGTGTGTTAAGAGGAGAACATAGTGGTGTTTCAATAGATTACAGTTTGTCATGTCAATGTTTTATCCCAACGCTGACAAACATGATATAATTAGTAGCCTGTTTTGGTATCTTACGCAGCGGTTTCATTCTGCAGATTATAACGATGATGATCATAATGCACTCTGTAATAATAATGCCCTTTAAAGTATCCACACCATTACTGAAGATAAACTGAAGAGATTGGGATCAGCTGAATAACATAAGAAATGAGCCAAATTCTATGCTGAAAAATGTAATTTTTTGTTGTTGCTGGATTGCACAACACATTTATTTATCTATTTCTTTATTTTGTTTCACTGACTTAAAATATGACGCCTTCAAGTGTGATGTGTAGTTTTTGTCTTGAAAATGATTAAACCCTGCTGTCACTGTGTTTGTTTTGATTGTGCATGAGGCAGCTTGTTTTGCACTCTAGCTGCTTCGATCCAGGAAAAAAAAATAGACTCTAAATTCCCACAAGTGGAGCTGTAAGAGTGGAATTTATGAGGTGAGGATATAAATAGTGTATAGGAGTTGAATGTCACCACCCGTGCCAAGCGCATGAAGAAGCATAGCACTGCTCACCTCAAATAGGGTTCAAGTTCCTGAGCAAGAATGACTGAGTCTGAGCTGTCCAAAACCCCATGGGCACCTGCGACTGGCACAAAACAGAGAGGAAAAGAACAAATCTTAGCAGATGTGCTGATGCAGTGGATTGGAATTAAAATGTCAGATGGTGCGATTGTGACAGCATGGATGCTAAATTTTATGATTCAACAGTGTTCAGACGTAAAAGCTTTAGAGAGTGCTGCAAGGCTTTATGTCCAACATGGAGTTGCTCCAGTCTTCATTTTCCTTTTTCTAACCTGAAGTCATTGTGTGTTTGATTCTTATTTAGTGTTCAGTCCAGTTCTCTTTCAGTGTCTTAATGTTTGCCTGGTGCAGAGACTCCTGCCAAAAGAGCCATCAGCCATAATGTGACCTACAGGGACATGTGGGGATTAAAATAACTGGCTCTTTGTATGATCATAAGGATTTTCATAAACCTTCATACCATTAGTGTCAGTGACAGTCTCATAGGTTATGCCTGAGTGATTCTTAATGTCAATCAAAAAAAAAACATAGGTTATGCAACCGCTGAGAGACAGATAACAGCAGATTTCCCAGGAGATTTCCCACAGACACATCACCCGATCATCATGGAATTGCCATTATGTGTTGTACTGACCTTCTGTGTAGTATTGATACACACACACACACTGACTGAGTCAGCAGACGTATACAATATAACAGATACAAATCATGGGAAAATACATAATCTGTCACCCTAGATGCACACAAAGATGTCTATTAGCACACAGAGATACAAAAGCAGGGACACTTCCCCCACTGCTCTGACTGCTAATAATAGCAGCACCCCCATGCACATCTGCACATCTGACATCTGCTCAACACTGGGAATCAGCCAGGTTACATACTGAATTTCTATACACCATCATGGTAGACAAAGGCCTGCACACAGTACTCTGAATGGCTGCAACAGCTGGAGAGCATTCCAACCAGACAATGTGGACAAAACGTTCACTTTTTCTTTTAAAAGCTTTACAAAGTTGTTGGGGAAAGTATGCAACTGCCAAAGCACTACTCTGACTTTTGCCTCTGCCCTACACGCCAACACACCACATTTTTAAAATGTTCAAAATACGGTAGTTGCACAAGTTGCAAAGAAAAATCAAACAACAATATGACTGAGTCAATTATTAACAAAGTTTTCATTCAACTTGCATGGTGAACTGTTGTCTAATCAGCATATTCAAGGGGCTTCTACTTGTTTGGTTTTTTTTTGGTTAGTTTTTCTGACACACAACTAAAACCATAGATGTAAGAGAGTAGAGTCCAGCCAAGTTAGGATTTTCATTTCATGATCAGATGCTTTACAACACTTTGTCAGATACCCATATATTACAGTCCATTCATCAACAAAGTAAAAACTGGAGGAGCACTCAGAGAGCTCAGACCTCTGTCAAACAACCTCTGTAAAAAGAAAACACACACCAGACCTCAGAGAAAAATGTCAAATTCAAAGTAAACAATCAAGAATTCCCAAAATTTGATGGGCTTTTCTGTGGCCTATGCCCCATCCCTTCACCAAGTTCAGTGCAAATCGGTTCAGCACTTTTTTGCATAATCCTGCTGACAAACAAACAAACAGACACAGGTGAAAACGTAACCTCTTTGGCGGAGGTAATAAAACCAACTCGAGATGAATCAAGATTAAGGTCAAGCCAGTTACTTGGTTCTAAGCTGAGCTCTCAAACCTTTAAGACAAATTTTTGTCTTTTTGAAATTACATTAATTATCAAATTTATCCTCTTTCCCTTGAGAAACTTACCATTACTATCCATTTTGCATGTTGTGTCTCCATAACAGCAGGCACTTTCTCCTCCGCTCTGCTCTCTCTCCTCCCTGCAGTTTTGTCTTTCCCTTAACTTTGCATAAGCCCTCTGCTTCACCTTCAGCTTCTCATCAACTGAGGGCGCCCCACTTTGTGAAGACATGCTCTCCCAGCTGTCTGAACTGCACAGTCCTTTGGCAGGGTCATCAGCATCTGTCTCTTTCTCCTCACACCTGTCCAGGTAGCGCTCCACACTGTCAGAGTGCTTGAATCCTGAGGATGCATCGCTGTCATCCCCCACTCCTCCTACATTGCTCCTGCTGCCCGTTTTAGCTGGTTTCGTCTGAGGCTCCGCCAGTGCTTCTGTCTGAGTATAGTCCTTCAAAGGTAATGTGGAGGGTATGTTGTGAGGGCCAACACCATTTAGAAGCAGTGTTTCTGGGCGTGCCACTCTCCAAAATCCCTTGGGTGGTGCCCAGTGTCTGGTTGATGTGGTAGATGTAGAGGAAGAAGAGGATGTTGTGGGAACAGAGTGGGTGGGAGAACAGGAGAGCACAGGTAGTGGAGGAAGAGGGGATGGGTCATCCTTACTACTGCTTGAGTTGTCAGACAAAAGACTCTCTAGACTGGTCCCTTCCCTGAGCCCACAAGACTGGCCTGTCAGAAAACTGACCTGCCCTTCATTTCTTTCTGGCCTCTCTTCTTCAGTTTCCTCTTCCACCTGAAACACCTGTTCCCTTTGTGCCTCAGCCGGAGGGCTGTGGATCTCCAACCTAACTTGAACCTCTACCTCCTCCTCTTCATCACTACTGCTCAAGTTCTTTGCAGCGCCTGATCGCCAGGAGAGAGCAGGCAGAGATACCGGACCCTTTCCTCTGGGTCTCTGTCTCAAAAAGACCTCAGATGAAAGCTGACCTGTGGGACTGCTCACCAGGACGTCTGCGTCCAACCTTTCTCTTTCCTTCTCTCGGTCTCTCCCTCTTGTCCTTCTCTGTGTTAGTGTTTTCACCTTGGTCTGCAGTGCGTGCACAGCTGAACTCTGAGGAGGAGGAAGTTGGGTGCTCAATGAAGGTGCAGGGAAAACAGGCTCAGGGACAGGGCCAGTGATGAGCCCCCAATTAATGGGAAGCCCAGTGGGTACGGGGGAAGTGGATTTTGCTTGGACATTATCAACCACCTTCTCTTCCTCCATTGGCTGGACATGCACAAAGAAATCCAGACAGATCCTACAGATAAAAAAACACAAGTTTTCTTTATATACATGCAGATAAAACCATGTCTCTTTCATCTGTTCTACATCTCTGTTACTGGCTACTTTCTATCTGATCTACCGAGTGAAGAGATATGTAATGTGGATTCAGTCACGTTGCCTTATCCACTGATTACTTCGCAGTGCACAGGATAATCCTTTAGAATGAGAATAAGCAACTGCTGCCTGCAACTGAGCCCCTACTCGAATAAACAATATTATATGTTTTTTTTGTCAAGAAAAATCAACAATATCCAATTAAACAAAACTTTCTCTATAAATCAGTCACATATTCAACAAACATGCACAGAAAAAAATGAATGATACACTATTCAACCTTAAGAAATTGAGATATTTTAAAATTCTGAGCCATATAGCCCACTGTAAATATAGGCTACACAGCATCTTGCTAAAAACCATTTAACAAATATAATCAACATTATGAACAAGGTAGCCTAAACCTCACAGCACATTACACTTAGGATAATATTAAGTTATACAAATAGATTAATATACATAATGAATAGTGTACCTGGACAGGATAGGCTATTTAGTGAAGATGGTGTCCTTTAAAATAGAATTCCAGCGCTGACCACCATGAGAAAGTTGCCATTTAAATTCTAGTGCCACTGCATAAATTCAAGTTACCATCCTCACTAAAACATGCGCCAAACGTGCTGAAATCGCAACGCGCAGCCTCAGGTCGGTTGGCATCATAAGCGAAAAGACGGAACAACTTTCCCCTCCGGATGACAAAAAGGCAAACCAAGTAGGATTTCGCAGATATCTCCAGAGATTTCTCCAAACCCTAATGTTCTGCTTCCACTCAACTGTCTACACAGCTCCCAGCTCCCACAGAGGCAGTGTCAGGCGAGCCAGCGGTCTCTCAATCATGATTGGTCCGGTAATCCCTTCAGAAATCAGTGGGATTAGACAAAAATGGAATACAAAAATGCCTGCTTTAATTTCGTCCTTGCCTCGCGAACCCGCTGCCGAGTGAAGCTCCCTGTTGCGTAAGTACAGAGCCCACACACCGACTCCCTGCGCACAGTAATGAGCCAATGAAAAAGAGAGAAAAAATAAAAACTCAGATGTCTTAATGGGCTTCAGCCTAAATGAGATATCACAAATTTCTTGCCATTCCTGAGATATTTCGATGCTCCCGGTATAAAGTTAATGATGATGTGGTGATGTGTTTTAGAGAATATATCTTGCATCGTAAAAACATCTGTCGACTAATTCTTATTTGTCAATACAGCTGACCCCTCCCTCTATCTCAATTCATCCCAGCTCTCCCTATTCTTTCTTTCTTTCTGTCTCTCTCTTTCTCTATCTATCTATCTATCTATCTATCTAGCTATCTACTGTATCTATCTATCTATCTATTTATTTATCTTTGTTTTCATAGAGGCGAGTGCGCGCGCGCACGCACACACGCACACACACGCGCGCGCGCGCGCGCGTGTGCGCTCGTGCACATTCAGCCTAATTGGAACAATGTTCTGCCTGCCAGTTGTCACAATCCCCAGATGTGATCAGACTCTGGCAGATGCTGCTCAGTTTTGTGTCGCTGTTGCTGTGCATGCAGTTCAATGTCAGTAGAGGGCGCCATTGGCGTGTACATACACACATACACACACACACACACACACACACACACACACATACATCTTTCCCAGCTAGCTGTAACCGGCTAGTCTGTTGTCGAGTTCACACCCTCCCCAAACCTCGGCAGCAGCTAAGCTGCACAGTCGACATGGCAAGAAAATATCGCAACAATTTTCTGAAAATGGATGAAAATCTTCCAAGTCTTTTGGAATGAGTGAGTAGTATCGACAATAATTATATATTAGTCCTGATGGAAACTAACAGCAGAAGTTGCACGTTTTGTTTTAGTTAAATTAATGACGCATAGCTATGGATAGTTTTTGCTAACACGATAGGCAGCTAGCTAACAAGCTAACTGCTACCACAGGGAGGAGTACGGTTTCTTCGCTAGCTTGTTAGCCTTATGTGCTCAGTCCAACAAGGAGAGTATTTGTCCTAGCTGCCTCTCAAGGTGCGACGAGAACACCGTATCAATATGATTAAGAACATTTAATCGACATAACGGTGACATTATTGTGTCCGGGAAAAATAAATACATTTTCAAGGCAGTTGGGTTGCTTGGTAGTTTCGGATGGTAGCGTTACATAATCTCGCTGTTGCAAGTCAAATGGCTCCACTTTCCAGTGTCACTGTGGTTTGTCTCAAGCTATCGTTTCCTTGACCATTAGACGAGATTGGAACTAATGTTCTTGGCTGCGTAATAGCTTCACAACCATAGCTACATTCAGAGTAACGACGTTCTCATGACCAACCAAAGATAGGTTTTAGATTAGTTAGTAATGGGTTTTTTTAATCAAATGACGTTTGCTCGTTAGCCTGCCTAGCAAACTAGCCACCCATAGCTTAGCTTGCTAAAAGTAAGCTAACATTATCTACAATTAGCCAGCAAAGCTCATGTCAGTTAAATCATTAATGGGTGTATAACCAAACGTCAAGATGATTACAGCCGCGTTAGAAAATTCATTTACGCAAATTGAAGTAATCTTTTACGTGTTTAGCTTAATGGTAGAACAATGTTACCGAACTCTATTAGCAAACGTTAGCTTCATAACAAGTTAGCGCAGAGGGACTTGGTTGTTAGCCTCTTCAGGACCCTTTGTCCACAGTCATAGTGTTAACCAGCTCTTCTAAGTAGGCCATACAGCAGTTGTTTTGGTTCTTCTCCGTCGCTCGTTTCATCTGTATTTTCGAAATATGTGCTGTGTCACATCTGGTTTCTTTTTCATTTGTTTTGTATTACGGCTGAACAACGCATACTAGCGAGTAGTCAAAGCCAAATTAACTTACAATTAGAAATGTTTTGTTTTTTCCAGTATCAGCAGTTAGACGATAAACCTACTTAGCCATCCTACTGCCTTTAATGCATTCCGTAGGTACAAATGCACTCATACACAACACAACCACGTTTTGTTAGTGCACTTAGATACTGCTGAAATATAAGATAAAGAGGAATATAAAGGTACACTTTGTGTTGTATGCAAACTGGAAAATGTGGATTGCATAAATTTAATTAACATTGTCTTTCTCTTTTGCAGTATTCATCACGCGATGTGATCCAAAATCCACAATGTGTGAGGACATTTAAGAACGATTGAGTTCGGAAGAAAAAAAATCTTGATTCCAGTGGAATCTTCCATATATATATTATTATTATTATATTTTTTTTCTCTGTGTAAAAGTTACATATATTTACACACACTCATCCCATCAACATATAACCATGCCAGTGCAAGCACCACAATGGACAGAGTTCCTGCTGTGCCCAATCTGCACACAGACATTTGAGGAGACTGTTCGCAGGCCCATCAGTTTGGGCTGTGGACACACTGTCTGCAAGATGTGCCTGAACAAGTTGCACCGTAAGGCCTGTCCCTTTGACCAGACAGCCATCAGCACAGACATTGAGCAGCTACCCGTCAACACAGCCCTGTTGCAGCTGGTAGGAGGCCAGGTAAGACGTGTCTTTGTGTATTTGTACTCATGCTTGGCAATTTAGGATGGAGATCTAATGGTTAAGGATAACAGCTTAGTAATGTGTTTTGTGTTTGATTAGTGGAAATTTTACGATACCATTCCTATCTTGACAATTTGATGTTTTCTGTAAAAACTGTTTATGGACTGCATTAGAGCGTTGCACACGGGCTATTACATGATTTGCACATAGCTTGGAGATTCCTTTTATGAGTCACACTCTAGTCATTGAGCAATAACTTTAATTCTGTTGGTTTACTGAGTGCAATCAGTAAAGCTATATCTCTCTGAGTCAGTGTTTGACCAACAGGGTGAGGCGCAGTTAATGGTTTTTTGGCATTGTTGGCCAAGTTTCCAGGTATATACCACATAATAAATAACGTTAGTGTATCAACCATGACTCTGTTGTGTGTCTGATATAGTCTTGATTCTGAAGTCTTGTCTTTTAGCAGACTGTCTTGCATATCTTTGCTCATACAGGTTAGTAGTGTACAATGTCCAATCAAATTAGTATGCCACGATATAAATGGAAGTTGTTATGGTTGTTCTGTACCAGTGTTAGGAGCACTGTTTCCTGTCTGTATTGAATCAAAAGGAATTTATTAAATATGGTGGAGTTATTTTGATAGGTTGGATGTCTATTAGTTATTGAAATTTAAGTGTCCCAACTACTAAGTGTGATACAGCATCATGTGCAATTATTTTTTGCAGTGCCATGGCTCAATTCTGAATGCTGTTTATTAGAATTGTCAACCAGGATAGATGCAGTTCATAAAGCCATGAGAAATTTTTTTTGCTCCGAGTGTAGTGTAAGAATGGCCCTGGCAAAACAAATTAATTAGTGGAACATACTCTAGAATTTGTCACAGAAACATCACCAAACAGTTCTCTTATAAGATAATAATGGAGTTCTAAAGAAAGAGCTTGTGACGGTACTTGACAGTTGTGTGGCATATTTCTTTGAAAGAATAGTATAAATGAAAAGATAATGAAAATAAAATAAGGTGTGTTCCACTACACATACTAAAACATTGTTAAGACATAATTGTAAAAAAAAAAAAAAAAAAAAAAAAAAAAAAAAAAAAAAAAAGCTTTCAGCTATTGCCATGGGTTGTCCTAATTCTTTCCCCCACTGTGTTGTGCTGCAGGTTCCCAAGGCTCAGCCAGTTGCCTTGATTACCAGTCCCGAGGACTCGCAGCATTATGAGGAGGCCAGGCAGTGTGTGGAGGAGCTGGCCCTCTACCTCAAACCCCTCAGCAACACCCGAGGTACTTGATACACAAACACATGCTTGTTACCCTTATCATTTGTTCTTTCTTTATTATGATTCATTGACACTCTTTGGTGCCTTCAAATTAGACTCTGGAGGTTGTTTTCAATATGGGAAGTTCACAAACAGTAATCTTGGTGTTCAAGTGGTTTAAGATGTGAGAACACTGTTGCTAGGTGACTGTAAATGACATGACCTTGTTCCCTTTTCAAAAATGGTGTATGAGTTTGTTTTTTCTGCATGTTAATGTCATGCTGGGAAAAACGAGTAGGAAACAAGTCATGAAAAAAGTAATCAGTGATTTCCATTTGGACCAACGTTTTTAAAAACTTCAGTATATGTTACAACTCATGAACTTGGAGCTGTCTGAAAATTTCCACTTACGAAGTTGTGAATATGACTTATCACATGTTAAATGGACTTTTCTTGTAAACATGTTTATAAACAACACCTCTTAAATTACATGTAGAAGATATGTCAGATGATTCAGTATTTGACCTTGTCATTAGTCAGAAGCTGAATAAATACTAGTATTAGTACTGTAAAATACTATATTATTCTGTTACTCAACTAATTTGTGACATTATAATGTGAAGGATTAAAACAGGATATTTTAATGTCTGAACAGGGATTGAAGAATCTTGTGGTTAAAGCTCAAATCAGTTAGTTTGATCTGGAGTCTTGCCAGTTACTGTATCTGTTAAATATGTAGTGTCATTAAAAACACAAAAGCAGAACTTTATTATCTCACACCTAGCTTTGATTAAGGCTTGTTTTTAAAGTGGTTATAGTGACATTTTATATTTATATTATACCGCTTTAAATACAGCTTTAAAGAGATATACCTTTTAATTGTTTTTGTTCAGACCATTTACACTATGTAAAAAGAACTCTAAACATTAGATGTGCTAGTTTTAATTAAAGATTTTCTTAATCATTGACCATATTAATGATTAATAATGGAATATGATTGATTGATTGATTGATTCCTTGATTGAAATTGTGAATTATTACTAACAATTGATTAGCCGTTAAAAGCTAGTAACAAAATGTATCTTATTGTAACAATTGAAATAGGTATGTTTTAAAGCATAACTAAAACTACAAATAAAAATGTTTTCAAGGTCCCTGTGATGTATCAGTTCAGTTTTATAGAGACTTTATTTTGAGGTACTGTTGTAGTATTGCTTTATACTGACAGGGTGCCATGAATTATTCATCTTCCTTTATTCATATAAATGTGGTATACTGGTATGTAATAATACAAGGATATGTTTCTTTGTTTATTCCCTTGATTCACCTATGGTCCAATCTAATCTCTAACCAGGCGTGGGTCTGAGCAGCACGGCCCAGAGCATACTGAGTCGACCCATGCAGAGGAAACTGGTAACTCTGGTCCACTGCCAACTGGTGGAAGAGGAAGGCCGCGTTAGAGCCATGAGAGCTGCCCGCTCTCTGGGTGAGCGAACTGTCACTGAACTCATCTTGCAGCACCAGAATCCACAGCAGCTCTCCTCCAATCTGTGGGCTGCTGTCCGTGCACGAGGATGTCAGTTTCTCGGCCCAGGTAAAATGTTTTCCCATTACCTGCAAAGTGAAACAAGCCCCAAAGCAGTCCATATGTCCTCAGTAAATGGTGGCCTTTTTGGCAATCAACTGTTCCTTGTGATTTTTATGTTTGTGTTTTTTTTCTCCCCCAGCCATGCAGGAGGAAGCTCTAAAGTTGGTTCTTCTTGCTCTAGAGGATGGCTCTGCTCTTTCCAGGAAGGTGTTAGTTCTCTTTGTAGTCCAGAGGCTTGAGCCACGCTTCCCACAGGCCTCTAAAACTAGCATAGGTCATGTGGTGCAGCTCCTCTACAGGGCCTCCTGCTTCAAGGTATGTTTCTGGCTGGGAACCAGAAGAAATTTCATTCATTTTCTTGATGTTTGTGTGAAATCCTGTAGGTAATTTTTTGCAAACTGTGAAGAGATTCTCGTTTTTAAAAATCATTGTTAATTCAACACCATAATGAGTATAAAACAGGAAATGAAACTCTGTGTAGTAGAAACCAACAGAGGAAATAAAATATTCAACTAACAACTTCTTCTGTGGCGATCCAGGTGACCAAACGTGATGAAGATTCATCCCTGATGCAGCTGAAAGAGGAGTTTCGCACTTACGAGGCTCTGCGGCGCGAGCATGACTCTCAGATTGTTCAGATTGCCATGGAGGGAGGGCTGCGTATCGCACCTGACCAGTGGTCTTCTCTGTTATATGGAGATCAGTCTCACAAGTCACATATGCAGTCTATCATAGATAAGGTGAGTAAGATAAGTAAATGTTTGTTTTTGTTTGTATCCCATATTTTTCCACATAGAGTAATCTGCTACTGTATATATCAAAGCATGCTCCTACATAATATACATGAAGCCTGTCAGCCATTAAACTACCAAAACAGTAACTCCATCTCTCCTTTGTGCTTCTGGCATAGCTGCAGACCCCGGCGTCTTTTGCTCAGAGTGTCCAGGAGCTGACGATTGCGCTGCAGAGGACCGGTGACCCAGCCAACCTCAACAGACTGCGGCCCCACCTGGAACTACTGGCCAACATTGATCCCAGTCCTGGTAAGAAACAACAGATTTTTTCCCCACCAATCACACCCTACGTACACCCATATAAAGTCCAGCTGTATACTAGTCTTGTTCAGGTTTATGTAAGTAGCAGAATTTGAAATAATTATACCTGCGAAGTCTTTGTGTAGATCACCTTTGAGTTTGCAGGCCTGAATATTCAAACAGAATAGGTTTTTCCTCATATCTCTTTGTCTCCCCAGATGCCCCGCCTCCTACATGGGAGCAGCTTGAGAAGGGGTTGGTAGCAGTGAAGACAGTGGTGCATGGCCTGGTGGACTTCATCCAGAACCACAGCAAGAAAGGAGCTGATCCTCAACAAGTCAGTTTTTCTATTTGAACCTGAAAAGAGCTTGGAATAGGAACGCTGTTAATCCGTCCAATAGTTCCAGAGACTTGTAGAAATATGTTTTGACAGCTCATGGTGGCCCAGCACCTTGATAAGACACTTGATATTTTTTTCCTTTTTATTATTTTTTTATTTTTTTTGCAACAAGTCTATCAATTCTGAGGCGTTTGCTAAACAATATTGTGACAATTCATTTTGTCATATCAGCCTTAATTGTAATGTTTATCAAGAAGAGTACTGAGTGTTAACACAGATCAGATTGCTTTTTGTCATGCCAGGCAAGTTCCATAAATTGGATTTTACCATGACAAACAAGTCAGAGTGTTCTCTATTTTATTAACACCTAATGTCTCTCTTTAGCCTCCTCAGCACAGCAAGTACAAGACATACATGTGTCGTGACATGAAGCAGAAAGGAGGCTGTCCTCGTGGAGCCAGCTGTACCTTTGCTCACTCTCAGGAAGAACTGGAGAAGTGAGTGTGACAAATATCAACATGAGGCATTATTTACATTTTTAAATTAGATATTGCAGTTGATTTGAAATCATTGTCCTTCTCTTTTTTATCCAAAAGGACCACTGCTTCTCTTATAAACTTTATACTGTGTTTTATACTTGTCAGGTATCGTAAAATGAACAAGCGTCTGGCAGCTCGCCTCCCTGGCCCAGGAGGGCTCATGCCAGATGAGGGCCTTCCTCTTGATGTAGCAGTGACCCGGAAGCCTTCACCCCTCCCCAATGGCAGTGTTGCACCCTCTTTGCCCCAGCTCATTGCTCGCGGCACAGACACAGTCCCATATGAACTGTTGCGTAAACCCGTCAAGATGGATGGAGGGAGTCCCAGTGCCCCAGGATCACCACCTGATGTGTAAGTAAAGTACTCTCTACTCTCTGTATGTTAATTTAGTTAGCAGCTGAAGAATAGGCCACAGTCTGCCATCAGGTCTGCAGATTTCTGTTCTGATTGACACCAGCTGATTGCAATGTATTTTGAATCTCTACTTTAATGGTTCAAGCTATTAATAAAATTACCTGGAAGATATTTTTCAGAGAAGGATTAGATACTTCCTGACACTTTTTTTTTTAACTTGAAACATTTTAGTTATGAACCTAAACGTTTTATTCCTATAGCCTGGACTCTGTACCCAAACCTGGTATGCCTCTGCCACCTCATGCCATGGCCCATCCAAGGATGCCAGCCGACCACCTCTCTGGGGTGAAGCACATGCCTGTGGTACCTAGAAGTTCTCCAGTGTACCCCCAGCCGCAGCTTCCTGAGATGTGCTATGACACTCGCCCACCACCTTCTGCTTCTCAGTATGAGCCCCCGCAGTATGCCACAGGTATGGGTTAAGTTAACTGAATAATTGTATGTGAGACTAATGAAAATATGTTTTACTTTAATACTTATAAATCAATTACAAAAGTGATGTTAATAATATTCTGCCTTTTATTTCTCAGGGTACCCCTACCAGCAGCCACCACAGTATGTTCCTCGGGATTACATTCGTAACCCACCTCCCCCAAGTGAGTCAGGACCCCCTTACCAGGACCCCTACCCTGGCTATGGCCCTCCAGAGCGCCCGTATCAGGCTCCTCACTCTGGCCCAACCTTCTCCTACCCTCACCCTCCACACTATGACCGAGGTCGCCATGGAACCTACACTGGCCCACCACCTCCCCCACAGCCTTACCCATCTCAGAGGGATAACCTAGTCAGAATGAGCCCTGCCCCTCTGGATGTTCCCCCGCCATCAGCAGCACAGGCTAACTCACTGTACCACCCAGAGCCCAGTGCCCGGGATAGGTACCCACCAGATGGCTACTATCCACCAGGTGCCCAGGCGCCACCCATGAGGGCTTATGTCAGGGTGAGTGAGGGTTTAGATTGATTTTCATTCAAACTCTTTGAAACTTTACCTTCTTGTGTCGTCATACTAGTTACAAAACACTGAGATAACTGCCAGTAGTTGACCAGCAATATTTCTGCTTGTGTGTCTTAGGGGCCATCATATAGTGGTCCACAGGCCAGCCTGGACTATCTGCACCGACGTCGGCAGGAGCTGTTATCCCAGCTGGAGGAAAGGAAGGTCATCTCTCCTCCACCATTCGCTGCCTCCCCCACTCTTTCTCATCCCTTCCCCAGCGACTACCCTCCAGAGGTTAGCACAGAGTGAATTTCTTTGAGACTCTTTCAGATTGCTCACAGGCATTAAACTGAAAGATCTGACAAATGATTCAAGAAGTGTAGATGGCATGGCAGTATAATAGTAAAAAGAGAAGTATTGGTTGACTGTGAATGCAAGTAAGTATTAGTGACAGCTTTCTTTCTTTCTCTCGTTTAATATTTTGTGTCTGCAGTATGGTGAGGAGAACTCCAAAACCATTGTGAAATGCAGAGAGCCTGACTATGCAGGGCAATACTCTCCCTGGTCTTGTGAAACCATTGGCTCCTACATTGGCACAAAGGATGCCAAACCCAAAGATGTTATGGTTCCTGGTAGCATGGAGATGATGGTGAGTTTTCCCGTGTAAACATTAGGTGTGGGAAAATGTTAGATTCTTGGATGTATTGTAATTCTGTCTAGAATTATTTTTTTTCCTCTCCATAGCATAACCTCTTCTTTCTTTACCTCTCCCTGTTCATCTGTCCGTCAGAATGTGGAGGCTAAGGGTCTGAGGGAACCATCGCTGGATGCTCCTCGGAGGGGTGCAGAAGTCAAGGACGATGACCCCATTATCCCGTTTGGCCCCCAGCCCACTGTATCACGTTTTGGTGCCATCTCCCGCACCTCAAAAACAGGCTACCAGACCACCGGCCCAGTGCAGGCTATGGCCTCCACTCCCCAGAACCCAAATTCTAAACATATGGCCATGCCAGGTAAGAAACCATGTGCACAACAACATAAAGGGTGGCTACTCGACCCTAGCCCGTGTGTGTTTCATTTGGTGCAGATGGACTGTTTGTTCATGTGCGGCGATGGCTATTTTTTCTGAGCTGCAGTTTATAAACACCATTGCCCATTGGCATTTATCAAACATAATAAATAGTATATCTTAATTTGCTCACATCAAACTTGGAAAGGACAGAACACATGTTAACCTGATCACTGTTTCTGCCATTCACTGTTGTTGTTTTATTAGTTTTTTTGTTCTCTTTTTGTGGCTGGGATAGTTCCGCTTCACACTGATCAAAGTTGTAAGCAAACATTGAAACCTGATTTGACACGACATTGAGGCCGGGGTGCTTGTGTAATTTGCAGAGCACATAGTGAAAAAACATGCCAGCATCAATAAAAGGAATTGATAAGTTTTGGACAATTTGGAACCGATTCTCGATTCCCATCGGTAGCCTGATGCGACCTGATGGGTTGGGCCAAGTTCAGTCACATCAGCCAATGAATAAGCAGTGAAGATTTGACTTTTTAAGTACTACAAATTAGGATGCTTCAAATTGCTGATGACATTTCCTAATGTGTGTGTGTATTAAAAGAAAAATCTACACTTAGCCTATATAAAGTCACAGTCATTTTAGGAGCCCATGATAACAACAACTGTATGACAGGGAAACACAAACTCTTCAGCTTACATTAACGGCATCAGGCTCAGGTCGTTGTTCGGTTACTACTCTCTCTGGCTTGGGTCTGATTCAGAAAAAAATATGCAGCCCGTGCAGTACTCTAATCCCCATATCATTTCTGGAATTCGGCTGACTCTGAGGTATTTGTCTTGCTGCATTCCTAACTATACACTCAGGTAGAGTAGGATACTGCTAATTAGGGATGGTCAATAATTAATTTTATTCTAGATGAGCTCTCTAAAATATTAATATTGAGAGATTGATATTCTGTTTTCTCATGTCAAGTGAAATTTTATCAAAATTATTTCTGAAATGCTTGAGATTAAAACATTAAAGAAAACTGAAAAAAACCTAAATGATTAAACAAAAATAGTTCAATTGAATCTATTGATATTGACAAATTCTCGATTAATTTTGTCAACACTGACCACACCTACCTGTTTAACTGTGGTCATTTCACATATTTGTGGTGTTTAATCATTTCAGATTGTCATGAAAACATTTCTGACAACCATTTTACCCCCTTGCCTACAGCAGAATACACATATGGAAGCCATGGAGGATGGGGTGGAGCTTCATACCCCTCCCACCAGACTGCCGCCTCCTCTCAGGGACACTTTAGTGAGCGGTGAGGCCTCCATTTGGTTTTCTTGTTGTCTTTTTAACATTCATAACATGATACTACTGATCATGCTTTTAAAAAAATGACAGAAATACATGTATGAAACTTTTTTTTCTCACAAATTTCTTACTGTATGTCACCCTCACAGCCTACCTATGGCAGCCCCAGACAGAGAACAGTTAAAAATTGAGCTGCAACAGGTCAACCAGCAGATCACCCAACAGACCCAGATGCACAGCATGGAGGTATGTATACTCTCCAACAGGACTGGAAAGTACAGAAAATGATTGGATAAATTCTGCATTTCCAATAATGTTTAAATACTTGAATACATCTAAAAAAATGTAATTCTATTTTATACTGTGTTTCTTCTGGTTATTGCCAGAAATTTTTAAATTGCACACTCATCCCCCTCACTTCCTGTTTCAATATTACAGGCTGCCAGTAACTCTTTACTGCTGCAGAGGGAAGCCAGTGCATTGGCAGGTCAGCCTGGACAGCCCAGCCAGGGCCAGGCAGCAGCAGCAGCAGCAGCAGTGCAGCAGCAGCAACAGCCCAAGTGGCCAGCAGGGGGAGCAAGTGCAACAGCTGTCTCCAGTGAACAGCTAAGCCTGGAGCTCCACCAGGTGGAGAGAGAGATCGGCAAGAGGACCCGTGAGATGGCTATGGTAGGGGGGGGGGCGTAGTTGTGTTTTTTTTTTTTTTGTTTTTTTTTAAATGGTTTTCTTTAAGAATCAATTCAGCCTCTCAAATAACAGAATCTAAGCATGTTTTCTCCATTTCCAAACCAGGAAAACCAAGTAGCGCACGATGTTCAGCAGTACAAGATGAAACCTGCAGAGAATGGACAACCAGAGCACAAGACTCAGCTGGAAGAAATCTCCCTGGCTCTTGGGTGAGAATACACATACTTCATATACAGTCATGTGTAAATTTCCTTAATATGTGCATATCCCAATAATTTGCCTGTGCTCGTCCCACTTCTCACTTGTGTCCTTTGTCCCCCTTTCAGCGAGGTGTCAAACGGCTCCAGCAGTCTGCAAGAAAGTGCAGTGGGCGGGTCCATGCTGTCACTGACCAATAAGACATCTGCGTTGAGCCTGTGTTCTGACCCAGGTGCCACTGGTTCAGAGATGCAGAAGAATGGCGTCGTCCATTCCTGCTCTTAGGCAGTACACACACACACACACACACACACACACACACACACACACACACACACACACACACACACACTCAAGATGCTCGATTGAAAAGCATGCACAGGCACACATACACCCATTCTATTTAGAAGATGAGCAGTATCTGCCGTGATATGAATTTTCTTTCTTTTTGTTCTGTGAATGAGCTTTTTTTAATGACTTTCCTTGCCTGGAAACCAGGGCATATGATAACATTTCTTGTGTGCGTTTCGTTATTTCATTTTTTTTCTTTTGTACTGGGATAATAGATTAACAAGGTTCGCAGTAGATGTACCAGGAAGAGAAAATGGTGGTGATATTGACAGTTTATTTGTAGCTTCATTCAGAATGAATAGACCTATTCCATCCTTCATAAACACAAAACATAGTCAAGTATTTGATTGATTTTTCCCATATAAGATTTTTGGTTGAGTTGTCCTAGCATACATGTAAATGAACGGTTAGATACAGAGGAGCAGATCACCATCACATCACATGCGCTCTGAAGAACTTCTCTTGTTACAATCTGATGATGTGCGAAGGTATTGTAGGAAACAGCAGGGTTGTGTTGCTTGCTACTCACCCCCAGAATCGTAAAAAAAAAAAAGTGGTTGCCCAGATCTAGATGGTCTGAGGAGGGAAAAGCAGCACAATGTTCCACCAGTATTCAGCAAATATGGAGATGCAAATTGTTTTTAGACATCACTTTTGCACCACGTGCACTTCCTCACCTGCCATGTGAAGTATGATTTTTTTTTTTTTTATTAGTGCATTTTATGAACTCATCATATGTCTGTTTCGTACTTGAAAGCAGTATATTCTATATTTAATTGAAGCATTCTGTTTTAAAGATTGCAACAAGTCTTTTTGATAAGGAGCTTTCCACAAGTTTTCTATAAGGGAATCTACTAGTGCTTCTCTTGGTTATGATGTGACCTGACGTGGTTTGGTTACAATGCCTTTCGCCAGTGCTCCAAAGAGCTGCATTCAGCCTTGGCCGATTATGTTGTGACATTTGTCACAGCATGCTCAAAAATAGCTGTTTTTTTTTTGTTTGTTTTGTGGTGAATGCACATGATCTGGCTTTTGAGAATACATCTTTCTGCTTCAGGAGTCATGAGAATGAGTGTCAGCTTGACTTTATAATGTCAGGGTAACTGAATAAGGATTTCCCTCCTCAGAGCTTCTCATCTGGCCACACAAAAGGCCTCCCCATTGGGATTATCTTGTCATTTGTTCTCCTAACTTCTATGAAGTTGCCTTCCCTTGTGTCTTTTTGTTGAATTTTGTTTAATTTTTTCATGCTTTACGTTGTTACGATTTTGGGGGGGGTGGGGGTGGGGGGTTGAAGCTTACCGAGTGAAGGCACCTAGTTTAATTGGATTCACGTCTTTCTCTCTGTCATGAAATGTTTGAATTTGGAGTAAAACCCAGACTTACCATTTGTACTCTCAGAAAAGTGACTGACTGTTTAGTGTTTTTAGCTAGACAGTACATTTGAAATCATGTTTACAGCTGAGGATAATAGTTGTTGGTTATTGAAGTGTAAACAGAATCTCCTTTAGATCTGATCAGTTTTATTGTAATAAGTATATTCAAGCATCTTCACTGGTGAGTAGCACAATCTTCTGTTCAATTTATCACATTTTTCTCTCTATAACTTGCTGTCATCATCACCACCATTATAGCTATTATTGCTCTTCATCATGACAACCACTTTTCACTGAGTATTGTCCTCTTTTCAATTTTAACTATCTCGACATTGCAAATGAGGAAAACCTCAATGATCTTCGAGGCTTCAAAAAATAAATGAAATCATGTAAATTGTTTACTGCTGATGCTCAACATGGAGCTCTTTGCCTTCTGTAAACAATTAGCATGATTGACAACAGTTTTACAGCTCTGCTGAGAGTAAGTGAGCCTTTTCGCTTGAACGGTTGAAGGATAGAGGAGACGCTCTGGGTCAAGTCGTTTTAGTTTAATGTTGAGCCTCTATTATGGTCAGACGAGGGGTACTGAGAAACTGACAGAGTTTGACAAATCCCTGATAACTGATGAGTCAATGGAATAGAGACACAAATGTTTTTGTGTCTGTCATCGTCATCTGGGTTGCTTGATGGGCATCTCTTCCAATTTGTTAGCCCCTTGATAGCGGATGTTTGGGATTTTCTTTTTTTTTTTTTTCTTTTCTTTTTTCAGTTTTTCCAACCACACTTCAAAGCCTCTGGTTTTTCTCGCTACATTTATTGTTTAGGTACACAGCTCACTTATACATATAAGTATGTATACATACATTAATATACTAAAGCACTATTAACGTGCCACCTCTTATTCTACTCGCTCAGCATTTATATTAAATGATCTCTACTTAGACTCAGCAAACTTTTATTTTCTTTTTGTTGTTTGATTTGTTTTCTGTCCACTGGTTGCCAACACAGACTTTATCCTTTCCCAGACGAAGGACTTCTGTGCGCATTGATGTGTGTTCACTTAATCGTTTGTGTTCAAACAAAGATGTTCTTTATAGACTATGCTTCCAAAGAAGACAAAATTCTGTAACTTTGGAAAATTTATGGAGAAGTTTTGTGTGTGCTAGATTGTATTGTAGAAAATGTACCCTGACTTAAGTTTTTTTTCCCCTCAAAGTGTGCTGTACTGGGTGATAGTGTTGAGGTATTAGAAAAGTGTTGGGGTTTTTTCCCACCCCCCACCCCCAAGGATGTTCAGGAAGTCTCTAATGAAAGGTTGGCCTTAAATCCTCTTGCAATGCTCCTTTACCTTGTCTGCTTTTAGGAGCATGAGATGACCTCAGAAATTACTAACACTGAATTGGCATGATTTAGAGTCATATTGATGGACTCTAGCAGACCCACCCCCCCTTTGGAAAATGTCATACAAACAACAACAATTCAATAACCCAAATCTCAAGGTTTTCATCAAAATGTGTAATTTTATGTTTTTTCTATGGAAATGTTGTTGACCTAGCTGGGTTTGTAGTTCTTTTTTCTTTCTTTTTTTTTGTTTGTTTCTGCAATAGTTGAGTGAATTTACTGACCTGCAAGTCTTACAGTCTTGAATGCATCATCTGACCTGATGTGTAGTCAACAGCGAGTGAGATACAAGAGTATTTGAGTGACAGTCACACACAAGTTTTGTTCCTCTTTGACAGCTATTCACACAAAATTGGCAACCCAGCTTAATTCTGCTGTTATAAATCGCAAGAAGTATAATGACTTCTGAAAAGATAAAATGCGGTTTGGCAATGAATTGGCAACATTTAATGGTGTTAATTCAATATGATGTTTCTCATTCTCTCTTCAGTGCAAGTCAACCAAAACTATCACAATGCTGATTCTACCTGATAGGTCTATGCAGGTCTGAATGAGCCTAAAATGCCTTTAGCTTAGCAGAACTGACACACAATGACTTACGGGGTGGTTTACTATATAATAAGTAGCAAAAATGTTAATTTCAATCTCCTGTGTGTTTTTGTTTCTGAGTGGAACTGCTGCCTCTAGCCCTCGTTTACATAACCAGTTAACCCCTCCACTCCCACCCTTGACCACTGAACTCTGTTACTGCTGTTTGAGGCTCACATTTTATTCCCTGACTTTCTGGGGAAATTCGCAAATGGCTTTTTTATATAATTACTCCCTTGTAAAATATCTCTTAAATTAAGGTACAGGTTTGATTTCAGCAAGAAAAAAGAAGTTTTTATATGTATATTATACTCCATTAAGGAATGTCTAGAATTATCTTCCTCCAATGTGGATGTAGCCATTATTACGCCATTTTATGACTTTGTAAGAGAATTCACTGTGTGAAAATTGGTTTGCATTTTTGTATAATACAATCTGCTTTTTTTTTTTTGTTTGATACGAGACAGAGGTCAAACTGGAAGTTTGAAGAGAAAAAAAAAATGAAATGAACCTGTGAAATTGAGAAAACAAAATGTAACTTATGTACAACAGTGATTCTAAGCTGAGGGGGAAAGATTAAATGATATTGCTAACTCTGAATGTTTGTGTCATTGTTTTGTTGTATTGTTTTTGTATTGTATGTTTTAACAGAGTTCAAGTTAAAGAGCAAAGAACATCTTTTTTTTTTGAGCTCCAGTGGTGAAGTCCTCAACTTTCTGCAATGATGTTAAGTGTGTTCAAAGTGCGGTCAGTACATCTTGACATCATATGGAGTGTGGTTACAGGTGCAGCCGAAGAGGTAAGAGAAATACTACTTTTCTTTCTTTTCTGTCTTAAGTACACACAAGTTAGTCATTAAATAGTCACCTAACATTTACATTTCTACAGGGTTGAATCAGGACCTCTTTAACCAATTTTCCTTCAAAAAAAATATCAGTTTGTTCTTGGCCTCAGAAACAGCAGTTGACAGAACAATGTCAACTCAAAAGTCAACTTGTTCTGGAGCTTTTGACCATACCACAGTCTTCACCAGCAGATGGAATTTCCTCATATTTGTTAAAGCACTTCTTGTCCATGTTTGCCAAGCTTATCTTTCTTTGCTGATGAAAACTGCAAGTAAAGGGACCTTGAGTTGAATGTTTTGTCAAATCATCAAAAACTGTATGCCAAGTGCTACAAATCTTTTATGGCAGTGCTTAGATACAAAGTGTATGAACAAAGACTTAATTTGCTTTAACAAACACAACCTCGACCTGGGATCAAAGTGGAAAATATAGTTTTATAGCCACTACTGCAACACTGATGTAACAGGATGTTTGATAGAATTTTAATACCCCTAAATCTAAAATACATTTTACACAACTCTTTACAGTCACTTTTTTCACTATTTAGGCATATCTTGCACGGTCTTCACTCTCCCCTTCTCTGTCCTGTGGTTGGGTTGTGGTTGTTTCCATCTAGCACTTCCCTGTTGGTATGGATCATCCTCACATTAGATTACAGATTCTCAGTCGAACCCATCACTGATTCCTCATTCAGTCTATCTACCTTTACCTACAAAGCTAAGTAGCATTTGATTGGCTATAAAGTCATTGCTTTGTAGAGGACAAATTGTGTAATGGAGATACTGTTCATAAATTATCTCAAATATATCTTTTGTATTTCCTACTTATTGACTGACATGTACGCCGATACTGATATATCTGTGATAAGCTCATGTTGGCCAGTCAATCTAAAATCGGGAAAAAAAGGAAACAGTAATAGTAAAAAAAAAACAAAAAAAAAAAACATAAATGCATGTACAGTATGTTCCCTGCCCATCCACTGCAAGTACTTTGGTAAGGCCTGTGGGTTTAGGATATAGGAAATCCTGAAAATTTGACTCACATTTAACTCACATCCTCAGTGGTCAGCTGTTTTTCTGCAAAGGCAAATGTTTATTTAGAAATTATTCTTTTTTACAAAAGTCATCATAAATACTTTCCTGTTTTACTTATGATTGTAACACCATCTGTTGCTTAATGTAAAAAGTAGGAGTCTCTATAAAGTAAGGCACTTGAGAATTTAAGCACTTGTGTGCTTTTCCACAAGAGGCAGTTGAAATGAATGAACTTCACATCATAGTTGAGTCCCCTCCTCAGGCAAACTGACACCTAAAGATAATGAACAAAGAACTAATTAAAACCTTATTACAATCTCAAAATTAGTTCTTAAGCAAGCTGTTTTCTGACTAAATTAGTTCCAGGAAAAACACATTGTGTTTTCTTTTCTTTTGTTTTTTGTATATTGTTATTCCACATTTGTTGGATCCCAAGTAACGTGTCTTCCATCATGCAGTCTTCCTAATGCGGCCATGTCCGCCCCCTCCAGCTGGAACCCAAACACCTACATGTGCAGAGGAAGAGGTAAAGGCTGAAATGAGAAAATGAATGGCTGCCTAGTCTTCTGAGAGAGACCTAGAGTTGGATATTGCAACTCATTTTCACAAAAATATATTTAAATGAATTCATACTTTAATACAAATCATATAAAACATTTTGCCCCCATGATTATAACTCTCTTTACAATCTACTGTACCTACCTGGGATTGTCATAGATGGTCAGTAACCCTCTTTCTGGTGTCAAAAATGAGTAAATGCAAGTGTGATTCTTTTGCAAAGTAATGTATACAATTACGTTAGTTTCACACTAACAATATTGTTGCCTTGATAAGATCATACATGGAGAAAGATTTTAACTGTTTAGAAATTAACAAAACCTGTGAATAGCTCATTTTACAGTGAACCTCATTTAACTGAGGTAAACTAGGTGTGCTACTGGTTTGAGTTTAACCCCTGTTACAGTGACCTCTACTGGCATCATTTCTACACAACAAGACAGAAGACAGCTGGGTTTACACTAAGCTACAGATGCAGGTGAAACCACCGCTCCTGGAGACACAGTAATAGAGTTTGAGAGACCATGTGTTCAGTCAACACAGGTCTAAACCCCTTCTCAAAGCTTAATTTAATTTTTCTATTAGTAGTCTGTTTTTGGATCCAAAGTAGGTGCATTTGTTTTTTAAGCTTTTATGGAAATGTTAAGCTTTTACCTTTAAATGTTTTCTGTGACGTTATACCTGCTCGCTTGCTCCATCACAGCATAATGAATCTTTGTCAACATTTCTTAATTTATAAAAAAAAAAATAGTTTCTGACATAAGAAAAGACTACGCAATGGACTGTAACTCACTTGACAGTTTTCTTGTATCCTCTTCTTTTTGATGGATTTTGGTATTGTAACAACTCCATTCTATGGCAAATTAACAATAAAAATGCAGTTGAGAGGCATTCACAGAAGCATATCGTGTGTGTCAGGTCAATTCATCTTAGTGTAGGAAAAATCTAACCAGTGGGACTACCTGAATACTCCAGCGGATACAGATCTGAGCAGGTGTACGTCTGTGCTTTTCTGCTATCTGGAGAACAGTGGGATTGCTGAGGACTTGACCCTTGGCCAGCGGACTGTACCCCTCAAACACGATACCTTCCTGACGACAGTACTCCATCAGGTGATTGGGCTGCTGGAAAGGATGGTACTCCACCTGGTGAGTCATATCAATTTTAAGATACATCATAGGCAAGTGATTGTATGTAAGCATGTCTTGCTTGTATACTCCAACACTGTGATAAACAGCACACCAAAGATTCATGTTTTGAAGCATCTCTGAAAGGAGTACATTTATTATATAGTGTTGATGTTTATGAAGACATTTCCAATTATATTATTGAATCTTTTTTTATGTTGTGTAAATTGCACTCTAAAAGATTCAGGCACTGTATGACAGTTATTGGGTCAACGAGGGGGGAATAATCTCATAATCCAGTAAATCTCACATGGGAAGAAAGATGTCAAATTTAAACGTGAGATGAGAAAATGTTAAAAAACCCTCCACTGCTCTTTCAGCAAAAATTACACAACCCTCCTCCTTTTTATTGCATTGCAGAAAAATAAACATATTTAATCTAACTGAACACTGAAAAAAACCTACCTGGTTAACGTGTGGTATCACACTACTGTCTTCCTTTAACTGCTCCAGGTGGTGGATCAGAAAGTTGCTCACTCCAATAGCACAGCACACCCCTGTAGTAGCAGAGACAGAGTTCTGACCTATGAAATGCCCCTCTCTTTCACTATATCATAATGAGACGTGCTGGGGTTGTTTTTTGAATACTTTTCAATTGTTCTCTGTTGTTCTTCCTTGTTCTGTACCTTCTTTGTAAAGTTCTTCCAAAGCTCTCCAAGTGTCAGCTCTCATCTCCCTGTTAGAACAATGGGGATGTGATGACTCTGGCCAGTGCATGAGGTACAGATCTATAAACAGGCACATATGATTTAGTGAGAGACTTTTAAAAAAGACTACAAAAGACAAGAAACTGCACACACAATTTTTTATCAATCACAGTCCATACCAAAATATTCCACCCCCATCAGTGAGCAGGAGTCAAGGCAGGCCTTCTTTGCAGCTTTGTATGTGTAGTCTCCTGGCCACAGTTTATTGGTGAGCCATAGATCACTTCGCACTACTCCACTTTCTCGGATAGCTTTACCCAGTTTCTCCTCACAGCTGTAACGCTTTGCCGTGTCAATGTGGCGTACACCACACTCAGTGAGTGCGTACATAATGGAATCATGGGAGTATCCGCCATAATGTGATGTGCCTGTTATAGAGAGAAAATGTAGGCCTTCAAAGGGAATATCAATTCAGCTCAATTCTTTTTTTCTATTTCTTTCTTTGGCATTGTTGGCCTTTTCAGAAACAGGATTGCTAAAGCATTGTATGAATACTGACATAACTATAGGGTCTATACAGAACATTGTTGAGAGAGAGGAAAAAAATACAAATTCATGTATGTAATATTCAACATTTCAGACAAGAAAGTGAGGAATCTGCTTGCAATCCTGCATATTTAACTTTTTTTGAACACTAGCAAATTTTGCAGTCAAGGAAAAAGACAGAATGTAGTGTGTGTGAGAGAGTTTTTCCAGTGGACACCAATCATCTTCATCATTATCATTTTTTTTATTAATTGGAGGCCTGATATAGATACGTTTTGCTCATGTGGATCACATCCTTATGAAAGCCATTATAAGTGTTTAAATACACTTTCAGTTATACTATACATTAGATATTAGACATATTTATCTCTGAACATGTGCCTGTATTTGAGGGTATACGATGTTTACATCAACATTTCATCTTTATTCATAACGATTTTCTCCCTAAATTGGCCTATTTAAAAATCCTTAGTAAAAAATAAATAACTGTAAAACATCGTGCGATGTGTGTCTGTTTTGTGCTTTGTATTTGTGATCAGAAAGCCAAGATTTACCAAAGTACAACGCACCTAATCCAACTATCGGTATCTGCAAACCATTGGAAAGTGGGACTGTGGGACAACTCAGCACCGGTTCAAAGGACATTTTCCTCTTATTACGCAGTGATGAGAAACCTAAATTACAAAGAAGTTTTATTCTTAGTTTTTATCGCTTGTCTTCGTGGTCAAGTTAATAAAGAAAATCTGCTCTACATTACAACTACCCAAAGCTTATCACAGTTCTTAATGTTACTAGTATATTCATGCAATTGAAGCGCTGCACCACTAACGAAACGTACCTGAGCTTTGCTGAGATTAGTATGGACTTTAAAGTTGTGGGTTTTTGATTTATAAGTTTCTCTTCTTTCCAATCTAAAGGGATTAGCATCTCTGGGGACAGCGAAGATATGTCTCCGTCGGAAAATCAAATGACGTGATGTTCAAGCCAATGGCAAATCCGTTGGTTTAGCCCAACAAAGATGGCGTCGGTTTCCAAAGGGTACGAAAATATGCTCAAGTGAATAAATACGAATGAGCTACACTGTAGTGAAGAAAATGTAAGTATACGGACACAAACGAAGCACTTTTTTACGCAGTATGGCAATTTTCCAGATTTTCTGACAATACAGCGGTTATTTTTTTCAGTTGTGACCTCCATTCAGACTACATACTGCTGTTAGCTTTGTCGCATCTTCTTTCTTTCAGGCTCTTTGGTCAGTCAGCCAACATGGCGACCACGTAAAGTGAAAGGATTGTTTGCAGTGCCAACAAAATGAGGTGAGCTCTGAGTTAAGGAAACTAATACAGCATAACTTCTACTGTGTGGTCAGGGACTATAAACCTACTGAATTTTTGGGCCCTCTCTAGCTGTTAATTCGCCTCAACCATCTACACTTTTAATCTTTCTGGCAACACTGTTTCTGTGCCCCAGGTTATTGTCATTTAAATATTTTGTCCGGCCCAGAAAGTCTCATGTGGACACGCAGTCCTTAAATTGAATCCAGGAAAGTGTAATAAATTGCAGTTGCAACACAATTGATCATAAAGACATGTGTTCAGCATAGCCAATTCAAATGTTGGTGGTCTGGGAGTTATTTAACTGAGAGAACCCTGAAGTGCATTGTAATGGGATGTGTTGCATATATTTGATGCAGGGTCCCCCGTTGCTGTATAGGGCTCCGGCGAAGCTGTTTGGTTTGGCCAATCTTGCTGATCCTCCTAGTTGGTGCAGCTTTGACAGCTCTGCTGCCCCCTGCAGAAGACCAAGGAGGCCTTGATGTCCTGGGAGTGCTGCGCCGGGCAACATCACAAAAGGAGAGTCAAGCGCAGGGCCACCGTGTTGACAGCACAGAGGGGGAGCATAAGTTTACCATCATCATCCAAACATACAACCGCACAGACATTCTGCTGAAATTACTTAACCATTACCAGGCAGTGCCTCATCTTCAGCGGATTATCATAGTCTGGAACAACATTGGGGAGCAGACACCCCTAAAGTTATGGAACTCCTTGGGGCCTCATCCGGTCCCTGTGGTCTTCAAGGAGCAGACTAACAATCGAATGCGCAACAGACTACAACCTTTCCCTGAGATTGACACTGATGGTCAGTATATCTGTCAGCTTGCAAACATTGAGTTATTCAAAGATATCTATATAGACCTATGTGTTTTGTCTGTTTTTTCAGATGAGTTTGTTTGATTTTTTTTTTTTTTTTGTCTGATCTTTAGCTGTGTTGATGCTGGATGATGACACTCTGGTCAGCGTTCCTGACATCAGTTTTGCTTTCTCAGTCTGGAAGGTAATAAGCTTTAGAGACAATATAGATGAGACTGATTAACATTCTGAATGTAAATTAATTTAGGTTTAACCTGATTTTAAATTAATTGCACTGCATCATATGCATATTTTATCTTTGGCTCCACAGCAATTTCCAGACCAGATTGTTGGCTTTGTACCCCGCAAACATGTCTCAACACCAGGAGGAGTGTACAGTTATGGCAGCTTCGAGCTGCAGGATCCAGAAACAGCGGGAGGTGATAAGTAAGTTGTGCTTTTTATTTTTCACAATCTTGTAAAGCCCTTTATACACTGCATCATACAGTGTACCATCATGTTTTGTATCAGCCAGGCCTTGTCTCATTTGGTCTTGCTTTGATGTGAGAGGTAATTTTATATACTTTTATCTCAATCCACTCACTGCAGATACTCCATGGTGTTAATTGGCGCTGCCTTTTTCCACCACCGCTACTTGCAGCTCTTCCAGGACCAACCTCAAGCAGTACATGCACTGGTGGACGAAACACAGAATTGTGATGATATCGCCATGAACTTCGCTGTAGCACAGTATTTGAGGAAACATTTCAAGTCTATCAGCAGCATTTACAAACCCTCTGGGGTCTTTGTCAAACCTGTGGACCTTCGCAACCTGGAAAAGGATGCCAGCAGTGGGTACCAAGGTATGTGGCATCGCCCTGAACACCTTCTTCAGAGGTCCTACTGTCTGAACAGGCTGACACAGATTTATGGCTTCATGCCACTCTGTTTCTCCAACCTGATGGTCTCCCAGTTTGGCTTCCCTAGCTATGCCAATCACAAGAGTAGAGGCTGAGGAAGTGACTGTTTTGGAGTGCAATAAGACAAACTCAAGTCGCAGCCTGGTAGGTCCTTGTTTGGTTAAAAATACATCACTTTTCTGAGCCCAGGCTCGGGTTAGTCTGACGACATGACCATATTTGATAAAGGTAATCTATACTGTTGCCAAATCTGCCTTTCCTTCAGCTTGTGCAATTCTCTCAGTGGATTGTAGTGCAGTTACTTAATACACAGCAGCAGGTGTTGGCCTTAGATCTGCTTTGCCCGTTTGCCTTGTTTGTAACTGTGATTTACAGGAATTGTGCTTTTGGTTTTACTACATTTATTATTTTTATGCAATATGACATTTTTCTGTTGAGCTTGTGTACAGTTCCTTACAAATTCATAATGAATATTAGGAGGTTTGTGGCCAAGAAAAAAAAGAAAGAGGAAAATAGACTTATTGCAAGTTTTATGTACATTTAAACCTAATCAGTATGTACAGTACTATGCATGCATGGACAATCATTTTTTGAAATGTTTTCACATTATCAAACTTGAAGGACTGTTAAATAAAGCCAACACTATTTCTCTGAACAGAATTTGTGGATAAATGTATAATTATGATATCGGTTAATAAGAATTAGGTCCGGAAACAGGTAAGATCCTTTGATTAACTAAATAATTGAAAGAGTCAAATCATAGTACCAAATGCAGGAGTTGCTTTAAATTTTTGCAAAAGCCGACAGTAGTTTGAGAGTTTCCAAGCAAAATACTAAACTGCTTTTAACATAAGCATATGTTCCTTTGGGTAAAGGTTACCCTGCACAAAAGTAAACAAATCCTCCACCAAAGCAATTAATTGATTGAGAAAATAATTTGGAAAATAACTTAATTTTTAATAATTAAAATGAATATTTAATATTTTATCATTTATTCCAGCCCTAAAATGGGATTCTGGTATGTATGAGGAATGTTTATATGGAAAACATAAGTCCAGTTTGTAACAGGTATATCCCTTCAGGGTAAATCTGCCCTGTGTCAAATATTGCGAAGCCACTAGAGGCAAATGTTCCTCTTTTTAAATCCACACCTTGGGGATTTCTGGCTAACCTGAGGCAACACTGAACCAACCCTGTGTAAAATGAGTTCCCACTTGTTAAAAATCAAATGTAAAAATGTAATGTAAAAATCATGAAGTTTTTAACTAATCCCCCATTTCTTTATATAAAAATATAAATGCATAATTAACTCTTTGATACTCAAGTTTTAATAGCAACATAAGACCAGCCCACAGGACTGTATATTACATTTAATTCAGCAACTGATTTTATCCTTGGATTGGATCAACACTCTGATTCTTCTGTCCGAGCTGATACAGTTTCTTTCTATAACATGACCATGAAAAAACTGACATGAAGGCTGAAGGTTAAACATCTTCAGAGAGATATGAGAGTGATGATATTTTGTAGTATTTTTTTTCTTGTAGGGCAGCAGATGTTATCAGCCCACACAGTAAACATCTGGATTGCGACATCAAATGTGAACTCTGCCCTGTTCTTCAAATTTCAGGTCTCTGCGTACCATTAAATCAGCTTATGCTCATTACTAAACTTGAATGAAAAACTATATTTATTGATAATCAACAACATCCCACTCCATCTCAGTGGATAAAAGTGTCCTTGCATATTCTGAGGTAACTGAGTTTTATTGTGGTCCGGGTCTTCCACTACCACCATCGACCCCAGGCGCGCCTCCAGGTCGGGATCCACCTGCACCTCGAGAGCGCATGTCATGCCACAGCTTCACAAGGGGTTCCCTCTTCCTCCAAATGAGTTTGTGACCGTATGCCACATACCATCTGTAGGACAAGATATATGGAGAGAGTTAAAATGTAAGTTATTCTACCGATCCACATTTAAAGCCCAATAACATCCACATCAGACCTGTGCAAGGATTTAGGCTGCTGTAAGTAGAGTTCAAACTACAACAGGGAGTGTAAAAACATCCAATAACAACACATGGTATTGTGGAGCAACAATATATCATTACAGATTATAGGTATCTTTATAGTAATTGATCTGCTTATGAACCAGCTTTTAGACTTAAACTGATTGTGTTTTTTTATGGTTTGAGTTGGGCTACAAGACTAAAGCATGGAAGTTCAGTGTGGACCTAGAAAACAGTAGTTTGACAAAATAATCTTATTCTCTAATCTCCAAGGTCACTGACTAGCTTTTAGGTCATGCGATGAATATATCACATTTATGAAACCAGTGAGATGCGTTTGAATGTAAGTAAAGACTATTTTGTCAGGCTACTCTTTCACTACATTTCTTACCACGTAAACTTCAGTATAAAACACTGATCATTTTGTATTTTTTACCATAAAAACAAAACAGAAAAAAACACTTATTTTGTAAAATGAATGAATATTGGGCCACTCACACTCCAAAAAGGGCTCCACCAAGGTGAGCCGCGTGGTCAAATATCCGCCATCCCAGTATGAGCCCTGCTGTATCTATGGCAACGAGTGCTTTCAGAGCCTAGAGACAGACCATGAACAGGAACCTGAAGTTACATACAATGTACTAAAGTGTATCAACAGCTATCTCTTCCATGCATTCAGACATGCATACTTACACATTCACTCATTCATACACGGGACTTTGTCCGTTTTGTTCATGCATAGATTTACATCTCTTTCCTGCAGTGAAAACACAACATGGGAATGTCAACACCCTGTTAAATGTATCCATTACCAAAAAAGCTTTTTGAGCTTACACTTGAGAGGTTCAAATCCAGCATACTGCACACCCAAAGCCATGAGTGCTCACAAACACGCATGCATACACACACACACACACACTTAGATATGCATACATACTGTGCCTCACTCACATTTCCTGCTGTGAAAGTCACCACGGGGAGGAATATTATGCCTAGTTTGGCCTCTGGCACCTTTGCACAGACTGCAGCCAGGACTGCCATGACAGCACCTGACTATAGATCAATTAAAAAAAGACAGATCAAAACACTAGAATTATTGTATTTCTTTTGTGTTAAGATGTATGAAGATTTTAGCAAATATCTTACTGCTCCTAATGATGGATAGAGACGTCCAGAGGCTGTTTTACACATGTAGCTAACCATAGTGGAAATCACACCTGAAAATACACACAATAAGTGAGAATGATAGCACATTTTCTCCCTCCCCAAAAAAGTATGTGATCACTTTCTTTCACATCTCTTTCTGCTCATTCAGATAGTTATTTAACTAATTAGCAAATAAACCTAAATAGATTAAGTACGTGATTTAGATTTTATAGATTCAGTCGAGATGTAATACTGAATTTAGATTTGATTAAATGTTATGAGACCCCAGTCCGATGCTCAACTCACCGGCAGATAGGTAGACTGCAAGAAACTGCTCCCTCCCCAAGAGAGAGACGATTCCCGAGGAGAATGTCCACAGGACATACATGTTGGCCACCATGTGGATGATGGAGTAGTGGCTGAAGGAGGACAGGATCATGGGAACACAGCGTGTTTCTGGTAGAGGAGAGAGAAATGGATACAAACATTAAATGTGTGCTTAGAACATGCCAGGGACTCCAGAGGCAAATTTTACACCTGCAAGAACATGAATGTATATATGGTAAATATGGTAAACCAGGCATACTCACTGGAGGCTGGGTTGGACGTGAAGTACTTAATCATGCGTCTTTGCATTGCAGGGATCCGCCACAAACACAGGACCACAGCATTTACTGCAATAATACCTGGAAAACATTCACAAGGAAAGCCTCTGACTATGAAGAAATGTGATATTATATGACGTGCGTGCAAATATGTTAATGCTAGCCATTATGTTTGAGGATACACAGGAACAAAATGAGTGTGTGTTTGCAAAATAAGCTACCTGTGACAGTCCTCTGTCCCTCTGTGAGGCTGCTCCAGAAGTCATCCGCCATGGACATCAGGAGGATGAGCTGTTGCTGGAAGCCTGACAGCTGGTTCCACCAGTCATGCCAGTACGCCATGTCCTGGGACCCCTGGTAATATGTGAATGGTAAGCTGAATCAATGTGAGCAGCCAATTTGTTTCAGTGGTAATATAAGATGACAGCAGTGAGGACAGAGAGAGCAGTTTGTATTATTACAACCTCACCTGTAAGAACTTTTCTGACTCCTCTTCATGTTTTGCAGTCTGAACTCTTGACTTCAGGGTCTCATATTGCAGAATGGCAGCCGCACCAAAGGAGCAGCCTGTAAACTGCCATGGAGTCAGACAACATACAGCGCCATCATACTGTTCCAAACCTCACCATGTCATGCATCTACCTCTTCACATCCACTTAAACACCAGAATAAAAGAAGGAGAACCATTCTAGTAGAAAAATGGGAGGACCTACCCCTACTGTGAACATCAGCGGTTTGAAGAGTGTTGGCCTGGGGGCTTTGGGAGGAGGTGGGGGGCCTGGTGTGCCAGCTTCAGGGGGTGAAGGGTTTGTTTCCTGGCTGACATTGCCTTTCTTTGTATCTGGCCTTTTGGCTTCCCGACGGAAACCACACCTCTGTTGGTTGTAGAAACTAAGTCTGTCAAATAATTTGCGGACAGAGGGAGAAGTATTAAAACTGATAGTGCTTTTGTAAACACACAGAAAAAACATGAAAACCTGTACGAAATAAGGCAAAGCAAAAACAACACCCATGGAGTGAAAACAATTAAGCACTAGCTATTTATTCATCAGGCTATAGATTCAATAGGGGTAAGCAGTGGGCTGTAGGAAAAGCGGGACATGCTGCACGAACAGCTCAGCCCATTTTAAAAGACGTTAAATAAATAACACAAGATTTCTTTCTGCAAATATATGAAACACAGAGCTGTCTTCAGCCCCGTGGATCTCATTACAATGACAGTGGGAACGGTTAGGTAACCCTCAAACTGCTGCTCGAGAAGAAAACACACACATCCTGTCAGTGATATTCTTGTTTGTAGTGGTGTTCTAGACGCTGTGACATGAACGGCTTTATATTTGCTCACCTGCAGCTTCGTGAAGTTGTGTTCCGAGGGCTGACGAACTCTGTTTTTGCCCATTTCATCACACATCCTCTCCACGCCATGTTTGTGATGACCTCCTGTTTAAGCCCGTCCCACTGCAAGACTGGAGCAGCTAATGCAGCATTCAAGGACTCATCTAAAAGCTCCGACTTCTGACCTCCACCCCAGAGCTCTTAGTATTTTCTGGAGGAGTGGAGAGAGGCACAGGGTTTTTTTTATGTCATCTGCCAGTAAATATGTATAATATATCATCTATTTATTTGTTTAGTCTTTGAACAAAATACGAAAATACAGACAGCATGGCAAAAGTAACATGACGTGCAAATTCATTAGCTTGTACATAATCGTAATTTACTGTCAAACGTAACTCTAAACAGACTATATATAATCTATATAAAGTAATTTATTACATTACCCATAAAATAGGATTTTTATCAGACGAGCTTGCACTATATCTAACCCTGTTCACAGTTTACAATTCAACATTTTACCATAGATTCTGTATCTATGTTGTTGTTCATCTGTTGTTCAATGCGTGTACTACACTATAAACCAGTGACTCAAATTCGTAGTGTGGTTAAATATAGCCGATTCACGTTAATTCAAATTCTGACATAATAGATTAGAGTACTTGAATGCACCAGAAGGTCTCAGTGTTACAGCTTTTTTTTTCCAGAGATAGCACTTCACTTCCCTCTAGTGGCGTATTAAAGTATAGAATTGTATGTACAATTATTCAAGTTCTGGACTTAGGTACAGTTTTAATTTACTTGTACTTATTTCAGTCATTCTTTCATTAATTCACCTGTCACACCGGGACACTTAAATAGAGCAGGGATGTCATTAATGTTATTAGTATCACCTGTGTTTTTCCTTCACTGACAAGTCAAACATGCTGTGAGAAAGGCATATTGCTATGAATCACCAATCTGTATAAAGCAGTTTGCAGCAAAATTACATATTAATGCATCAGCGAAAACAATACAATAATTGAATATAATATTTTTTACTTTTTTAAGTACATTTTAAAAGTTTTGTACTTTTATTTGACTAGAATTTAAAGCAGTTTTGTTTTTTTTTATCATTACTTTTACTTCCACCTTAGATCAATTTCCAAATCATATAATAGAATAATAAATAAATGCAAAAGCTTTAGTCATAGAGGAATACAAGAAGATGGAGAGCACTGTAAAACAATATTATTCATTGTATCAAACTTATAGAAATATAATTAATGGCTCCTCTTTTGATTCTCCTTATTAATGAAACATTTGTAAGCATAAAGAAGTTTGTTTTTATGAAAACAAGAGAGAAATTAATGGACAGTATACTGTAGCTGAGCAATATTAATGGCACTAGATGTTGCTATTGGCATCTGGACAAGTTCCACAATCTTTTCACTGGCCTGCCAGTGACTCCAGAAATAGGTGAAGAAGGTAGAATTTACCATGAGAAGGCTGCACTGCAGTGCCTGCAGAGTAACTAGGGCTCTCCTCCAGTGCAATATCTGCACTTGACTTCCTGGGCTACTTTAGCTGTGGACAATATTGCACCCACAAATGCTGTAATAAAGCTGGGACAAAATAAAAGGAGCAGGAGCTACTGAAGCAGACGATGCATCCCATGGGGACATTATAACACAATCTCACTCCTGCAAAAAAAAGAAAAAAAATTATATAGTCATACACAAAAGTGGGGGTGTTGATGTTTCAGGGCAAAGATACAGTGTACAAAGGAAGGAGAGCAATATGCCTTTGTCACTGTAGGGACCCAAGGACACACTGCCAGGTTAGATGATATCCTATGGGTGCAGGTCTGGGGCAGGGGAGGACAGGGAGGTTTGGGAGATGAGGAGTAGGAGGAGAGAGGGAGAGAGCAGAGGAGGTAAGCGAGGGATGACAGTGATAGGAGCGAGCACAGGACAGATTGAGGTGGGGAGGCCAAAGAAATGAGCAGAGGGAGGGAGGAGAGTAGATAAAAAAAGGGTGAGAATCATAAATATTTGAGTGGCAGCCGGAGTTAAGTCAGGTAAAAGCTGTTTGGATTTTGGTTAAATAGCTGTACTGTGCTGCAACCCTGCTATGCAACAACAAAACCCTCCCATACACACAGTAATCTTTCTCTGAATCTGTAGAGGACTTTGGGTTCCTTTCTGATCAATGCAGTGCATTTTTTCCCAGCAGAGGTGTCCTCTTTCAGGTCCTCTCATTGATTCGCTGTGAACCGACGCCAGCCAGGATTCGCCTGTGTCGGCAACAGGGCATGCAGGGCCTCGGTCATGTGACAGGAAGTGTGACACCTGAAATCAGAACGACTTGTCATGCATTTAGATCCACGATTCAGCTTCTTGCAACCCCCTGCATGTACAGGTAAAGTGAATAATAAAGCAGCTCTGAAGTTCAAATGTTGTATATTTGTGCTGTGATTTGAATCCACAGGCGGACGCATGATGCTGAATGTCATTTGGTCTTGAGGCTTCTATTTCAACCCAAAGGCTAGAAACATCTTATACCAGCAGCACAGTCTTTTTATACCACCAGAGGAAACTCTAGCTGTTAACATAGCGTCCCATCAGAGTGCTGACAGAGAGCTTTCTAAGATACTGATCAATGGACCAGTTAGATAATACCACACTGCCACTTGTTTTCTGTTTTTTTTTTTTTCCCACCCCGCATAGATTTTGAGACTCTGGCTGGGGTGTGATTGTGGTATTCAGCAGTCAGAAGCTGATTTACACAATGATGCTAAAGTGGACACTGAGTGGGATTTCAGATCACTGCAAAGTCCTGATATTTCTTTTACCCAAAATACCAGAGGATAGCACATGGCATGACAGCATCAACCTCTGACTCCTCTAATAGAATAAGAGTAGGCTAAAAGTATAGGCCTATTATGGAAAAAAAAAAAAGGTGTTTTGTTAAGTTGTTTGTTTTTTTTATTTTGGGGTAAAAAGAATAATTACACAATGAGAGCGGCACTTGAATAAATGTGAGAGTGACACATTCTTATGCACACACTGCACCTCTGCGTGCATATCTGCCCTGGCAGTTCACATCCACATGATTTGGTTACACAACACAAGCAAGTTCCTCAAGAGCTTTTTGCACAAAGCCATTGCACGGGAACAGCCGGCTCATTCTGAATGCACAGTCTTTATACTCTACACAAAGTCTATCAGAATTCTACTGCAGTATAATCAAATAACAGGCAAAATAACAAGTCAGATGCTCAGGACACAACTATTGATCTGTGAGTCACTCATTAAATATTGATGTCTCTCAGCATAATATCATCTGCCTTTGCTATCGGTTAAGCGACATGGCACAGTATGTGGTCAGCAGGTGTGTGAGGATGGAGCTTATTGCTGTAGGCTGGAAGTGAAAATGACTTATTGTTAATTTAGCAGAAAATGGTTAAAAATAAGAAAGATTACATGAAAAAGTGTAACACTGGCACTGTCACTTGGTCAGTTTGGGATACATAGGAGTACATTATAGTGCAAGCATGCTCTCACTGGCCTTACTGGGGCATGCACCTAAGTATTACACATATTAATTCCATTCAAATGGCTCAACAAAACCCTTTCACGTTCTCTTGAACAGATGATCAAATATCGAAATGGCAGTTCAATTTTTATGTCTCAAAAGCCTGGAAAGGAAGGAAATGTAGATGGATTCATTTTTATTTATTCCGATTTCTCAAGTGTTATGCAGAACATTTAGTATGAGCCACTAGTGCCTTTTGTTGTAGACATGACAGTCTGAAAATCTCAAATGTATTATGCATTGTGGTGTAAGATAAGTCCATGTAGGCTGGGCAAAGTATGCATGATGGCAAAACTTAATTCATTCATTCATTTATTCACTTAGATCTATGTGCATTATTATTTTCTCATTGTTATTATTATTTATTTATTTATTTATTTGATCATAATAATTGTTTTAAATTACACTTATGGGCTTTGGTTAACAGAATAAAGGAGTAATGCCACAAATTTGTAACAGAACCTTCCTACAGACTTCTAAAGCCAAACCTAAGTTGAGGAAACTGAGATTTGGCTTGCAGAAAATAGAACATTTTTGTCTGCACAGTCATCAGTATAAACTGTAAGCATGAGGTCTCACTGCCAGTTTGAGAGGAGGTAACTATCTCTTCTGTTTTGCTTCACTGTTTCAGCACAGCAGCGGAAGAACAACAGCCCCTGACAAAAACTGTACTCCTGTATCAAGACAGAATGCACACCCTGCATCCGCTTACCCCTGCAACACACACACACACACACACACACACACACACACTCACACACACACACACACACACACACACACACCACCACACCACACAACACACACACACACACACACACACACACACACACACACAGCCCCACCCCTCCTTCATTCTTTACCTGAGTCCACACTCCACCTTACTCAGAAACTCTTGCAAACAGCAAAGGGTCTCAAGCAGGATCTCACTAAACAGCTCCGCATCCCCCCGCGCGCCACAGCAGGGTCCCAGAAGGAGCTTACTTGAAACAAGCAACTTGCCTCTCTGCTGTCGTTGCCCGGCTGTCCCAGCTGAAGAAGCGAGCGCGCACCACCTCCCAGCGAATTCCCTCTCATCCTATAGCCTACGTCGTCAGTATCTTCAACTTCTGCACCGCAAGGGGACATGGGTGATAAAAACGCCGGTAAGAAACTTCCACGTGCACGCATATAAGTTATGAGCTCATTTTATTTTGATGTTTAGTTGTTTTTTTTCCTTTGGACGTAGCACGTTGCTTATTTGTGTGTATTCTTTGAGCACACACATACTCACACACACACACACACACTGCGGAACACTAAAAGCCCTTCTGTAACTTTGTTGCTGTAGCATGCAGCAGCAGCAGCAGCAGCACAGCACAGACAGCAGAGGAGGAATGTACTTTCGTGGCATGTGCTAGAAGTTGAGGAGGATGCTTATGATACTGTATATGTGCGATAACCAACCACAGATCAGCACATGCTTCAGTGCTGCAGCGCGAAGCTGCTGCTGCTGCTGCTGTGTCCCGGCTTCACAGCTCAGTCCACCGCCTGGAATAGTTTGCTTTCTCCTTCATATGCACCTTTTCCAGCACGGGGTATAACATAATTAGTCCACATTTATTAGAAAAGCAACTAAATCTCATATGAAACACAACTTGTGTAAATATTCGGCCTGAATTCCACTGTTTTCAGCCCCAGTGTTGCGCATGGGAAACGGCTTTAGTCTCCCTGCCAGAGCAGCCCTTTACTCTGTCAGTGCTGTCAGCTGATTCAGACAAAAACTGCTGGCTCTCCACTTCGGTGAGATGAATGTGCTGCTTTTCCCCCCCGTGCAGCGGCGGCGAGGTGGCCTCAACGATCAGCAGCAAGCGTGTTGTTGACAAAGCTTTTCAACTCTGCAAGTAATGGGGCTGTAGAGGCTTGTTATTTAGAGCCATGAGACACAGAGTCTGCTGCATGAAAAACTAGATTCTGCCTCATGGTTTACACACAGCTTAAAATACGGAACTCAATCTAAAACACCATGTGTCTTCTTGCAGTTGTGTCGGCAGTGTTTTTGCAGGGCAGTTTAAAGGAGGCTTGGGGTTAAGGCACAAAACAAGTAGTGCATTCACTCCTTGTATATATTTGGATAAGGGACAGGGTGCCCTTGTTAAAGTAGGGTAACCTTTCTCTCATTGTCACCCTGTCCTGTTTAACCCAGAGTTTACAATAAAGCAAAAATCCAAAAAGTCGTGGCATTTACAGTATATGTCAAGGTACCTGGGCAGGGGGGGGGGGCTCCTGTCTTGTTTACATTTCACCTACATCCTCTTGGCCTGACTGACCTGACTTTCACCTTTCTTAAACCCACATTGGGATCTGCAAGAGTTTATGGCCACATTCATTGATCCCACTCAACTGAAGTGTTCACTATCACACATATGAAATGCCTTACGCTTCACTGTCATGCATAATGTCTGTCCTCTGTTGTTGATCACACTTCCTGCCACAGTGCAGTGTTGGCATCCTTGTATTGTATTTCAGGAGAGGGGGAGTTTACAGCATCTTTATGATTCGGGTCATCTCACGGGACCTTGTGGGCTCTTTTCTTTCATCTCTGTTCAGCTGAGCTTTGTTTTTTATGCCACGTGCACTTAAACTGTAGAAACATTAGGACAATGATGACAATTCAAATCAG